TCAACATCAACCTTTGGTTGTGATGGTCTGATCACCAACTTCCCTTGTGAACAAGCTTGGCAAAAGCTATCACTTGATACCATAATGTGTTTTGTCAATAAGGGATGTCCTTTAGAGTTGGTGATGATCCTATGCATCATGGTGGATCCAGGATGACCCAACCGGTCATGCCAAAGCTTAAAAGCATTTGAGTCAAATGGACTTCTTCTCCAGTATACGCTTTTGGGTGTCATTGGAGGTAATGCAAAGATATTTCATGTTGTTCTCATTCTTTGGTTCAACATGGTAGCCATTCAAACATATATCTTTGAAACTCAACATATTTCTTCTGGAGTTAGATGAATACAAGGCTTGACATGCTGCAGATTTCCAATGAAAAGATTATGGGAGACCACGAGAGGCTCATGGCTAAGCTTAAGAGGTGTTGTCCTCTTCCTTCAAAGGCTTCCATAACATAATGTAATTTTATAGATTTTACAAAGCCTGCCTTTCCTTGCAGGTGGAAAAATCTATCTGTTGTATGCCTTCTTTCCTATTATAATAATTGCGCAAATTCTTAAACTTGCACCGGTGGTTTTTACGTCTTTTCAAAATGACGGTTTGGAACCTTGTGCCTTATAGGTTCAAGTAACCATATCAAATCTCTCAAATTACATATTTCAACTCAAGTGAGCCCAGAACTTCTGGCCGGGGCTAAACACGACCTCAGAATTTATTTGCCCTTTTTAAATGGACATGAAATATAATTTGAGTAAAAATCATAATAATATCGCAACATAGTAGTGAAGAGCATTAACTACTATATACGCAGAACTTCAGGTTCGGGATTTCTCATATATTTGCATCTGTGAGCTTCCGGCCCATATCATATAATACAACAAAATATGTGGGGAGCCTCAATTCATCCTTTGAGGTTTATCCTGATATTATCCATTTCACGGTGTATTCTTAACAACCAGAATTCACAAAATATATTTCTTTCTTGAGGTGTCGATTACAACAAAATCGAACTTTATTAAATTCATCATCTCTTATGCCAAAGAAATATGTGGCGTACCACAATTTGTTGGAACTTCAGGTTCTCAACACTGTTAAAATCACATATACTCATGGTATGGACATTTTTACAATTTTCTGTACATATTTCGGGACTTCAAGTCCTTACATAATTGTTCATATTTTGAGGAACTTCTGGTATCTCATTTAATTGCTCATCCATGAGTTTAAGGAACTACAGGTTCCCTTTTATATATAGTGACGGTTTACCCAAAATGGTTAATATTTATGTATATGTCACTATTCATGTATACGATACTATTCATCAGGTCATGAATACGTATCTATTCATGTGTACAGTACATTTGCCAGTACAGTTATTATTCATGTGTACGACATATTAACCAATACGGTACTGTTACATCATCAAGGAACTCTAAGTCCTTATTAACATGTCAAGGATCAAGCATCTTCCAGTCCAATCACTTGTTTACAAATATAGTACCGGAGAGACTGCCAGCTCTCATATCAATATCATCATCACGGATTTTCAAGTCTTGATGTAGTTGTATGGTGAGGATCAAGGAACTTCTTGTCCTGATCTGTATACTATAAAAACTCATCATACCACACAATTAATCAATAAAATAAATTGCTGGTATGGACGATAATCTCGCACCATATTTTAAATAAATGTAAATGTGCAGTAAAATAAATTCATAAATTAAATTGCCTCATGTATGGACGTTAATCCCGCACCATACTTTAAATAATAAAGTAAATGTGCGATAAAATAAATGTGCTTGTATGGGCACTAATTCTAGTCCATACTTTTAAATAACAAGTAAAAAAAGTTGTGTGGACGATAAACCCGCGCCACACGTTTAAATAAATAATGTTGTATGGATAATAAACCTACACCATACAACAAATAAATTGTGTCATATGGGTAATAAACTTACACCATACAGTAAATAAATTGTATGGGTAATGAACCTACACCATATAATAAATAAAATAAATGTGGGGATAAAACCACCACTAAAAAGATAGGAGGTGAAACCGTCCATAAAATTGCTATATATATGGATAAAGTAAAGGCAATTATTGGTGGGTTCTTATCAACACCACGATCAAATAATATAATATAATAGTATATTATCATAGCCCATTAAAGTTTACGTGGGCCTTATATGAAATAACATGTATGCATTAAAAATCATACTATAATAATATTATATGATGGAATTATATAATATATGTAATTATGCGTAAAGAAACTAGTGCATGATTATCATGCTTCCCTTTTCCACCTGCCACCAGCACACACCTGCATTGCACTTAATATTGAAATTAAATAATATAGAATAATAATGAAATAATTGAAAAGATGAAGGGAAACTTAGGGGGGGTTTGGTATCCTATTCAAATAGGGAATTCAAAAACTTTGATTTTTCTTAAAAACTAAGAGTTCTTAAATCTATTTTTAAGATTCAAAAATTTGTTTTGTTTATACCAAAATGAACAGCCAATGAATATCAAACACGTGGACCAAACTAGGGCTACGTGTGCCTTCGGCACTCACCTTCGGTACCAAACCTACCGATCGCAACATTAGGGCAACCTCGCCCCCTTTGACGCGTGGCGGTCTCACAACTGACGCCCAAAGTCCCACATCGAAACTCTAAACAAATTGCACACCTCCCAAGGCCTATAAAAGAGGACATCCGTCCCAGCTTGAAGGTAATCAATCAGAACTTACGGCATACTGCCTATTGATCTGCAGTTCAAACTTACTAAATCCGTACTTACTTAAGCATCGGAGAGCCTTCGGCCGGTACCACACCGGTGCCCTAAGACTTACCGTGTGTTTGCTATCTTACAGATCGCACACCCTACCGAGGACATCAAATACCGAAGAGACTTAATCACTAAGTTGCGCGGGAAAGTGCCGAACCATTTTTCTGCGTCAACAGTTTGGCGCCGTCTGTGGGAAACGATAAAATCAACCTACAATTCCTAAACAAAACAAATGGGAACCACTTCAGGACCACAGTTCCTATCGGAGGATGGATTACCGTACGGTATGCCAAGTGGAGCAAGCCCCGCGCTGCACCCTAGCACTCCCTTCGGTAATCCTCCTACGCTTCAGACCACGGTCGAAGCGGAGCTTCTGGCTCAGATGACCTCCCTCCGAAAGGAGATGGCTAAACTCCAAGAACGTAACAATCTCCTTTCGTCCAAAGTGGACGAAACCCAACGGTTGCTTAATCAGCAGGAAACACAAAACGTTCGGACCACCGAATCTTCCCAGAGTCAGCAGACCCCCGGTCGGCAGAGGAAGGGAAAACAGGGGGCAAAGGCAACGCCCGCGCCCTCCAAGCAGCTGGTGGTCCCGGCACCCCAGGACCAACCTCACGTACCGAAGAAGGTGTACACCGATTGTCGTCATCGGATCAACTACAAGAAGGATGCCGAACGGCATAGGTCCCCAGTCAGAGTAAACGCCCACTTGAGGGACTCCCGGATGAGGGTCTTGGGGGATAAATTGCCCCTTCGGAGGGCTCAGGGTTTGGATTCGGCGCTGGAATCCGATGATGAGTACATCCCCACCAGGGGCACCGAATCAAGCTACCGTTCGAAAGCTCCCCAGGAGTACTCGAAGGCGAGATCACCAAGTCCGAGGAAAACTTCCGAAGACTTTGGTTCCGAGGACGTCCCCAGCCGAGACCCCGCCATCCGACTACTTTTCCAAAGAATCCAGAAGATGGAGGAAGACCGAACCCGATCCCAGGTCCCTGACTGGGGAAAACTTCGGCCGGGACTATTTACCGAGCGCATCAAGAAGTCTAGACCGGACAGGGAGGTGCAGCCGTTGCGCATACCCTTCTATACCGGTGTGGAAGATCTTTTGACGCACCTCCACTCCTTCCAATCGGCAGTTGGGTGTAAAGGCCTCGGCGACGAGGGCCAATGTCTGCTGTTTCCGTCGTCCCTTACCGGGGCTGCTCTGAACTGGTTCTACCATCTAAAACCAGGGACGGTAGATTCCTTCGACGAGCTGAAACAAATTTTCCTCAACCACTTCATGATCCAGACGGACCGTTTGTACTCTGCCGACGATCTGTACACGATTCGACAGAGGGAGGACGAACCCTTACGGGAATACGCACCGCGCTTCAGTCACGAGTACTCGAGGTGTCTCGAAACGGACGATAGGGCAGCCTACGGCGCCTTCAAGAGTGGCCTACGGTCCTCTCACTTCCGGTACCTCGTGCACAGTAGCAACTGGCGCATGTATGACGAGTTAATGAAGCAGGCGGCAGTCCATGCGAAGGCCGAATACTTCAACTCCAAACCCGGGCCTTCGGCTCGGAAGGAGGAATCGGCAACCAAAAGTTATCCGGGCCGAACCGACGACTTGTCGGCAGGACACAAACGGAAGGACGACCGGGATAGCCGTCAGGGAAACTCAAAGAAAGGACGTGGGAAGTACGGTCGTAACGACCACCGGGCGCCCCTACCGAATCACGATCGCGCTCAGGAAGTCTTCACCCTGCTGAACACGACGTACGAAACCATTCTAATGAACTCACATGACCAGATCCCGAAGCCGACCAACCGGAAGCCCAATCGACAGGATAATCGGGACACTGGCAAATTCTGCCGATATCACCAGCAGAACAGCCACAATACGAAGACTGCATCAGTCTGAGGAAAATTGTCGAGCGTCTGATTCGGGAAGGAAAGTTGGATCAGTACCTCGCCGGGCCACCGCAGGCCCCCGCACCAAACGCGAATCGGCAGATCAACATGATCAACACAATCAGCGGCGGCCCCACCCTGGCGAGACCCTCTAACCGTTCGATGAAGCAGTATGTGCGTGCCGCCCACCGCCCTCAGGTCTTCGGCATAGAGGACGATCGGTGCCGAAGGTGGGATGGGAGCCCATCACATTTTGTGAAGAAGAGGAGGAGGGGATCATCTACCCCCACGACGACCCAATGATCATTCGGGCCGAGATCGCCGATTACGACGTGGGTCGGGTGCTGATTGACACCGGAAGCTCGGTGAACGTGATCTTTGCCGATGCGTTCAAAGGACTGGGAATTGCCGACAGCATGGTCAATCGGCAAATCACGCCTCTCCTCAGTTTTTCTGGAGATCTGGTCCAACCAGTCGGTAGCATCAGTCTGCCCATCGCCTTCGGCGTCGCCCCTAGGAAAACCATGACCTACGATCAATTCCTCATTGTTGACTGCCCAACGGCATACAACGTCATCATAGGGCGAACGGCGCTCACCAGGGTGAAAGCCCACTTATCTCCACACATGTTGCTGATGAAGTTCCCGACACGCAACGGTACCGGAGCCATCCGGGGCGATCAGCTCAGCGCACGGACGTGCTATGCCACGGCCCTTAAGTCGGTAGCCAGCAAACCGCCAATGGAAGCCATGACCTTGTAGGGACTACCGAACGGTAACGAACTTATCGACGACCCCAGGGAGGAAAACCCAACACCGATGGCACAACCCGCCGAGGAGCTCGAGACCATAATCCTAAACAAGGAATTCCCCGATCGGTGGGTGAAGATCGGCACCAATCTGGACCCCGACCTCCGAAGACAGTTCATCGACTTCTTACGGCAGCATGCGGAGGTCTTCGCCTGGTCTTATGACGATATGCCCGGCATATCACCTGATGTCATCAGCCACAAGCTCAGCATCTCCCCCGCCCACAAACCAGTCAGGCAAAAGCGCCGATCGTACGATGCCGAACGGTACGAGGCGATGCGTGCCGAGGTTGACAAGCTCAAAGCCATCGGCTTTATCAGGGAAGCTACGTACCCTGTCTGGCTTGCCAACTCAGTCATGGTTCGGAAGGCCAGGGGAGGATGGCGAATGTGTCAGGACTATACCGACCTGAATAAGGCTTGTCCGAAGGACAGTTTCCCCTTACCGAGGATCGACCAGCTCGTCGATGCCACCGCCGGGCACGAGCTGCTCAGCTTCATGGACGCGTATTCAGGATACAACCAGATCTTCATGGACCCTGCCGATAGAGAACATACGGCATTCATCACGGATCGCGGTTTGTACTGTTACAATGTCATGCCCTTCGGCCTGAAGAACGCGGGGGCAACTTACCAACGGCTCGTCAACCGGATTTTTGCTAAATACATCGGCGGCATCATGGAGGTATATGTCGACGACATGTTGGTAAAAAGCCGAATGGCAGGGGGTCACCTGGAAAACTTGGCCCTCATGTTCGGTATTCTAAGGGACTACCGAATGAGGCTGAACCCGGCGAAGTGCGCCTTCGGCGTATCTTCCGGTAAATTTCTCGGGTTCATGATCAGTCAAAGGGGAATCGAGGCCAATCCCGAGAAAATAAAAGCCATAATTGACATGGAGACCCCGAAGACGCAGAAGGACATTCAGAGCCTTACCGGACGTGTCGCTGCCCTGACACGCTTCATCTCCAAGGCTACCGATAAATGCGTGCCGTTCTTCAAAGCTTTGAAAGGGGGCAAACATCATATAACGTGGACTCCCGAATGCGACCAAGCATTTCAAAACTTGAAGAACTACATGAGCCAGGCACCACTGTTATCGAAACCACTGCCGGGCGAGGTACTACTCCTATACCTTTCGGTATCCAACACTGCCGTCAGCTCAGTGTTGATAAGGAAGCCGGAGAAGGCGGAGCTACCGATCTTTTATGTCAGCAAGGCGCTCCAGAGCGCAGAGCTTCGGTACCCACCCTTGGAGCAGCTAGCGTTGGCCTGGTCGTCTCGGCACGAAGACTTCGCCCTTACTTCCAGGCTCACGAAATCACAGTTTTGACGAACCAGCCTCTTCGGCAGGTGCTCCAAAAGCCGGAAACATCTGGTCGATTGGTCAAATGGGCAATTGAGTTGGGAGAGTTTGACATACAGTTCAAGCCAAGGCCTGCAGAAAAAGGCCAGGCCGTTGCTGACTTCATCTCCGAACTCACACCTCCTGCTTTATCGGAACCATCATCGCCGAGCGTCGTCCCTACCGCACCAGAGAAAATGGATACCAAACGTTTCGACACTTCTGTTCCCCTCTGGATCCTGCACGTGGACGGCTCGGCAAACCAGCAAGGCTGTGGTGCCGGCTTAGTGTTAACCACTCCGGATGGTTGCAAAATCGAGTACGCCCTCCGATTCAACTTCCGAACCTCCAATAACGAGGCAGAATATGAGGCCCTCCTGGCTGGCCTTCGGCTAGCCCAGAGCATGAGCGCGAGGCAGATCAGCATTCACAGCGACTCCCAGCTCATAGTAAATCAGATAACGGCGGACTTCGCAGCAAAGGATGCCTATCGGCAGCCCACCAACTACTACAAAAATTCCAGGCCTACGAGATACGGCAGATCCCCAGGTCGGAAAATAGCCACGCCGACGCGCTCTCACGATTGGCCTCGGCCATAAATGACAAGATCGGAAGGAAGGTACCGGTGGAGATATTATCCCGACCGAGTACAACCGCCGCTGAGGTATGTACCGTTCGGTACGAAGACACGTGGATGTCTCCAATCTATGCCTACCTTTCAGCCGGAACCATTCCTACCGATAAGTCCCAAGCTCGAAAACTTCGCTACCGATTGGCAAGATACACAGTCATCAACGATGTTCTGTACAAACGGGGCTACACGACGCCGTATTTAAAATGCCTGACCAAGGAGCAGGGGGACTACATCCTTCGGGAGGTCCACAGCGGAATCTGCGGCGACCATTCTGGATCCCGATCGCTCGCACACAAGGTCTTCCGGCAGGGTTATTTCTGGCCGACTCTGCACCAGGATGCGAACAATCTAGTCAAGAGGTGTGACAAATGCCAGCGGTTCGGTAGTGTCCCTCATATTCCTGCCGAGCCACTGTCACCGATCGTGAGCCCATGGCCGTTCGCCCAGTGGGGACTAGATCTAATTGGTCCGATGGCAGAGGGCAAGGGTCAGGTCAAATACGCTGTTGTTGCCGTGGACTACTTTACCAAGTGGGTAGAAGCCAAAGCCCTAGCGACAATAACGGCAGCCAGAGTCGAAGATTTCGTTTGGATGAATATTTGCTGCCGATTCGACATCCCCTACGCCATCGTCACGGATAACGGCAAGCAGTTTGATTCGGAAGTCTTTAGGGAATTCTGCACTCGACTCAAGATCAACCTATTCTTTGCTTCGCCAGCACACCCCCAATCGAACGGACAGGTCGAAGCCATGAACAAAATTGTGAAGAAGCTGTTGAAACGGCAGCTTGACAAAGCCAAAGGAGCCTGGCCGGAAAAGCTTCCGAAAGTGCTATGGGCCATCCGGACATCCTACCGAACGGCAACTAGGGAAACACCATTCTCTATGGCTTTCGGTTCAGAGGAAGTAGTCCCAGTAGAAATTGGAGAGCCCTCCTACCGAACGGAAACCGTCGCACCGAAGGCAAATGAGGAAGCACTCGCTTTGAGCCTCGACCTGCTCGAAGAACGCCGAGCACGAGCCAACCTTCGGAACGAAGCTTACAAGCAACGCGTCTCTCGGTACTATGACTCCAGGGTCAGATCCCGCTCCTTCCGAATCGGAGATTGGGTCATGCGGAAAGTCTCTTTGGCAACCAAGAATCCCACGGAAGGAACCTCGGACCTTCCTGGGAGGGACTCTACGAAATCATCGGTATCCAGCGATCGGGGACTTATCGACTCAGAGACTCCAACGGAAAGACCCTCGGTCATCCTTGGAACGTAGAACATTTGAAGTACTATTTCAAGTGAAGTCACCTTGCCTACGGCAGAGTCACGGAGGAGTCACAAAAGCATTCGGCATCTCTACAAGCACAGCCTTCGGCATTATAGCGTTTCCTAGCCAACGGCGGGTTCTAAATTGTAAAACGCACTCTTAATTGTACTCTTGCCTTCGGCAGTTTATCAATAAAAGGGCCTTCGGCTCATATATTCAGCACCTTTGTTGTACCTTTCAATCTCTCCATTTTTTGTTCAAAAAAAAAGGGTACGGTAGGGACCATCGGTCGCAGCAAACTATACATTTTGGCATCGCCATTATCCTACCGATTAAGGGACAACTTTGTAGACTTTATTGGGCATTATAGGCTTTCGGTAATTACGGGCCATTGCTTTACAATCAGCAAGCACGCCCATTGGTTTCAATTCCTTAACACTTGGAACTCTTTGCGTGAAAGGAAACTCTACTGGCCAACGGCCAATGGCCTTTTGTTTGAGGGCCTTCGGCATTAAACAGAAAAATTTCCTAAGAACGCTACCGATTCAGAAGTAAGATGCAAGTAACTTCAAGTGAAAACATAACTTTAATAAAAACATGCCCACGACATTAATTATCCAAACAAAAGATGCCAACGGCATCAGAGTTACAACGAAATTACAAAAATGCCATCGGCATCAAAATTACATTAAGTAAAGGCTGGTGATCAGGATGAAGGGCCCTCGGCATCCGCCCCTTCGGCACCAGCAGCTTCGAGCTCCTCCGGAGCGTCTTCTCCCTCGTACTCCTCGATCATTTCTTCCGTAACGCCTTCGGGAAGGGGAGGAGGATCGGCAATAAAGTTCAAGTTGAGCTTCGTCCCAGGATTGTACCGCTTGAATCGGTAGATGAGATCCACCATCTCCGAGCCCACCTCCTTGTTGAGCAAGGTAGAGAAATCGGTAGAGTGGCGATACTTCTGAATGGCCTCCTGGACGGCAGCCTCAATCTCCGACGCTTTGGCCCGCTACGACTCCTCCAGAGCCACCTCAACGGCCTCCTTTGCCTCCAGAGCCTCTTTAGCCGACAGCTGTGCCGAGTCCAGGGCAGACGACAGATCTGCGAACTTGGACTCATATACCCTGACCTGCCGTTCGGCAGCTTGCAAATCCTTCGCCAGGTTCGCATGGTCCTGGATAGCCTTGCCAGCCTCGGCAACCCTGGCCCTGCCGTCGTCATAGGCCTTCTTCGCCTTCTCAGCCGCATTGATGGCCCGCTTCATGCAAAGCCACATGTCCATCGAAGCCTGCAGAACAAGGGGCATGTCAGCAAAGGTATAAAGAATGATCGGTAATCTGGGCCTGAAAATGTTATGGACTTACCGATGCCTGAAGACGGAAGGCGCGACCCGCCTCCTCTCGAAGGAGCTTCTTCGGCAGCTCCTCGATCTCGTTCAGCTCCATTTGCGAACCAATGATCATATGGTTCGCGAACTGGACCGTCTTCGGCGGACAGGCCAGAGTGACGGGATCGGCAGACTCCTCGTCATTGTCAGCAGCGAAGATGGCCCGAGTCGGCTCGGCCTGCCGTCCGCGTTTTGGGGCCGGTTCGGCATCTAGGTCGACGGTGAAGGGCCGTTTGCCGGCGGCTCGAGAGGAAGTCCCTTCGGTAGTGGCGCCTCGGCGGGGAGAAGGGTCGGCCGCTGCTGCCCCGGCCTGTGCCGAATCGGCGTTGAGCTCACGGAGACGGTCGGCCAACGTCTGGTCCTCCGGGTCTACCGATGCCGAGCCCTGCGGCTGGGTTTTCTTCTTCTTCCCCTGGAAGCCCATCATGAGACGGCGCTTGGAGGACTCGTTCATCCTCTTAGCCTCGGCAGCTCTCCTCTCTTCCGTCACTGCAAGAAAAGGGTTCGGTAAGACCCGCAACAGAAGAAAAGAAACAATTTGTAAATTACGAAGTATACTTACTCTCGGCAGGATCAACCAGCTGGGCCCGAATCAGACTGGTGGTGAAGAGGAACTGCGGATACACCCTCTCCTCGGCAGGGACTTTCCTCCTCACTCTCTCCACTTGCTGAATCTCGGCCTGCGTTGCGATCGGCCGCTTCAGCTTACCTACAAGAAGAAGAGAAAGAATGGATCACTTACGGTAAACAGAGAACCTAGAAAGATACCGAACGGCACGTGGTCCTACCGGCCATTTGGAAGGTTGTGGGAATGCGAAATCGGACAGGTTGTCCCGAAGGCGACTCCCAGTCGCCCGAGAGGAGCACCCGCCGATTCCTCCACGACTTCTGTGAAGTCGGTACCCAGCTGACAAAGTGGCCTCGATCGGCAGCCCTGAGGCAGTTCGCCTGCACCCATCCGCCGTGATCGGCACACTTGGACTTGGTAACGCTGTAGAGATAGGAGAACTGCTCATACGAGGGGCTCCCTTCGCCAGCCATGCCGAAGGCCGTTATCACTCCCATGAGGGCCACCCAGAAGTTGGGGTTGAATTGCCCCGGGGCGTAGCCGATCTGGGCCAGAATCCTCTGCACCGCCGGCTGCAACGGCAACCGAACGCCTTGCACAAGGACGTCGGTAAAGAAAACTACTTCGCCGTCCTTCGGCGCACTAAGGGATTCGGTAGGGCCCGGGATCCTCATCCGTACCGAGTCGGGAATGCGGTATTCTGCTCGAAATTTGGCAATCTCCCTATCGGTAATCTTGTTCGGCCCAAGATAGTCTACGCCGAATAGGTTTTCCTTCGGCACCCCTATAGGCATCCTAGGGTTGCTTGGGTTGCTTGGGTCTCCGACTAACGGCTACCGCTCGCCTCCCCAGGCATACCGAGGCCCACGTGGCGGCCGTCACTGTAGACGATGGACAACGGGATGGGAGCGGTCATTAGCCCCTTTCCGACTCCGTGTGTTAGAATGGAGCTGGGCCCTTCGCCGAGTATCTCGACGTCGGTATCACTCCCACCCTCGGCATCAGGCCCTGCCGCTTCGCCGTCGGAGTCAAAGAGACCAGCCGATGACTCCTCGTCGAACGCATTGGGCTCGCGCTCGGAGAATGACTCGCTATCAGACATCTACAAAAATAGGAAAAAGGGAAACTAAGGCTCATGCCGGATGCTATCCTACCGATCCCTACATCGCTACCTATGGCGACTAGACTACCGAATGGGACCCTATGGTCAGTCTAGTTCGAACCAAGGAAGGACGTAACCCTTAAAGCATGCAGCAGATTAAAGAAAAGGGTGCCGAACGGTACCTTAAGGTGTGCCCTGGAAGATAAGCGCGATCTGCTCTTCAGGATGCTTCACTACCGTTCGCAATACCGGGAATCGCCTTTCCTACCGTTCGAAACGCCGGAGATCGCCTGGTTACCGTTAACACTCGTCGGAAATCGCCTGATTACCGAAAGCCCTCGTCGGAAATCGCCTCAGACAGAGCTCTCACTTCTCACTAGATGCAAAGTGAGTTCGCCTCCGGGGTCATCTCTATTTATAGGGGGTGGTTGGCAACGGTACTCCTCGAAAAACCAAACGGCACATTAATGCGCCGCGCGCCATCATTACTTTCGCCACGTGTCGCTCACCCTATGGGGAATAGACGGCACGCGAGGCGCGGAAGTCGAAGCGCTCAGACGTCCCTTCGCTCGTCAGATCGACGCGACCTTCTGACTTCACCAACGTCAGCCTCTGAGCTGGTCATGCCGGAAGGGACAAAGTTTGGCCCCTTCCCCAGGTGGGGTTACCGAACGGTAAGGCCGTGATTCCTCCCGAAGATGACTTCAAATCCCCTTCCGAAGACTCTCGCAAGGGGACTTGGGGGACTCCTGTTTATACCAAAATGAATATCAAACACGTGGACCAAACCAGGGCTACGTGTGCCTTCGGCACTCACCTTCAGTACCAAACCTACCGATCGCAACATTAGGGCAACCTCGCCCCCTTTGACGCGTGGCGGTCTCACAACTGACGCCCAGAGTCCCACATCGAAACTCTAAACAAATTGCACACCTCCCAAGGCCTATAAATAGGACATCCGTCCCAGCTTGAAGGTAATCAATCAGAACTTACGGCATACTGCCTATTGATCTGCAGTTCAAACTTACTAAATCCGTACTTACTTAAGCATCGGAGAGCCTTCGGCCGGTACCATACCGGTGCCCTAGGACTTACCGTGTGTTTGCTATCTTACAGATCGCACACCCTACCGAGGACATCAAATACCGAAGAGACTTAATCACTAAGTTGCGCGGGAAAGTGCCGAACCATTTTTCTGCGTCAACATGTTTGGTATGCAACTTGAAAACTGTTTTCAAATCTTAAAAATTTGAGAACTTGTGGGTTGTTAGAAAAAAAACTGAAAAAACATATATTTTTCATTTTAATAGTTGGGGTTTTTTTTTGTTGTTCTTAAGTTTGAATTTTTAAAAATAGGGCTACCAAACATGTTTTCTTTGTTTTGGACTCAAATTCTGTTTTTGAGTTTAAAAAGTTGGATTCAAGTTGAATACCAAACATGCCTTTATCCTTTCGGTGGGTTTGCTCAACACCAAAGTGTGTTGGCTGCGCAAATCTCACGGCCTAGTGCTCCGGGCCGAGGGGATGTGCGTTAACACGTGACCTCCTTCTTTTGGATGCGGTGCAGTTGTGGACGGCCGTGCCAGCACGGTCTACCATGCATCGAGATGGTGATGAGGTTTGGGTAGAAGATGGTTAAATGATGTGCCTGTTTTGAGTTCGATTCCTAATCAAACGATTGTGGCTGAGAGAGAAACTGATCTCGGCTGTCAGGTTCACGGCCTGAGCTACAAGGCCGTTTAGTGGTGGTGTTGGTGGCGGGTTTTAGGCGGTGCTCTAGCACGTTGCTCAGAGAGCGATGGTCGTATGATATATGGGGTGAATGAGATGATAACAGAGATGGTGCTCCGGCGCCTTGAAAATCAAGGGTCGTATGATATTTTGATGAATGGATTTTCCTTACAATCTACCACTACTCCTAGGAAAGCAAATAAAGGTATTGAAAGTGCATTACAGGAAAATATAATTTGCTCCGTGGGAGGCTTTTGGTTTGGTGTTTGAACCTTTTGAATGTAGTCTTGAGCTTAGTATTTATAGGGGGAGTCCTGGAGGGACAATCAAGGCTGAAAAGATCTGCGTGGTGGAGCCTGATCGGGGCAAATGGGTAGTCAAATCGGCATTTGGGATCGTGAAGCATGGTGGTGTGACCCCTATAAATCCCGGTAAATCTCGGCCACCGCCCTGATCGTGGGTTCTGCCCCCTTGGCCGTGGGAACGCATTTAATGCCCTGGTCTGGTGGTTGGTGATTTGACCTCAAGTTGTAAGAATACTTGTGAGAATGTTTGCGCCTAACCACTTTGATTTCCATCACCAAATCCTGACTTCAGTCACTTCCCTTCTTCCCTCGTGTATTAAATGCTTCTTGCGACTAGTGGGTTTGCTACGATAGTCAAATGCATTACTTCATTAAATGGGGCGTGGGACCCTGAGGCCACGTGGCGATTTAACCACAGTATCTTCGGCCGTGTCTTTTACGGCATTCGGCTTCGGCCTATAATACCGCGGTCGCGAGGCCGAGAGGATTCTGCCTTTGCAGCTTTTCTTTTGTTTTCAGGAAGGCAAAATGCCTAACGAAACGTGGCCGTTTCAGTTCATGAGTAGGTGCTAGGGCCGAGAGGAAGTCCCTTCAGTCAGTTTATGACCGTGATTTATTAGGCACAAATATTGCCCCCACATCCCTGGATTCTTCAGTCGCGGCCTGGGCAGAGGCCGAATAGATTCCAAGGGATGGACCCTTTGCATTCCTCCTGAAGTGATTGACAGTTGGCGCCTTAAATGCATAGGTCGGTCAGCGCATTAAATGCGCAAGCACGTCGTGCAGGCCATTATTGCACAGACTTGCGCGAGGCGTCGCTTCGTCTTGTCAAATGAAACGACGGCCCCTGGGCTTCCAACACGTCATCGCGCTCTTTGAGTACTGTCAGATCGTTACGTCTCTCGAGAGAGCCTGCGCCCTTTCGTATCGAATTCTAGCGCCAATATAAAAAGCCTTGCCTTCTTCATTTTCCTTTACGCTTTCAGAATCCTCAAATGCCCAAACTCTGCCAAACTATTTCCTCAATCCATCAACCCTTTTAAAACTCCAAATCTCAGCACTCCATCTCGTTCTGCCCAGCTATCCACTCATTAGTAACCAACGATTTTAGTCGTTTCTTCTGCATTTCTTAGAGAACTTACGAACTCTTCGCCCCTTTTTCTGAGTGCTCGGTTCCCTGGTGTTCTTCCTGTTCATCCCCATTTCTTCGACTTTTTCTTCAACACACTCTACTTCAATCTGTCTTAATGGCCTTCAGTACTTCTGCATCCGTTGAAGCTCGGTCCCAGGTCTTCTAGACTGTCTTCGAAGACATCAGCCGAGAAGCCCAAGGCTTGGTTCTACCTGACATCGTCGCGCCTTGGGCAGATGATGACGGTGTTTCCAGTGACTCTTGCCTCCTCAGCCCCTCCGTGGAAGGGGGAATGCCAGAGAGGCTGGCTGTCCATTTGAAGGACAATTTGGTGGATCTTTCTGCTTTCGATCAGGGAGACTACCAAGACTGGAATGTCATACGGCCGCAGCAACAATGGCCGACCTCGACCCCAGACTGGGAAAAGTGGCTGTCGAGGATGGAGCACTTCTTGGCCAGCAATGGAAGGCCAAGGGGATCTACCACTTGATCAAGCTCTTTGACCGGCCGATTGTCACGGATCGGTCGTTGTTGGCCACGACACTCAGTTTCTGGTCCTCGACCACAAATACAATGAATCTACGGTTCGACATAATGACGCCGATCGTGCTTGACATGGCCGCTCTATTCGGCCTTTCTCCTCTTGGCGTGGAGGTGAATGTTGCGCTGGTTGCTCCTGAGGCCGTAGGGAGTTTCAAAGCCGCGTGGCCCACGCTCACGAGACTGGCCGGGAGCAAGGCGAAGAACATGCTTAACTACTCTAGCTTATACAATAACTTCGGTATATAGGACAGCGACGAAGACGCCACCCCCCCCCCCCCCCCCCCCCCCCGTGAAGTTGAGCACGCTGCATTCTTGCTGTATTGGTTGTGCAAGTTTGTGTTCTGCACCCAGGCGAACAAGGACACCCTGGAGTTCGCCCATCTGGCCGACTATCTTGCGCAGGGGCCCCTCTTGGCTTTCCAGTTCTGGCTCCAGGCCTTCTTCCCATAACTGAGGGGTGCAACCACGGTCGCAGACACCAAGCCATTAGCCAACTCCCTTGCCAGGGCCCCCAGGAAACACAACGCAACGGCCTTCTGTTTCAAGTTTTTCTATGAGTTGATTGAGAGGACCGGGTCATAGTTCCGGGTATGCTTTGCTCGGCCGTACCTTTGTTCCTGGCGCATGACCTCTCCGTGATTCCTGACGGCGAAACGGAGAACGATCTGAGGGAGATCTGGGGCTCCTTCCTGGTCGCGCGCGACCTTCACTACGGCCTGTCTAAGGTCGGGGCTGAAGTTTATTTGCCGCATTGCGTGGTGCGGCAATTCGGTCTGATTCAGACGGTCTCACTCTTCCCTCTGTCAACGAACCGGCTCTCGTCTTGGAGGGCCAATGTCTCCCAGAGCCATGGCGTGGCTGGGATCTCCTTCCAGCTTCAGAAAGGGATGACCTTTCTTACCCTGAGGATGTGGAAGCATCGAAATGCGTTCGACGAAGATGGAAGGGTCTGGTATGAGGACTTCATCTCGGCCAGATTTATTCGGCCAGTTGAAGAGGCCACGAGGGAGGCCCTGAAGAATGCAGATTGGGATCCCCTTCCTCCTAAGTCTGGTAAAGGGAAGGAGGCCTCAACCGCGCTTTCTCGGCCGAGTGCCCCGGCTGCGGTCGTGTCCAGAGTGACGACCCTTCCTATGGCTGAAGTAACGGTCGTGGCTTCAACCGCGACCCCATCCTCCAGGGCGACGACCGTGGTGGGGGCGCGAAGGACCTTGGCGCACAGGACCGTGCCATCCCCTCCACTAGTTCGACCGGGCCCTGCTGCTAGTGAGTATCGATTTTCTCGTATTCTTTCTTCCATCTTTCTGAGTTTCGTAGCTAACTTCGTTTTATCTCTTGAAGCCCCAGGCCGTAAGAGGAGTAGAGAGGCCACTATTACCGAAACCGCGGCTGCTGAGGCCGTGCTAGTGGGGAGTGCCGCGGCCGAAGTGGAGGTGCCAGAGCCGCCGAGAAAAAGAGTCCTCCTCATCCTTTCAGAAGGCGAGGACAAGGAGGAAGTCCCTCCTGCGGTTGTAAGTATTCCCCCTTGGTTTCTTCCTATATGCCTTATGCCGCCTTTTTATATTTGTTGATTTAGCTTTTCTTGCATAGCGCGGCGGTGGATGTTGAAGTCATTGCTACAGAGGCGCCGGTGGTTGAGGAAACCATTGCCGAGGCGTTGGGTACCGAGGCGGCCGATACTGAGGTAGCAGTTGGCAAGGGGATAGTCACTGAGGCAACAACTGGTGAGGCGGCCGTAGCTGAGGCCACGGCTGGTGAGGCGGAGGCTAGAGCAGTCAAAATGGTGGTTGCAGAGGTGCCAAGCGCCGAGGCAGCAGCTATGGAGGTGCCAAGTGCTGAGGCGGCCGCTGCAGAATCGCCTTTAGCGGCCTTGACCGGGGTAGCGGCCGTGCCTTCGTTGGCTGCCATGGTCCAAGTCGGGCCGCCGCCGGTCACTCCCCATCGTCCCAGCAGCATTGTGATCCGCTCGGTAAGCGTTTGTTTAGCATGCCAGTCTCCTTTTCTCGCTTGGGTTTTGCTAACTTTCGATTTTCATTTGCAGCCCCCCAGAGTGTCCTTGCCTCTGACCGTGCCCGTTGTCTCGGCTGCGGTGGCCGTGACTCAAGAACCATTGGGCGAGGATGATATTGCGGTCGTTGAGCCCCTGGCCACCGCCACTCCTATTTTAACTCCAACCGCCTCAGTCAGCATGTCCATGCCGCAACCGCCTTTATCTCAGGAGTCAACGGTCATGACCGAGCTTGCGGTCACCGAGATCTCTATCGTGCCACCGGCCGCTGAGGTGAGTCTCTCCTTGTAATGCCTCTGACTTTTTCCTGTCTTTCCAAACATTTAACTCTTTTTTTTTTTCAAGAGCCTGCCACCTCAGATGACCTCGCCGAACTGTACGCCAGCCTTCACGAGGAGGGATGTAGCTCGGTTTCGGACCCCTTATACGAGGATTCTAGGGCCGCTGTTGAACGGCTCCGAGAGTTCCTCTTCTTGGGAGTCCACGAAATGACCACGGCCGAGGCTTTCATGGAGTTTAGGTCTTGCCTGGATACGACCATGGCGTTGGGTCTGCTGGACTCGGCTCAGCTGGATGAGCTACAGGCTCGCTTGGCCGAGGGCGATGAGATGATCGGTCGATACGCTGAGGCAAACATAAGGATGACCGAGGGGTGCTCGCTCGAGCAAGAGCTGTCAGTGATAAAAGAACAAGTCCAACCTACCATGGCCCGTTTGAAGGAAAATGACCTCGTTCTCCAAAGAGAGAATGAGGAACTTGTGCAGGTCGAGGTTCAGATTGCGGAGCTCCAGGCCCGTCGAGATCTCATCCTTCAGCGCCGAGATGGTGCGGTCGCGGTTGGAACAGAGCTGAAGTCTTCAGCCAGGCAAATCCTCAAGGCGATGACCGAGAAAAAGAGGGCACTGGCTGAGAGGAAGCTGATCCGGGTGAGGTGGCATGCGGATATAGATGGTGGGGACATTGCCTAGAGAAGGATAACATGCCTAATCTGGGGGATGTTCAGCGAGGGGGTTTAGGCAGGCGGCCGTTTATAGTTTTTAGGATGTAATTTTTATATAGATATAGACATATATTCCTACTCGGCCAAAATTGGCCGTTGCTTGTAATCACGAACCTTAAGTTTAATCCCAATGACATTTGATTTTTTTGGCCGTCGAAAGATTCATTTTTATGCCTCATGCATATCTCTAGCTGGCCGCAACTGGCCATTCTTTTCTTGAAACACACATATCCTTTCAAATTTCTCTTGCCTTATGCCAATTTATGCTCCATTCCCGACCGTCTCCCAAGTCGTGACGTTCCCCGTCTCCGTCTCCTAATTGGAATGCGCCACGGCCGAGAACTCGTTTGATGATGAACGGCCCTTCCCGTTCGGCGAAAACGCGCCTATCCGTAGGTTTTTAGTCCCAGTAGGAAGCACGGTGCGTCGTACCAGGTCGCCCTCGGCGAAGGTCTTTTGCTTGACCTTTTTGTTGTAGGCCCTTGGCGCCATCTATTCCTGAGCTTGCATCGAATTGTAAGCGTCGAGTCTTGACTGTTCTAAATTTCCTAACTCCTGGGCCATGGCTCGCGCGTAGTTCTTTACCTCCTACCCAGGTTGCTTGGTAATTCGAAGAAATCGAGCCTTTAGATTGATTGGTACATTAGTGTCCTGGCCGTAAGTGAAGGCATAAGGAGCTGTGCCCGTGGCCGAGTGTTTCGATATGTGGTATGCCCAAAAAGCCTTAGTGAGTAAGTCGTGCCAAGTCATGGGCTTTCCAGGTGGGTACGGCTCAGTATAACCTGGTGCCCCCGGCCGCCTCTGGGCTAAGCCGTCCTTGGTTGTGTGCCGGACATCTTTGGTCCGAGGATCCTGAGGGGGCGACTCCAGCTGGGTTGGAAGTGGTCGTTGGACCTGTTGCGCATCGTAGAATTTGTTCATAATTAATATTCAATTCAATTTTGGTTTTGGTGCCTTGCATGTAGTGTTGTGGGGTGATATTTAATATTTCATTTTTATTTTCATGCTTTAGTTAATTTAATGGGTTGACTTGGAAAAATTTGGAGGCCCCTAAATTTTAGGGGCCCTGTGCGGTCGCACACCTCTCACACCTCATGGGCCGAGGGTTTGGGGTTAGAGAGAATCGCAAGGATTTGGGGTCGGATAGAACCAGAGACGGTTTTGGGTTATTTGAAAGATAAACCAACCCCAGAGATCATGGAATAGTACCAATTGATAAAGTAATACATTCACAAAACACCCAACAGCCCAAGGAAAAAGAGCAAACTACTCAAGACACCCAACAGCTGTGCACTACAGCTCATTTGAAGACTAAAGAGCCAGCTTACTCATGCTAACGTTGAGCGGATTTGGATGAATATAGATATTCCATTTATGTATACTTATTCTAGAGACTTCTTGTATAGGAGAAATATACACACATTATAAATATACACAATATGTAAAGAGAAATATTGAGGCAGTGAATATAAAATTCTAGCTGAGCAATCTTCTTCCTTTTTCTGAAAACTTCAGTCTTTCTTTCTTGTCTCTATAAGGGAATATATCCCTTCTAGTGAATTTTCTAACACCAATAACCTAAGAAGCTATTTTAAAAAATATATTATGAAATAAAACATCAACCCATCCATAATTCATTTTTATACAAAGGAAGGAGAAACATAACCAATGTCGAAGAATAGAATTCACGACCTGAGATGATGTGGAATAGGATCAATATTGTTGACAAAAGTAGGGGAGTATCACATACGTTCATCTGCCCAGCAGTCATGACCATGTTTAAAAATAAATAGCAAACACGAACAATTTTCATATATTGGATCCAAAACCATTGGCATGCTCAAGAAACTTTCTGCAAATGTTTTTCAGTGCACTTGTGTCAGCTTGTCTGATGACCGATTCTTATAGGCCAACTACCCCTACCAGAATCACAATTATATCCAACTCACCTCGTACGCTAGTGAGAGTGTTCATTTACCAGTTTCACCCCGTCGACTAAAGTTCGCACGTAGGATATTGCTAAAGCTGGGCCGTGTAACCCCTTCAGAGGTTTAGAGGATCGAAACGCAGGATGGATGCTGCGCCCCCATCACACACATGTCATCTAGGATATTGCTCACAAGCAAGCACCCTCCAATCTCAACTATCCATAATGACAACAAAAAATAAAAATAAAAAATCTTAAGCATCCATAAAACCAAACACATATGGCAACCAAAATGATGCAACTTTTGCACACAACATTATTTATCATGTCATACATACACAAAATACAAGTCTGGGAATGAATCCCCCTACCTGAAATTCAAAGCTTAAGATTGACTTGTGGTATGTGCCTTCCTTGCTTGGGCAACTAATTCTTAGTCCAACATTCAAACATGTTACTAAAAGTTCTTGTTTTGAATTTAGTCCTTATACTTATACTTATCTTTAATTGAACTTTGATCCTCATACTTATCAATAATTTCCATTATTTGCACTTTGGCCCTTATACTTTTTCCAAATTACATTTTAGTCGTCATACTTTTTAATAATTGTAAATAGATCCTTGAAGTCTCAAGTAATTGCAATATAGTCCATGTACTTTATGAAAATCACAAAATCATCCCAAAGTCCTTGAATTTCCATTCATGATCCAAAAACAGTAAGTTTCACGGTACAGTATGGTTTGAAAATGTGCGAGTTCTTTTACGTCTTTTCTCTTTCCACATTCATTTTTTAAAAGGTACTGTTCATCATCATATGGGTTTCTTCGAAATTGATTTAGGGTTTAGGTGTTTGTCTGAAATTGGTTTAAGGGTTTGTCTGAAATTGGTTTAGGGTTTATGGGTTTCCATGAAATTGGTTTAGGGGTTTCTCTGAATTTGGTTTAGGGTTTAAGGATTTCTCTGAAATTGTTTGATTGTGATGATTCCCTGTTTGAAACAGTGAAGGAGTGTGTTCTTTGTTCTTCGTTTGAAACTGCTATTGTTTTGCTGCTGTTATTGGTATCGTATATATTGTTGTTTTATTGATTGAAATTGGTACTTAGGTGACGAGGGGTAAATTTTACAACTCAAACAAGACGCAACGATCTTCACACACTTTAGACCTTGATCAAATACACTTATGACTAGTCAACTGCTAGTCATGTACAATCCACAAACAAGAATACACACAGAGCATGCCACAAAGTACTTGCAACCCTAGAAGATTACTAGTGACAACCTAGGCACTCAGAAGGAACCGTCAATCTAGGCATCCCCTGTGCTAGCAACAACTATGGTGAAAGTGTGTGAAATCATTATAATCAAACAAACATCAAACAGCAAATAAAGATGACTAGTCAACTACAAAGGACACACAAACACAGAATTCATACGATGACTAGTCAACCACCAAGAACACAAACCCAGAAAAATTACAGAGATGCAAATCAAAAATTGTTCACCCAGAAACCCACAATTGGAAAGAACTGGGGGTCATCAACCGACCAGGCAATCCACTAAGTAGAAAAAGTTTCTTACAAAGAAACACAAGTAAGCTCAAGAAAAACCTAGATATATTTAGGAAGATGAGCTATACCTCCTTTATGCAATCTTCTTCGCCAACTTAGTAAAACTTGAAGCTCAGTTCTTCATGGCAATGGCAGCTCCTTCTCCAGCTCTTTCATCCCATGGCACTAGCTTGCAAGCTCCAACTCAGACAGAAACCAAAATTTGGATTCAAAGGAGAATGACCAATTTCTTCAAGAAACCACACTCTTGAAGAAATCAGTCTTGAATCTGACCTAGATATAAATGAGAGAGTGTTTTAAGTACAAGATGCATATTCGTATTTCAAATGCAGTTTTTCAAAAATAAATCAATTTGGAAAAACTCATAGATGAAAATAGAGTTCTCTCTTGAGGAAGAAGAAGAGAAAGATGGCAAGCAAAACTTTCCAAAACTTCCACACAAAAGAGACGGCTGCCAAAAGAGGAATTCTTTGGCCTTTACACACAAGAGTTCCCTTAGGTCAGAATGACACATGGCAGCAGAGAGAGAAAGGAGAATAGGACAAAACAGTTGGTTATCTAGCTGGAAATCCTACAGAGCAAGGATGACTAATCATACGAGAAACAGATGACTAGTCATCATTTTATGAAAACAGTTTAATGCAATGTTATGCAATGCACAATTTACTTTTGTCAATTTGCTTGAACCTCCATAGGATAAATGTTAGTTAAGAACACCTAGAGAAGCTATTCTTAAACTAATCTTGAGCTTGGTAAAAAAACAATAAAAATTCTATTACAAAGGTATCAAGGGAAGCCAAAAGAAAAACTCATAATGCATACATTAACATTGATGTTGGATTGCCATTTTAGTGGTATTATATTGGCATCGTAGTGCTGTGTTATTGCTAGTTTATTATTGTTTTATTCCCGTTCCATTGTGGTTTTAGTGGTTTTGGCAATTTATGCAATTGGATTCTGTGTTTGTTTGTTGTCTTTGTTTCATCCAAAGAGAGGAAATTGCAATTCTTGCAAGCCTCAATCGCTAAAGTTGTCAGTATTTCTACACATTTGTGTTTGTTTTGTTATATATTTGATGGTTGCAATTTTGTTGAGAATTATTATAATCATATTTTATATTGTTTTGCCAACAGGTAGGTCATATTGGGAAAGTTACGGGCACACAAAAGAGAAGTATTTAAGGGACTATAAGGAAAAGTTTTGAGTTTACTGCAGAAAAAAAACAGTAAAGGAATACTTAACACAGATATAAATGAGAAGTTTTGTTTTACCAAATGATCAAAGATGTTTTAACAAGACTGGTGTTTCAGAACTCAGAAGAAACTGTTCAAGACAACTAAACATATTGGTATTTTTCTCTCTTACAGAATCAACAAGAAAAGAAGCACTACTATGGACATATTGCAGTAGACTAAGTATGTTTTAAGTAAAATAAGAGGATTACACAAAAGAAATATGAGAATGCAATAAATAATGGAGAGGAACAAGTCTCAGAATTACTGGTATTAACTCAGGAGGTGTAAAACTCATCAGTGAGTTCACAGAACCAAGGAAATTCGAAAGGTGGAACAAGAAAATTGGTGGACAAAAGTTTCACACAGCAACCAACACTGGACCGAATGAAGGTTAAAACTCTACTTTATTGAATAAAGAAATAAGGAAATTTATGTTATTTATAGGTGTTTTCATTCAAGAAAGGGGAGGAGAGTTTTAAGAACAGTAGTTAAAGATTAAAGTAAAGTTCAAGATGTTGTACAAATTTTGTTCATATTTATACATGAATATGAGACTCAGTGGGAAGTATTGAGGCATTGACAAAGAAAAATTGTACTGCGTATTACTGGTTTAAAGTGTAAAATATTGGAAATTGTACATTTTGATAGTGACTTCCGCAAACTGTCGACAACACCAATCGACAGCTTCTGTGACATTGTCAACTTATGAAATCTGTCGAAGCTACTAAGACATGCCCAGATTGGTTAACATTGAAGAGTCTTATGTAGCATCTTTTGACAAGAAGCAATTCAAGTTTACATGATGTTAGAAGGTTTACTTCAGGATTGTGCAATGAAAAGACAGATAGAGGACTACTGGTTTTAACTAAAGGTTTGTATTGCATAAAGGTACTCAATAATCTTTAGAATTGGAAGTTTGTTTTGTATGTGAGATACTAGTTGATATTGATCCAATGAAGAACATGCACTAGACAGATTGAAAATACAAAAACAAGTTTTAAGGCCTAGATAATAAGGAAGCTCACTGGGTACAGGCAGCTTATTGGACAGCAATAAGGAAATCACTAAGGAAATTGTACACAGGTGAATGGGTATAAATCCTATTTACAGAAGAATATTGCTAAGACTCTCAAAAGTTGATGTCTGATTATATGTTTGGTTTGGTGGTGGCACAACAAATCCTATTTCGATATTACAGTCTGAGTTCATGGCATGATGCAAGATTACTTTGCATGCTACAAGACACAATGTTTTTATAACAGTATATTAGACTCAGTATCTATTCGGTTGTAGAATGATAGCAGTTAGTTTCTAGTATACAGTTTAGTGATCGATGAAAGCATTGCACAAGCTTATATATACGATTAGGACAAATTAGACAAGCAAAAAGGCATTCAAAACCCCATCTAGAATAATAGCTTAAAGGATCCAACGCCAATATTAATTTGCCCAAGGTGATCCAACGCCAAAAATCCAATCTAAGATCAGCAAAAACTTTCAGACGTTAGTAGGATTGATATAGCTTATCAATCCCTGCACATGCTGAACAAAGTACTTAGAATTTAATCCAATTTATGTTACAAAAACAGAGAAGAGAATAGCCGGAGTCTTTTGGCATGCATACAATTATTCAAAAGAATAAATATCTAAAGACTTTCTAAGAGTGTCGAATTGAAGATTATCTAAAGGTTTTACAACAAGACATTTAAGATCCAAAGTTTCTGACACTATTAAAGGTTAGTCTTTTAATATACGCAGCCCATATAGTTTACATCAATATCCCAAAATAAGTACTGTTTTGACTCAGCTTCCGTGACTAGTTGTTTTTCAGCCACAAATATACCGGGCCATGTGTTTGGTGCCACAGATTAACAGTAAGTGTGTGGCTATTACATCAGCAATGGCCACCATTCAGATGAGGTGGCTAGGAAAACAGTGGCTACAACTCAATTTTCTATTTAAACGGGATGAGCTCGTGCCTTGCGGAGCTGGTCCAACCATTTGACACCTCTAAATGGATGGATGAATTACATTTGAACTTGGAGAACCAAGGCTAATTTTGGTTAATTATTGATCTGTGGCTGCCAACCAAAATCGTAGATTGAAGAGTGAGTGATAATTTCTACGGTTTTAAAAATAAAATACAATAAAATGGATGAAAATATAAAAAATTCGGGATCTATATGACCACAGAAGTAGGGTACGTTCCCTATTTTCTAGTTAGTGTTTGTTTGATGATATGTGGGGCTCAGAGTCAGTTATTTAATCATCTTGACATCGAATTTGTTGTTAATGGTGCTGGGTTTGACTCATAAATAAAATGATAATGAATGATAGTATTGATGATCTCCCAGAGGTTTTATTGGTTGAAATCATTTGTCGACTTTCTTGTATCAAGTTTGTTTTTCAATGCAAGTGCGTGTCCAAGCGTTGGTGTGAACTCATCTCTAGTTCTCATTTTGTTGGGCAATATGTACGTCGCCAACGTGATTTGAAAACGCCCATTTTAGGTACTGTAGTTGTAGACAATGGAACATTCTTTCGGGTGGAAAACGAGGATGGTCTGATGATCGAGGATGGTCTGATGAGTTTGCAGCTACCTGTTATTTCAGAAGCCGCAGCAGAACAAAAATTATTTGTGGTAGGGGCGTGCAACGACTTAGTTTTGTGCTGCCCAAGCGAACTTGATCAACGTGATTATTACATTTGCAATCCATACACCAAGAAATGGGTTGCTCTTCCTCCCCCTCCTCGAATCCATAATTGGGTAAGCGTAGGGTTCATTTGTGATCCCTACTACAACTACAACTCATCTTCCTCCTTCGATGATGATGTTTCCATCAATGCTGAATATAGGTGGAGGGTTGTGCGACTACGTCAGGAGTTCTATGTGGACATCTTCTTTTCTGAGACCGGTGAATGGAGAGAGTCCGCTAATGTGGTATGTGGCCTACGAGATTATTTTGATATCATAACTGCTGGCGTTGCTTGCAATGGGAAGTTGTATTTTTCAGGTTCCGATCATGCATCCTCCTATATTCTGGAGTTGGATCCCTTCCAAGGTATCAGTAATATCAGTACTAGTAATGGTGATGGTGATGGCGATCATATTATTGTTGACAAATGTCGGTTCAGTCTGGAACCTCTTGATATGTCGTCTGAAGTGAGGGGAAGTAGCCTTTTGATGTATCGGGTTCTTGGTGCATGTCGAGGGCATTTGCGGGTGAGCGAGTTTGTGCTTGGTAATCATTTGAGTGTTTGGGAGTTGGATGCAGGCGATGATAATTTGAAATGGCGTTTGGTGGCCGACAAAGTTCCCTTCTTCGAGTTGGATTCTTCCTATTATGATGATGTTTCTTTGACGCCTCTAGATGAGTGTGCAAAAACTGCGATAGGTTTCCACCCGACTATTGAGGATACCATCTACGTAGATGCTAAGAAAATTATCAGGTGGAACTTTGGTGCAGGAATGTTTGAGTTAGTTCCAGAGATTCGAAGTCGGGACACGAGTTGGAATCTCAATTACATCCACCCATTTGTGCTCCCATGGTGGCCCACACCCGTTCCTAGCCTCTAAACTATTCTACTATAGCGAAAAGTGTGTAAAGCTCTAGCTCTGACTCTAGCTTTGATGCATGACCACCAAATCCAAAATTGAATCTTTATGAATGCCTTCAAGATAAGTCTGCAAAGCCTCTATTTCTGTTTGGATTAGTAATCCTTATGAAAGTGCATCTTCTAGTGCAAGTGCTCCCTGCAAAGACCCACAAAACATATCATTGTCAAGAAGTAACTTATAGGCTTAGAAAATCACTGATGAGGTTAATACACATTAAGTTCTCTTCTAAATAAAACGTTGGGAGTGAATGGAAAGAATAATAATATTCACCAATTCGACATAGAATTAATGCAAGTTTGTGAGCAGAGTGAGTCTGACGAGCTTCTTCAGATCTTGCATAGAATGCCACACACAAGGCATTTATCTACAAAAAGTACCTAAACATCATATTTCAAAATAGACCAATTCGACAATCATTATTAGAGACATTAATACAGACAAACTTACCATGTACCACCCAGTGTAGAACTATTTAAGCAAGATTCATCAGTTATTATCTCAAAGCTGCATAAAATTGAAGTCTACATGCCTTAACTCTCTGTACGAGTCATATGTAGACCATTAAGTATGACTTCATTTACTAACTTTGACATACAGATATACAGTTAATTAACTTTTGACATACAGAGGCTTTATAATCTAGAAAAAGCGAGCAAAACTACAAGCACATTTATATATTTAAAACAGTTTACACCCTTTAATATGGCCTGCAAAACTGGAGTTACATTTCCTTCATGTTGGACAAAGGCAAAAAATATTGCATCCCAGCATCTATCACCCTGCTCCTCATTATTTTGACCTTTCCTAAAATACAAACTTCAAGTAACCACTAACATGATTGCGACTCACTTTATTTGACTGCTTGAACGGAGTGGGAATTTACATCACATAGGGGTGAAGTGAGTTCTGAGCAATACTCTATCAAGCAATTGTTATAGGCAGTACTACGTGTAAAGTTTAGATTTCCTCACACCAAATAGTGTTGAGATTTTCTATATTTATACAGAGTATGAATCAGTTACAGAAATTCAAAAGAGCTAATATCAAGGAGGCATTACACTTGCTATGATCAAGGAAAAATTACAAAATAATTACAAGATTCTTAGGAAGGAAAGACTACAGCTGGTGTTAATATCATGGGTGATCTGCAGCTGTTACAGCTGCATTTGTAACGGTTGAAGGTGCAACTAATACGCCCCCTCAAGTTGAGCGTTCTTGAACTCTCAACTTGTCTCTGATGAAGGTGAAGCGAGGGGAGCTCAATGGTTTGGTCATGATATCAGCAAGTTGATCCTTGGTGGAGATAAATTTAACACTAAGCTTTCCTGCAGAAACTTGATCACAAACAAAATGATAATCGATCTCTATGTGCTTTGTACGAGCATGAAAAATTGGATTAGCAGAAAGGTAGGTAGCTCCTAAGTTGTCACACCATAAGACAGGTGAAGTAGATGTGGAAATTCCAAGTTCCTGGAGTAATGAGCGAAGCCAAATAATTTCAGTGGAAGTATTGGCAATGGCACGATATTCTGCCTCAATGGAGGACCGGGCAACAGTATGTTACTTTTTGGCTGACCACGAGACCAAGTTATAGCCAAGATAAATAGCAAACCCACCAGTTGAGCGGCGATCATTTGGACATCCAGCCCAATCCACATCACAAAAGGCTTGAATGGCATGAGAAGAAGATTTGCTGAGGAAAAGTCCATGAGAGATAGTTTTCTTGAGATACCAAAGAATTCTCTTGACGCTAGCCCAATGTTCACTGCTGGGATTATGCATAAATTGACAAACTTTGTTAACAGAGTAGGACAGTTTCGGGCGAGTTAAGGTGACATATTGAAGAGCGCCAACGATGCTTCTGTATTGTTGTGGATTAGATAATGGTTCACCATCAGATTTGCTAAGCTTGCTAGAAGAGGCCATTGGCCAAATGGGATCGCTTTAGGAGATCAATGATGTATTTGCGCTGAGAAAGGATTAATCCACCAGAATGGGGTACCACCTCAATGCCCAAAAAATAATGTAGTATACCAAGATCTTTCAAGGCAAATGTGGAGCAAAGAGCGGAGATGACTTTTCCAATGGCAGCACTATTATTTCCTGTGATGATTATGTCATCAACATACACAAGAACATAGATAATTGTAGTTCGATCATTAAAAACAAACAATGAACTATCCATTTTAGAGCCAACAAATTGAAGTTGTAAAAGGGAAGAACTCAAACACTGAAACCATGCCCGTGGTGCTTGTTTTAAGCCATAGAGGGATCGATGAAGTTTACAAACATGATGCGGTTGAGAGGAGAGGAATCAAGAAAACCCGGTGGTTAAGTCATGTAAACCTCTTCTTTAAGATGACCATGGAGAAAAGCATTACTTACGTCCAACTGATGAGCTTCCCAACCATTGCTGACAGCAAGTGACAAAACTGTGCGAATAGTGGTGGCTTTGACGACGGGACTAAATGTCTCAGTGTAATCAACTCCCTCTTGTTGATGAAATCCCTTGGCAACTAAACGTGCTTTGTACCTATCAATTGAACCATCAGCCTTGCGCTTGACACGAAACACCCACTTACACCCAACAACATTCATGGAAGGATCATAGGGAACAAGTGACCAGGTGCCATTCTTTATGAGGGCATTCAATTCTTCAGTCATTGCAGCACGCTAGTAGGGGTGTTTGTCATCAGAGAAACAAGTTGGCTCATTTTGGGTGTCTGCTTCAGTCAAAAGTGCATGAGGAAGAGTGTATTTGGGATTGGGAGTTGGTCTCGGGCGAAGAGAGTATCTAGCATTTTGACGCCCCTGACTTGGGTTTTCTCCTTGAGTACCTGCCAAAACTATAGCTAATTCCTGACCATTGGAGTTAGTAACAGTAGGATCAATATTTTCGTGTTGGGAAGGAATCATAGATGAATTATCATTATGGGAGATGTTGTGAGGAGATAATGCAAGAGTTGAAGCTGTAGTGGAATTTGAATTTAAATGCACATTTGGTGAGCTAGGAGAAGCATTAGAATTTAATGGAGATGAAAGAGGAGAGGAGGAATTACCAAATGAGGACACCCTTGCTTCACGTGCTGAACTTGGGAACTCTATAGGCAACAAAAAAGCATCAGATGGTGGGTCATTTGGAGCCTACAACACAGGAGTTGGAGAAACAGAAAATGGAAAGGCGTGTTCATGAAAACGTGCATGTCTAGAAATATATGTCCTGCCTGTTTGGGGATTTAAGCAGCAGTAACCATGGTGATTTGGACTATATCCCAAGAAAATACGCGGAAGAGAATGAAAATCAAATTTATTTTTATTATAAGGATGAATATATGGGAAAACTAAGCAGCCAAAAACTTTAAGAAAACAATAATCAGGAGATTGATTAAAGAGAACTTGGAAAGGAGATTGATCATGAAGGACTGAAGTAGGCATTCTATTTATCAAATAAACAGAAGTGTCAAATGCAAAATGCCAATATTGTTTTTGGTACAGATCCATGGGCAAGGAGAGTGAGACCTGTCTCAGTAATATGACGTATTTTTCTTTCAGCAGATCCATTTTGCTCATGAGTGTGTGGACAAGCAATTCGATGAGTGATCCCACATTTTTCAAAGTGAGAAGAAAGCTTACGATACTCTCCCCCCCAATCTGATTGGAAACTGCGGATCTTGGTATTAAACAAGCGTTCTGCTTTGACTTGAAATTTAAGAAATATGTCACACACATCAGATTTACGGACTAAAGGGAAAAACCATACATATTTGGGAAAATCATCAATAAACAAAACAAAGTAACGATGTCCTTCAATGGATGGAATTGGGGATGGCCCTCATACATCACTGAAAATAAGTTCTAATGGATGAGAGCTAACAGAAGGAGTGGGAGGTAAAGAAAATTTAGACATCTTTCCCAAACAACAAGCAGTACAAGGAGGTAGGTCCTTTGAAAGAGAAGGAAGATTATTGCCATTTATTACTTGACGAAGAACACGTGGATGTGGATGACCCAAGCGTGCATGCCAACAAGAGAAATTGGCACGTTCGCTTAAGAAAGCCATGGGACCGTCATTTTTATTGGAGATGGCAATATTACTAAGCTTATAGAGGCCACCTTCATTCAGCCCGTGAAGTAGAGGTTTCCCTGTGTGCTGGTCCTTCACAACAAAGAAAGTGGGGTGAAACTCAAAATAACAATTATTATCTTTGGAGAATTGATGAACAGAAAGAAGTTTCTTTGTGATATCAGGAACATGTAAGATATGAGATAGATTAAAAGAACGAGTGGCATTAGAAAAGGTAGATGTCCCAACATGAGAAATATTTAGCCCATTACCATTACCAACTTTCAATTGATCTGGACCATTGTAGTTATTAGCGATGGAGAGATTGGCAAGATCCGGAGTGACATGATGAGTTGCGCCAGTGTCAAGAAACCATGTGTTAAAATCACTATTTGAATATGCTGGAAAGGATGCAATGTGAGCAGAAGCATCACTGGGCCTATCATAGCGATATCGACATGTAGCAGCCAAATGATTTGTTCGATTACAAATCTGACATCTTGTTGTATTTGAAGGATTAACTCTGAAATTTTTCCTAAGAATTATTAGACTTAAACAAACTAAAAAGCATGATCGTCGCTCCACATCCTTCCAGGCAACCCGAAGAGAGCCATAGCATCATATAGCCTAAACTCATAGTGTCGTGCTGGTTAAACTCAAACCCGATGTGCAACCCAACATCTTACTTGTATGCTTGGGCCGAAAGACGGCTATTATTTCAAGGCGTCAACAGCTTTTAATGGCGACTACTTCCGCATTACAAAACAAAAGAACAAAGAAAAGATCATGAGAGCAAAAGAAGGGGGGCAGGGGGAGAGAAGGGAGGAAAGGAAATGAGAGGGGATGAGGAGAAGAGAGGGGAGGTGGGTAGGGAGGGAGGCCACACCCGAGTTGGTTAAGAAGACTTAAAGAAGATAAAAGGTGAAAGCAGTACATAGATGTTCAAACTTTGAGAAGGATTGAAGTTCGCATTTATTTCCTTGTTCATGACCTTTGAACCTCTGCCCACCTATGCGTTGTTTTAGGATTTGAGAATTATTATGGCTTTTACCTACATTATCTAATAAACAATACACTATTGTTAGCAATTCTGGTCCCCCTTGAAGCTTTTGAAGTATCAATGATATATGATATATCCCCACTCACCAACAATGATCATTGTTTATATTTGAATAATATTTGGTCGTGAAAGTATGCTTCTTACTAACTAAATATATATTATTAATAATTAATACGTAACCGAATTAACTTTTGTTTACTCCTAATGTTCCAACACAGAATAATTCGTGGTTGCTAACTATTTAAATATAGTCATCCACTAATTTCTAATCATTAACACTCATTGAGCAGACTCTGCAAATAAGTTTAACTAACGAATTCTTCTAAGTGAGGTGCTTTGTTAAAGCATTGTTAATAATTCAGAAATGGTACGTCTTTAATAATTTAGAAATAGTTTAGAAATTCTATACCAAAATCAGAGAAGCGTAGGCTTTTAGCATAAAAAATATTTGAAGCATAACATCTTCTATACAAACATATTACATAGAGCTTATTTTAGGGACATCCTTTATAAGGCACTCTATATTGTATTTTAATAATCCAAATCATTTCTTGTTTAGGTGTTCCCTCAAAAATTATCTCTACAAAAAATCAGTCAAATATACAAGATCATTTAACCACTCAATTGAATGGCTGTCATTTTGGTGTTTTCTTGTAATACCGTGTTCGTCGATTTTGTTGACCACAACTACATGCGTTAACAGTTTCTTATTTGTCAAATTTTTTACAAAGATGACATTTGAATGAAGACTTAAAATTAGTCAGATCATTGCCAACAAGGGTTGGTTGAGTTGGTAAGGATCGTTCTCTTCGCTATTAGGGCCTAAGTTCGAGTCCTGCTGCCGACAATCCTTCTTAGTGGGTAATCTGTAAAAATCAAAAAAGGAACTAAGGCCCCCTCTGTAAATCCTCAAAAAGGCCTTGGTATGCCCTAATTTTGGGATAAAGAGAAACTCTCAAACAACGGGGATAACACTTTTTGCTATCTCTAGCTAATAACGCACTGACACATAAGATAACTTTTCCATATGTTATTGTGTTATTGACCATGAATAGCACTGTTGCTCTCCATGTTATAAGTAAAGTTTTTTGCCTCGAATGGAGTAGCCCCCCGCCTAAACTTTTGTTCATTAAAAAAAATAAAACATCAGTCAGATCATTAAAATAAAATTTATGTGTGCGCTATAAATATATTCGTCTGGCCGTCCCCATTAGGCCTTAGCTAGCTGGCGTCCTACAATACTAAGCTGAAAGTTACTTCAGTAGAACAAAGACAGCATGCGGTCCATGACCATGGATTTTAATTTCTTTTGTTTAGGTATGCAATATTAGTACTAACGAAGATTTAAATAATATATGCTCGAATATAATTATGAGGGCCATGGATGACAGTGATAGAGAATAGAGAATAGAGAATACGTCTTTTATTTTTATCTTTTTATTTTAATACTTTTTAATATGATAGTTATATTATATGTATATGATTGTGGATGTATATATATATATCAATCCTGATCTCTTGGACTACAAAGGTCCAAGAGGTTTGTGATCACTCACCGTTGGATGTAAATTTAACGGTTCACTCACTCTTGCACTCTTTTAAGAAACTTTTTTTGAACTATTGGATTAATATCCAATGGTGGGTGACCACAATCTCTTGAACTCCTGTGGTCCAAAAGATCGGGACTGATATATATATATATATATATATATATATGCGAGAATTTCACTCACACCCCTGAGGTTAGGCATAATTATAATCAGACCCACAGGTTTGATTTATTGCACTAACACTCCTTCTGCTAGTTGTTTTTAACAGGAAATTATGTTTAATGGGTGAAATGTCAATTCTACCCCACCGTTAAATAATCTAATTGACTAAAAAAACAAATTCAAAACACAACCAGCCCCTTTTTATCACATCTCCATCTTCATCGAAATTTTTAGGGTTTAGAGCAACTCCACCCATTTGCCATGGCAAAGAGCAAGGGGGGGCTATGGCAAATACTATTCACATGAATAGTGGCTGCCTTTGCAAAAAGCAATGTGTGTTTCCCCACGTTGCCATGACAAAGGGCAAATACTATTCATTTTTCGTTTTTTTCACAAATTTTTTTACCTAAACAATTAATTTGGATAATATTTTCAGATAAGATTTTTGGGTTCGTATGTGTCAATATTTATTATAAAATTCATATCTCATAATTGGATAAAATATTCGGATAAGATATTCAAATTTCAAATTTCAAATAAATTTCAAATTTCATATAGGATTTTTACCCTCTAAAATCGCACCACGTGTCATCTCTATCTACCTAAATTTTTCTATAAAACCAGAGGCTCAGCTCATACATCTCACACAAGATCTTCTCTATATTTTCATTTCTCAGATTTTAGAATTCATACTCCATTCTCAGTGTCAGACATGAGGAGATGCTTGGAGAGGCAAGAGCGAGAAACTAATGAAAGAAGGCGTAGACGAGTTGAAGGCAAAAGGGTGCAGAGAGAAGAAGATCAACAAGTTGACATAGCACTGGCTTTGCTTGATAAAGAAAACCAAGGCCGCCACCGTGGTTCACAAGTCTGCCATGGCCCGAATGTGGACAGACATAGGCATTCTCGGGGTGAGAATATGTTGGAAGATTATTTTATCCCAACCTCTTTATACTCTGATGTTGATTTTTGAATGCGATATAGAATGCAACCCCATTTGTTCAATAAAGTCATGTATGATATTTGCAATTATGATGCATACTTTGTTCAAAAGTGTGATGTTGCTGGGCTTTTGGGACTTCTTCCAAAGCAAAAGCTTACAGTTGTTATACGAATACTGGCATATGGTTTATCTACTGATCAGGTGGATGAGATTGCCCGAATGGGGAAGTCCACTACTTTGGAGAGCTTGGTAAGATTTTTTTATGCAGTCGAAACTCTGTACACCAAGGACTACTTGCCCGCAAACCTACACCCAAGGACCTCCAATGGCTTCTACAAAAAGCAGAAGCTCGAGGATTTCCAAGAATGATTGGTAGCATCGACTGCATGCACTAGAAATGGAATAATTGCCCAACTGCCTGACAAGGAGATTATGGAAATAGGAAAGAGCAAAAAAGTATCATCCTTGAAGCCATTGCTGGATTCAATAAATAAAATACATGAATTACAACTACTTTAATACAAAACATGAAAATACAATTAAATAAAAGGTAAGCAAACTAACTTAATGGTTTTGATCATTTAACCAATCCGTGTTGCTAGGTCCATCGTCACGGAAAAGTCTTCTTCTCAGAACATCCCTTCGTTCTAGCTTCCAAAATTGTTTTGTTCCAAGGGACATATGGCTTGTATCCATGGTCATGGTTTCCCGATCCTTCATGTCAATGTTTTCTTTGCATATTCTGCTTGAATTGTCCCCTCGTCCAGTTGGGTTTTCATGTCTATTTCAATTTTCATGGCGATGTGCCTTGCAATTTCCTCCGAAATTTTTGATGCATTATTGCTAGAATTACTCCATCTCTTCACCTTCACAGCCTTTCGGCCAATAGGCCTCAGCTCCTTTTCAATGGGTGAGTCTTGACACATCGGGGAATCTAAAAGCGAATTTGATGCCCGTGAATCATGAAGTGGCGTCTTGTTTAACACAACGGGCGGACCCGTGGGAATAATTCTGAAACGTTTGCAATTTTTCACCACGTCCCAACATTCTTGATGGTTGAAAGATTTTTTTCTTTGCCCAATTGCACCAAACCACATTTGTGCTTGAATAATCTATTAACAAAAAAATAATGGAAATGCAAGACACATTAATAAAATATTGAAAATGCAAGAAATTATTTAAAATATATTGGAAATGCAAGTAACATTACAAAAATATTGGAAACGCAAGAAACATAAAAAAAATATATTGGAAATGCAAGAAACATTAAAAAAAAATATTGGAAATGCAAGAAAATAAAAAAATAAAAAAAATTTATGACATTACATTTAATAAAATGGAAGTTACAAATAATTTACCTCATTGCTAAGATTTTCACCACTTCGAACATTGTCCCTCGCTTTTGCTAATGCATCTCTCCATTTCCTCAACTTTTTATTCAATATTTTCCACCTGCTACTCAATGTCATTTCCATATGACTAGAACTCGATCTTTCACAAAATTCGACATGGATTTTTCTCCACATGTGAAAGAATTTCATTTCATTGCCCGTGACCGGACAATGAGTAACATGGACCCAACTCTCACACAAGAGAACATCTTCCATGGTTGCCCATGTGCCCTTGGCTTCAATGGAAGATGCCATGAGATGGTGAATAAAAATGAAAATTTTGTGTAGAATGTGAAAACAATAGAATTTATGAAATTGTATGAGGATTTGGTATTGAAAGTGTCGAAGAATGGTAGGTATTTATAGAAAAACAGTTCATAATTTGGGAGTGAATTTTTACAAAAATTTCAAATTTTTTTCACATTTTTTTCCCCAATAAAAGCCCAGGCGTTGGATTTGAAAAAAAAACCATCAAAGCACCAGAACGCGCCATGTGGCATGTTATCATTGGTGTTGGCGTCATCGCGCACTGAATCAAATTTTTTTTAACGTTGAACGCACCAACGGTAAAAAAAATTTGAAATCGCGTCGCTGACTTCACCTCTCCCCTCGGGCTTGGGCTCGAGCTCGGGCTACTTTCTCCTGCGGGTTGGCCTGGTCAGGTGGGACCCGCGCCTTGCCTGGGCTTGGGCCCTGTCCTGCCCGGGCTTCAGTCAACCGGTGGAGTTGCTCTTAGCTACCATAAATTTTTCAATGTAACTATCATACATCATTTTGCTTAACTTCCCTCATGTAATATATAAGGATAAAGAGTGTATACACATACATGAGTTTTTCGAGCTATGTTAAAGTTGGTGGCCAATATACGTTTGTGATTTCTGATCGTTGATGTATATAAGACATGCAACGCATTCATTGTCAAAATTCATTTGCGTGTGCTAAGAATTGTAGGGTTTGAATATTTGGATCATGATATTCTTCTCCATAAGGAGGAATATATAAGGATTTACATCTATGTTTTACAAGAAAGTAGTACGGGAAATAAATCTGAAATATCTCCAAATAATACAAGGATATGTTAACTAAACTAAATAGGAAATAAATCACCTAATTAACATAGGAAATAAATCTCCTTGATTGCGATAAATTAACTCACGTTAACACTCCCCCTGAAGTTGGTGCATACACATCGCCAATTCCACCTTGGTAAGTGAGTTATGAAATACTTGTTCGGAGACAACTTTTGTCAATACATCTGTTAATTGGTCTTCTGATTTTACAAAGGGCATGCATATAATCTTGTTCTCAATCTTCTCTTTGATCAAGTATCTATCCACCTCATCATGTGTTGTCTCGTCATGTTGAACTGGATTATGAGCAATATCAATCACCAACTTATCATCACAATACAACTACATGGCATTCTCCAGTTTAAAACTCGTGGTTCAAGGTTTAGTGTGGGAGGTATTTATTGGTGGTGGTCAAGTGTTTGGAGAGGGGTTTGGAAATGCTGGAAGGAATACGATTGATGAGGTAAGCAACATAAATAACTACCTCTCCCCAAAACGACTGAGGCATGTTCGCGTCGAAGAGAGAAGCACTAACCACTTCCAACACATGTCTATTTTTCCACTCAACCAGCTTTTTTTTTTTGGAGTATATGGACACGAACATGGGTGTATTATGCCATGATCTTGTAAAAACTTGTGTAGATCATGGTTGATGCGTTCTCCGTCATTGTCATAACGGAGAGTCTGGATTTTTGCATGAAATTGAGTCTCCACCATTTTGTGGAATTGTTGAAATTTCAAACCCACTTCCCCTTTTGTTTTAAGAAGGGAAATTCAGGTTATTCGAGTGCAATCATCTATGAAAGTGCAAACCATCGAACCCTAATTATAGTGGAAATTTTAGAAAAGCCCCAAACATCAGAGTGAATAAGTGAAAAAGGAATCAAGCTTTAATTTGAACTTAAAGGAAACTAAGCACAATGGCTCTTAACCAGTTCACATATGTCACACTTAAAACTTGAATTATAAAAACTTGAAAATAATAATGCAAACAACTTCTTCAAATAACCTAACAGGTATGCCCAATATGCCTATATCATAACCAAACTTCTTCTCTCTGTTTCTCAGCACTGTCTCTACTCAACTTGACAGCTTGACCGACTCTTGTTTCACTGCCTGGCACCAAGTCTAAGTAGTAGAGTTTGCCCATCCTAGTACCACAACCCATCCCATTTCTAGTGCGAATGTCCTGAAAAACACAATGAGTTGGCCAAAATGTTATATTACATTCCAAAGCCATAGTAATTTGTACAACAAACATCAGGTTATAGTTTAAGAACAAGCCGAGTCTAGGGTGTAGTTTTTTCTCTTGAGTTTTGGGAAGCGTTGGTGTACTCCTTCCAAATTTTCTTCGCTTTTATTGTGTTTGTTCGCTGTGTTTTTCTTATTTTGCTGTTTTGTCTCTTTGTAAGCTGATTAATTCCTACGCCGTGTGAAGAACTATGATTGTCATCATATGAGGTTCTCTTTGACAGGTTCTGGGAAGAGTTGGTGTGCTCTTTTGGGGCGCTTTGTTGCCTTCGCTATGCTTTTGGATTATATGAAACTATTGGATTATGAATAAAATCCATTTTTTCTCTATTAAAAAAAACAAAACAAAACAACAACACTCATCGTAAATTAACTCACGTCAACAACGTGTACATACCTTACACAGGTGGAACCACATAGAGGGCTTTGGTGGGCTATAGCCCAAGGAAGGCTTTGGGGAAAAACAAAAACAAAAAAACCTATACATCCTATTACTATTTTTGATGCGTATACAACCACTATGCTAACCTAAATACATATATAACAATACATATAGTTAAAGGTCTTCCATCTTTGTGGTCACTGTCAAAAATTGTCCCAACACCAACGCTAGTCCTTAACTCTAACTCTTCAATTTTAATATTTTTTATTGATTTGACTCCAAAAGAGAAGCAAATTTTTTATTGATTTTATTGTTTTTATGCTTACAACTAATATATATATGTGAAACTTAATTATTTATATTTTTGCAATTTGCATTTATGAAGGGTTATTTTTTTTTTTTGTGCATTTAATATGTACTTATTTTATGTTGAAGCTTATTGAAAAGTAGTCAGTGGAGCTATAAACTAGTGTGATAGATATGATTTAATGAATCCTTTTATTTCTAGAAAAACTTTAGAAACTGTAGGTAAAGAAAAAATAATTATTAAATTTTAAGCTAATAAGTTAACTAACTAGCCCCTTTAAAAATTTCTGAATCCGCCCTTAGTATGTTATCATCATTTTTCTCCTCACGTGCACTTCCATTTAACACGTGGAGAGACACACAGCAGCGCCGTACTGGCTGGCTTCGGTCTGGTTGGTAGTTCAAAAGTGGGGTTGGTGGCCATTGGGCGGTGCGAGCTCACGAGAATCTAACTACAATCCAAAAGTTGAGTGGGGAAACGCTGAGACAATATACAAAATGGGCCCACTAAGAGACTGCCACGTTGGCACAGAGTACCAGGCTTTCATGGCAGCACCTGATCGCGCCACACGTCTGTGTTTTCATTATTCTTTGTTCTTTTGCAATGTTTTCTTTTCTTCTTGCTTTTTTTTTTTTCCTTTTGCAACTTGCAAAGTTTTGTTGTGTGCCACGTCATCAATCATCACATATGGATGTGAGGCAGACAAAAGAGGAAAAAATAATGTACTTATTTCTAATTTAAATTTTCTTTAAAGTTATATGTAATGACTTGTTTTTTTTTTTCTGATTCTTTCTCTCCTCTTTTTTTTTACTTAGGATCAATTTGACATTATTGTGTTGTTAAAATAATCGCTGTCAGATTTGCTGTGAGAGAAATCAGCTGTGAAAGAAATCAATTTGACATAAACTTTTTGTCAAAAGTGTTGTTGGTACAATAATCAGTTTTGAGTGTTTGGTAAATTTTTGTGTCAAAGTGCTGTAAACTATGTATAACGACTAAAAATGACATTATGTTGAAATGACTTTTCTGTTCAAGTGTGTGGTAAAAAGAAAAAGAAAAAGAATTTCAGGTTTGGTTTGGAATGGTGGCAAAGTGTGCAACCACTCTGAGCTGGGACTAATTACGATAAAGCTCTCCCTAGGGGTTGTTTTTCACAAGCTGAGTTTCGAACGCTGGACCTCACAGAGTATCTAACTAACATTCGCCTAACTTGCAAGACCTAGTCAGTATTTCCACTAGACCAAATCCCTTAAGTAATTTCACTTTCACTTATATATTTCTTTGTTAAATATGTTTGGTACATGTAGATATCCCTTTGCTTTGACAAAAATTAACCTAGTATGTCTATTACCTTATTCTTGTGGCATCTAAAGAGTGCTTCAACGATCCAACAAGAAAAATTGAACGAAGAGAAGAAGAAGAGTAGCTCTGGCATGAGGAACATGGAAGAGAAGGCATGAAGATGAATGATGGGAAGTAGAAGAACGAGGAGAAAGAGACGCTAGCGTGAAAACATATGGGGTTATTTTGGAATTCTGACATTGTTATTAAACTCTAGCGCCTCTCAAAACTAATTGCCACATAATCAGAAAATGAAAGCAGCTATGTACCAGCTTTCCCTAATTGCTTTCTCACACAACAATTATTCACAATAAGTGATTTTTTTATCTCTTACCAAACAGGCTGGGCTTTCAAAAAATTTCAAGTAATCACTTATAGCCCCAAATAAGCAATACCAAACGGGCACTTAGACTCTCTTTTATTTATTTATTTTAATACTTTTTATATAAGGTTTAGGGAGTGTAAGTGCACAAAAGAGGGGTGAGAACATATAATTTCCAACAAAATGAGTGTAAATGGACAAAAAAGGATGGGAAAATCAACTCCCTTTTTTTGTTGAAGTAGATGCTCATGTAATGACTATTTTAAAGTGCTCGTACACATAGTGTTGGTTCGACATTGCTTATTTGGGGTGATAAGTGATTTTTAAAAAAATTTAGGAAGCACATCCCTTTTGGTAAACTATGAGAAATCACTTATTATTAAAAATTGTAGTGAGAGAAAGCTATAAGGGAAAGCAGCTAATGAGGTGCTTTCATTTTCTGATTATGCAGGAATCAGTTTCAAAGAGGCGCTGGGTTTAATGATTATGTGAAAATCATTTTCTAATTATGCGGGAAACAATACCAACAACACATTTAACAAAAAGTTTACCAAACACCAAATTGCTTTCTCTCACATTTGATTTCTCTCACAACAAATCTAATAGCGATTATTTTCACAGCACAGCAATGCCAAACTGGCCTCTAGATTATAGAAGTTAAGGAAAATGTAAAGGCTTTGCAACTCAAGTGGTTAAGATCTATGTACCGAAGTTCTAAGTTCGACTCCCCATTTCCTCAATATCGTTTGTATTTTAAAAAATATAGAAAATTTAAGGAGCATATGTGTCGAGACCTGTTATATGAGAGTTTAGCCAAAAAACTTATTAATGTTGTAAGGGTCATATTACTAAAATATGAACTAGTTAATGCCTCTACAATGGGAAATTAAAATGTGCTCTTTTTAAAAATGGAGAAATGGAGAAATGAAAGCATTGACAATGTTCACGTGGTATAATATCAAATTCAATGTCACAGTTTGTTTGAAATTTCATAACAATTAAAATCATTATTTTTTTATTTTTTTTTTTTTTTTTTTTTTTTTTTTTTTTTTTTTTTTTTTTGGCAGAATACTGTTTTTGTTTTTTTATTTTTTTTTTGTTTTAATAGTAGCTAGTATGACCTGTACTGTATGGCTGTGTTATTATGAGCATGACATTACTCTTGTAGTTAAAATATAGAAATTTTCCTCCTCATCACATGGAATTCAAAAATTCAATACTACCGTCTTTGTTTTGTTAAAGAAGATTCGGAATTATTGATGGGAAAAAAAAAAAAAAAAAAAAAAAAAAAAAAAAAAATATATCTTAGTTCAAATTTTATAAACGAGACACTTGATGGAAAAAGAAAATTAGGAGAAAATATACTATCCTTGTTTTTCGCCTACTAGTTGGCAACAAATATAGTTTACAATAGTACTCAATTTCCCTTGTCTTGGGATGAACTTGAGTTGCATCAATTTATGTTTGCAAGTAGAAATCGAAGCTGCAGTTTTCATTGAAGACTTAGCATAAATGCCTTTTGATTTCTGATCAACTGGAATTGGATCAAGATGACTCGTTGTATTTGTGGGAAGGGCATAATTGGTAACCCCTTGGTTGTTGTTGTAGCAATGCTCTCCCTCCTCCTGATTTGAAGGTGGCACCTCCCAAGCTTGCGCTGCCTGCTGCAGAACAGACATAGCTCCTGTCTGGGTAGAGAGAAAATCACAAATGTGAAGCTGATAAGTTTTGTTTTGTCTTGTGTTGATGAACAATCGTAATCTTTGCATGTAGTTTATACGTGTCTCGGGTAACAAAACCATGACCTCGAAATAACTAACTGTTTAATTAAGCTTCATTCTGTATGTTTGGTTTTCTGTTACCCGCCTTGCTGTCCTGCTGTGATTGCGGATTGTAATCTGATGTGGCACTTGAGCTGCTGAGCGGACTGGTTTCTTTCATCCTTGTCAGCAACTTAGATGTGTCAAATGGGATTATGTGTAACTTGATTATTTGAATTAATGTTTGATTTGATCCACTTGACCAACTAGTTCTTGGGTTTAAAATTTTAAGATGAACTTTTTTGGCTTACAATAATAAAATTTAAACCTAAGTTCGACAAACTTTCTCATCTCATTCCTATGTTACTGATGAAGGGTTTCAATATACAAGATTGTATACCATTCAAGCGTGTTGTCTAGTGACTATTACATAAAAGTGAGAGATAACCCTTTTTCTAGTATGACTTAAAACTTCAGAGGAAGAGTAGATATTGCTTTAGATTATGTTTTCTTTACATTTCTTTGTTTCCAAGTAACTAGATTTCATTCAAAGATTCTTCATGGTTTAATTAACCTCTAAATATTATAGAGATAATTGGTCTATTGGTACTTTTCTCTACTGTGTTGAAAAGTCAATGTTCGACACGTATGTAGTCGAAGAAGATACATATTTGTGATGGGTTCAGTATCTAATTGTGGCTAGCCTTTAACATCGCACCAATACTTACCAACTCATGTCAGGGGTTTTGTGTCACAGACAACCCAAATTATTATTATTTTTTAGTACTCTTTCCAAGTTATAAGTCTTTTAATTTGAATCCGATATATTTTTTCTTCACAGATCTTTCAATTCTCTAAGTTGAGTTTTGACTTGTTTAATTTCACTATTAAGAATCTCCAGGGGAAGAGGCAAGAGTAGGCAAACCTTATTTGTCTACATCAACATTTTCATGCTCCAAGGGAAGAGGTAAATGGCTAGGCAAAATACACTTACTCTCCACAACAAGGCAATATTGCCTACTTCAAAGTGAAGAGTTATATTGAGCCTCACCTGCTTTTTATAATAAAATATCATCTTCATTTTCTCATCTACTTTCTATAAAATAAAGGGTAAATTACTCAAATTGTCCTCAAATTTGTACCTGATTTACATTTTAGTCCCTAAACTAAATTATTCGTTCGAATAGTCCACCAACTCTTTATTAATCAGCGCTTTGGTCCTATCGTTACATTTTCTATTAAATTTAGTCATGTGAGCAGCACATGCTACATTTGTTAGGGTAAATAAGACTTTTGACAACCAAAAAAATAAAAATATATGATTAAAACCCTTGCAACCCCCTCTGCGACCTAGCCCCCTCTGCGATTTAAACCTCCGTCATGTAACTGTGAGAAATTGCAGCCATCGAAGCTAAGGTTATATACAAATTTGCAAATAAATTCACACAATATTGCAATTAAACTTGCAAACTAAACCAAGAACCACCACCTCCAACCCCACGAACCATTTATTTTTATTTTTTTTAAGTTTTTAATTTATCTACTATTTTATTTAACTGAACCATTTTACCCATATATTTAATGACAATATTGACAAAATGTAACAGTAGGACTACAGTGCCGATTAATAAAGAGTTAGTGGACCATTTGAACAAATAATTTAATTTAGAGACCAAAATGTAAATCGAGTACAAATTTGGGGACCATTTGAATAATTTACCTTAAAAATATAATAATAAATGTAAAATATAAAAATAAATATTATAGTACAATTTTGCCTATTTCATATGTCGCTTGGATTAAAGCTCATAAACAATATTATTGATAAGATCAAATCTTAGCCTTAGGCTAAAAACATTTCATTTAAAAGTTGTAAGTTGAAAGTACAAGAAACTTTAGTCACTTCTATGCTTATCCTACCAAGGTAAGCAAACGTTTAACAAGGCAGGCTCAGCTGATAAGTCCCTTATCAAGTTGCCGACCCAGGATTTCAAGCCATCTTCCCAAATTACGTTACAGGTCCATCCATCAACCCCTCATTTTATTTACAAAACAAAGCCAGCATGCATTAAGAAGATAATCCTTTCCTCACATACACCTTCCAAAATTTATATGACCAACAAATAAACAAACCAAAACCCCACCCTACCCACCAGAAATTTTCCCCTTGTTTCCTTTATAAACCCCCTTCTTCACAATTCTCTCTCTCTCTCTACTCTGTTTTCTTCATCCATGGCTTCTGCTCTGTTTCTAATACTCTGTTTTACGCATTTCTTTCTTTCATCTTCACAGCCACTATATCTCCCTCTAACCCACACGCTCTCCCAAACCCAATTCAACAGTACCCAACACCTCCTCAAATCCACCACCACGCGCTCAGCCAGGCGCTTCCACCACCACCACCGCCGCCATAACCGCCAAACAAACCAAGTCTCTCTCCCACTCGCCCCAGGCAGCGACTACACTCTCTCCTTCACTCTCAACTCCAGCCCTCCGCAACCCGTCTCTCTCTACATGGACACAGGCAGCGACCTCGTCTGGTTCCCCTGTTCCCCATTCGAATGCATACTCTGTGAAGGCAAACCCAACTCCACAAACCCACCACCCAAAATCCCCAAAAACGCCGCCGTTTCGTGCGACTCCCGCTCCTGCTCCGCCGCCCACTCCTCCCTCTCCTCCGCCAACCTCTGCGCCATTTCCCATTGCCCTCTCGACTCTATAGAAATCTCCGAGTGCTCCTCCTTTTCTTGCCCGCCATTTTACTACGCCTACGCTGATGGAAGCTTCATAGCCAAGCTTTACAAGCACAGCCTATCAATACCCATGTCGACGCCTGCTCTGGTTCTGAGAAATTTCACTTTTGGGTGTTCCCATTCTTCCCTCGGCGAGCCAATTGGGGTTGCTGGGTTCGGCCGCGGCTTGCTTTCTCTACCTGCCCAACTCTCCACCTTCTCTCCCCACCTCGCCACCCAATTTTCATACTGCTTAGTTTCTCACTCCTTTGACCAGGACCGAGTCCGTCGACCGAGTCCGCTCATTCTCGGCCCGTATGACCAGAAACAGAAGCGATTTGAGGACGGTGCTGGTGGGTCGGTTGAGTATGCCTACACCTCCATGCTCGACAACCCAAAGCACCCTTATTTCTATTCGATTGGGCTCGCCGGAGTTTCGGTCGGGAAAAGGGTTATTCCGGCACCGGCGATTCTGCAAGGGGTCGATGAGAATGGGAACGGCGGGATCGTCGTGGACTCGGGGACCACTTTCACCATGTTTCCGCAGGGTTTCTATAACTCGCTTGTGGCTGAGTTCGACCGCAGAGTCGGGCGAGTTCACGAGCGGGCGACTCGGGTGGAGGACGAAACCGGGCTTGGGCCGTGCTATTATTACGAGAAGGTGGTGGAGGTTCCGGCTTTGACGTTGCATTTTGCGGGGAACAAATCCAGTGTGTTGCTGCCCAGGAGGAACTACTTTTATGAGTTCGTGGACGGTGGTGATGGGGCCGGGAGGAAGAGGAAAAAGGTTGGGTGTTGGATGCTGATGAACGGTGGTGATGAGGCGGAGATGAGCGGTGGGCCCGGGGGTATTTTAGGGAATTATCAGCAGCAAGGGTTTGAGGTAGTTTATGATTTGGAGAAGCATAGGGTTGGGTTTGCAAGGAGGCAATGTGCATTGCTTTGGGACAGTCTAAACCAACGGTAGATTTGGGAGTTGAATTTGGTTTGGTCAAGGTGGATTGACTTTGCATACTAAGGTCAAAGGGAGTTGTTGACTTTGACTGCACAGGGGGTGGTCTGTAAATTCCTGTAAATTAGTCGGGTGTTATTTTCTTTTTCAATGAATAAAAGTTTAAGGAGAGATTGGCTACTCTCATCATCACCAGTATAACGGCATACCTACAATCTCGAGTCGAAAGAACTTACGCGTGACACTCTTAACTGCTAGCTGTTACCGATATGAATTTACGTAAGAAATTACAAATTGAATTGCACACCAATAAGAACTGCTGGCAGTGAAACTCGAACACTGATGATACTACACACACAATACAGGAACGTAGCCAACTGAACCAATTAGATTGTTTATATTTTCATTCCCATGAATTGGATGCAAAAGATGAAGTGCAGACAGAGAGGAAGAATCAGAGATGAAAGAAATGTGTAAAGTTTGATATTTAACTATATGTGCAATCCAAGTCAACCTTTGACTTCTCCACAGTGAACTGGCATGTACTTTGCATAAGCATTAAGCAAGCGGTTTAATTTCCAATTAGGATTTGACTTGGATCAGAAGCTTTAAGTGGGGAGGAAGCTTTGTCTGATTTCTCAATGAATGGCCATAGTTAGCCCGTAGGCCATACAGGACACCATACTTAATAGAGGGTGGGCGCACCATAATTGTTGCTCATTATTGTTTGTTATGTCATATTAGATTTTCAGTCTCAATCATGAATAAGATAGAATCGTATGTGCTCAACAGAAAAATGAAGAAAGTGGGAGATTCAAACGCGTAACATTTTTGAGCGTTTCAAAGAAAAATATCATGAAGTAAAACCTCGAATGTTACAGGAATAACATTGTTTTGTTACATTTTCATCCAATTACGTTTCGTCACATAAAAAGATAAAGTATTACGACGTGATTTGTTGATAATAACAAAACAGTAATATTCTCGTATTATACAAATTTGTCTCCACCAAAGATGCCATCAAACGTTTAATTTGAGTACAAAGAGTTTAAGGCTTTCAAATTCATAGCGTACACCCTCAGCCAACTCATGAATAAAAAGTCGTCATCAAATATTCAAACAGGAGATGGATGTGAATATCTTTCTTTCTTTCTTTCTTTCTGACAAGACCACTCATGATGACTCATACATAGTGATAGTGAGACAATTAAATTGCCAGTTACGTTATAGGTTTTACAGCCATGCTTCCATGGACGTATACAATATATGTCTCCGCTTGCTTGGATAGTTGGTGGTAGTCTTAATCATCCACCAAGGCATGAACTGCCAAATATTTGCATATTGGCGACTTCCGTAGATTTTTGTTTTAAAATGCTACGGTCAATTGTGCGTGGTCGGAGGATTCCAAAAGTCGGGACTTGTGGTTCGAATTAGCTCCAGAATTATTACTTTTATTCGATAAAATATACCACTAAATAAAGAAAATATTTCCCTTGTTATCAGGTAAATAGGAGCTCTTATATTCCTGTCAATAACAGTGTGACATGTGTATAGTAGCCTTTCTTTTTGTGTTTTTAATGAATTATTTTTGCATATGTGTCAAACTGTACTTCGCAGAAAAGAAGAGTATCTCCTTACCGATAAGAAGGCAAATAGTATCCACTAAATAAACTATAATTTATAATATAGTGAGTCATTTATAGTTTTACTGTCTAAATACATGTTACTTGTATGTATCTACAATTACGAATCACTCACATGCACATATATGAATAATAATTTATATTAAGACTTCCATAAAACGAGAATAACAAAAAAATCATATCTCCATTGCAACTAAATTTTTCCCACTCATAAGGCGCTCTAGATGGGTAGTGGTTTTACCAGCCCATCATATTCATACCTAACCTTTATAATGTTTTGTCAAGCAATGGAATCAACCAATCATGTCTCAGTAGAAAGAGTCCAAATGCTGCCTCGTACAGTTGTCTTTTTCTCCTTTCATGTGACACACATACGCACTCATAGTCACGTTCATTTTCCCTCCAAGGTGCATGTGACAAAATGGATGATAAAGGGAAGAAGAAAAAAAGAGTAGGTAATGCAAAGTGTATGATATACAGTTTGTTGGAACCCTACAAATTAAAATGGATTAATTATAATCCTGGTCATTGGGATTTGGGGTTTGATTCAAAATTAATTTTAATCTTCGTGATTTCAATTTTTCTGATTTCTTCATTGTACTTGCAATCGTTAACAAATCAAGTTACATATCTCAATTACGTCAATTTAATTGCATGTGCGAAATGCTTGCCGGGGCAAAATTATATTTTCACCATTTGAACAATTAATAACTAAAATTTAAAAAAAATAAACAAACCAACAACAGCCCAGCCGTTTCTCCCCACCCTCCCATCCACCATCCCGATACCCAAATCCTTCCTCATACCACCCCACCATCATCCATAACCACCCAAACCCACCACCAGCCATACCCACCTACACCCCCAATCCACCATCCAAATCTTCTCCACCATCGCCAAGAATGTCTTTCAGCGACCTGTACACAATCCCAGGTTGCTTGTAACACCCAAACATGGTGTCACTCTTGCCAGTAGGACCGTACATCATTAAAATCGGTGTGACTTTGAAAGTAACATAAAACTGATAAATGAGTCCCTCCAAAGCTACCTTGGAAGAGGGACTACATGAGGCTCAACTTGCTCTTTATGTTCTTATGTTTACAAGAAAATTTTCATCATCTCAGAACCATCAAGCTAAAGTATACAATTTGAAGCATTAAAATATAAACGAATATGTTTTTCTATTTTATAGACTACATCGGTATATTCTTATATTTAGATAAACACTTTCATGAAATGGGAATAACACTATTTTGCTATCTTTGACCAATAATGCTATGACACACATAATAACACTTCCAGTGATGTAGCATTATTGACCGGAAATAGCCAAATAAGCTATTTCCATTGCAACTAAGGTTTTTCTTATAATTTTAGATCATTCTCCTCACCCAAAACCAAAAATTGAAAATGAAAAGATTTTCTTGTCATATAATCCCTGATTCTAGTGCAATTGTTTGCGCCTACCAAACTGCCAAAATTTCACTAATGCAAACCACCTATAAACCCCTTATCTATATTTTCTTAATTTGGTCCCACCTTATGAATTCACTTTTGGCCTTGTAAGGCCATCTCCAAGTTTGGGCGATATCCTCAGATATAGCCCAAAATTCCCAAAACTCATCTTCAAGAGTGGCTATATAAAAAAATATAATAAATAAATATTATTTTTTTTTATTTTTTTTTAAAAAAAGGATGGCTACATGAAGGGCTAATTCCTAAAAATCAAGCCACATGTGGCCCTTCAACCAGCTCGGGCTAAATAATTCGATGGGCTAAGCTGCTTTTTTATATATTTATTTTATGCATCAAATAGGTCATTGGTGGCCATTAATTAAAAAACCATTGAAAATCAAGGGTCTGGAGCAACCCAACAGCTAGCTGTTTTATTTTTCAATCCAAAAAAATGATTTTTTTTTTAAATTCTCAAAAATTCCTAAATTTCTTGTATACGTACCTACCTCATTCTGACAACATATTATCACTCCTCAATTTCATCATTTTACATAATTTCTCACATTCTCTTCATTCTTTTACAAACTATCCTTCATCTTTTTCCATTTAAAAAAATTATCTCCTCCCATTGTTAGAAAAAATGGCCGGTACTTCGAAGAAAGGCGGAAATTGGACTCGAAAGGAAGATGAAACTCTTTGCTTAAAAGTCTCCAAAGATAGTTTCAAGGGTACAAGCCAAACTTCTAACAACGTTTAGACGTGTGTTTCTCAAAAATACTAAGAGCTTTAAGAACGCACCGCTCCGACGTCAAGAAACCATGAAAGTTGTAGTAGTCGGTGGAAGAAGCACATATTTCCGAGCATGAACAAATGGCATCAAGCTTTGAAAAAGATTGAGAGGAGACATCTAAGTGGAGCCAATGTCTCCGATGACGAAGTAAATGTTTTTGCTAGTTTTATTTTTAACTACATACTTTAAATTTATTTAATTTACTTTAATTATATTTTCTCGCAATGCCAAGTGTAGAGAAGTTCTATATGGAAGATGTCAAAAAAGCCTTTAAACTTCATCATTGTTGGGAAATTTGTAAAGGTTGGGTGGCATTTCAAGATCCACCATAAGAAATTTTAGTCCTACACAGGTGTGAATAAATTTGCCCGTTAATTTAGATGAAGATAAAGAACCATCTCCGATCACCAACGAAGATCCTTCTTTGGCTCAAACATCCATTCCTAGGCCTATAGGACGAAACAAGGCAAGAAGAATGAAAGAAAAGGGCAAGGAAAGGGAGGATAAGGTCGTTTAGGAGGAAGAGAAGAAGCGGAGACATGAAGATATGATCTAACAAAGGCAAGAAGAGATGGATGGGACATGACTAGGGTCACCACCACAAACATGTCTCCAATGAGGAAGGAGTTTTCTTACTCGAAAAAGAGAGAAATTCGGGACCGACACAACGTACGGGAGTTGTTTTCGAATTCGAATTCAACATCCAACTATCACCCTACAATGCCGGGAGAAGATGTTTAGAGCATCCACAATGGAAGGGTGTATAAGGGGGTGTATGTTAAATATACACCCTTTGTCGCCGGAATCATATCCAATGGGAAGATGTAAATGGTTGTAAAAATACACCCCCACCATGGAGATGTAAAATTAGATGCACATTTGCATCTTTTTTTACATCCTTTGCAGGCAAGACCCACAAGAGAAAAAGGGAAAGAGAAGAATTGGAATTCAAAATGGAAGACCTAGATTTCATGCAATTTGCATTGCACTTCCAATGGCCCAGATTTCTACATAGATATTTTTATATTAGTTTGTAGGTAAAATCATATGTTCTCCAAATTTAAATTTTTTTGGTTCATTTATTTGGAAAAATAAAATAAATCTAACAAGCACAAAATTAATTTTAAAAAGTTAAAACATATAAAAAAAACACACAAAAAAGAATTATCACAAACAAATCGAATATGCATATTTGGATTTACATCGTTTTCCATTGGAGCAAAAAACATATTTACACCCCCTGGAGGTGTAAAGGGGATATAAAAGTGGCTTTACACACCTTCTCCCCAAAAAAAAAACTGTAGATGCTCTTATTATTTTTAATTGTTAAGTTGTTGTTTCTAAATTAGTGTTTAAGTTGTTGTTTTTAAATTAATGTTTAAGTTGTTGTTTTTAAAATTAATATTTCAGTTATTGATTTTAAATGAATTTTTAAGTTGTTTGTTTTTTATAAATAGTAATTTAATTGAATTAACTAATAAATTCATATTATGTACTAAAAAGTATTAAAATATTAAATTTAGCCCTTTATTGTTGGAGACAATTAACATGTAACCTCACACAATTTCTTATAAAATAACTTTTTAGACGGCTAAATATACCCCTCCCCACCTGGAGATGGCCTAAGCATCATTACAACTTTGCCCATATGTTTTAACTAATTACACGAGAGCTGGTTGTCGGTGTAGTTCAATAACATAGGCCCGACCTTACAATAACGTGGACAAATAACAAGAAAAGCCGCCGCGACCCGCGAACTTTATTTGAAGCTTGAGCATGACGTGATCGTATTTTGTCGTTTCAGAAGAGCTGAAAGCGTGTCAGAGAGATTGGGTACAGCTAAGCTACTGCTGTCTCCATACGTGTTCTTCTAGATGTTTCTTCATGATTATCATCCCACTCTGGGCCCAGTGACAACAAACTCACGCTTCCTCATTCTAAAATACAAATAAAATATGTAACAAAACAAATACAAATATTTCGGCATTTTTAAATACTTTAAACAATTTTTTCACCTAAAAAAATACTTTAAACAAAAAGGTATAATTGTATTTTCAATGATTAATGTAAAATGGGCCAACAAATTTGGGCCTCCTCTTTGGCCAAATTCAAAACAAAATTCAATTTCTAAGTATTAAAACAAAAACAAAAATACTGTTTGTCTCAAATACTAATTGGTAAAAATAATTATGTCTAATACCTAATTTTTCTTATTTTTTATTTACATGGGGTCCACATCAGCGAAAAGACCAGTCATTCCAAGCCACGCATGTAGTTAATGGCTATGTTAACATTATGATTAACGGTAGGGATAATTTGTGCGATTTTTAGGAATTTATGTATGAGTTGGTAAATATCCAATAAATCGTATATGAACTTGAAAAATATCTAATAATTTAGGGGCGTCTATGTAGTTAACCAAATAAATTATTTGTGTTGCCATCTTTGTCTTTTACTACGAAAGAGTCTTTAATTGGATTTAAATTTTCAGTACATGAATTCAAATAACAGTTATTGTCTACTCTGGTTCTTTAGGGGTTAAGTCTCTTGAATTTTTCCTCCAGGTCATGCTTACTTTATTTATTTGCCTTGTAAAAAAAATGTTCAAATTTCATAGAGACAAAACAACAGCCTAATACTACCAATATCAATATTATCCCCAACTAATATTTTAAAATGCATTTTCATAGCTCGCCTAGTGGTGTAGCACAAGAAAACTTCTAGTTTGCGATGCACATGTGGTTCGCTGCCTTCCTTTAAAATGTACGCTATGTGAGCGACACATGCTATCATGTGCACTACTACGTTACGTTATTGCACCTAAGTGTGTGCAAAGGGAGGATAGGAGGAAATCTAGGCAACCGGCGAAGGTTGAGGAAATCTCGACATTTGACATCGCAAACTCACCGACTTAGAAAGAGAATGAATCAATAAAGGAAGAAGGTTGGACATCCACGAGCAGTGGCGAAGCCAAGAATCTTAACATAAGGGGTCTAAGTGTAAAAGTCCAAATAAAACACAAAGGAACCCTTGTGGCGGCAGCAAGGGAGAAGATGGAGTTGAGGGTTTGGGGGAGTTGGGAACTTACAGTGCATTTGGATGAGAAAATTTAAAAGTATAAAGGATTTCATAAATGACGGAAATTAATGTTCTATAATTTGTAAAGTTTCTTGTTTGGATGATTGATTTAAAACACAGAATTTAACCTTTATTTGTAAAGTTATCGTCTTTTAAAACTCAATCTCTCTTGGGATTTTAGAAATGATGACTTTTAGATAGAATTTAAACTTGAGATTTATGATCTCCAAATTCCATGTTTTTTTCCACGAGGAATTTCTAAATTTCTATGTTTTTTTTTATCCAAACACCGGAATTGATTCATGTCAATTTAGAAATTCTGAATTTTGTCAAACAAATGTTAATACGATATGAGCCATACCCAAAAGATTTAGTGTTCCATAAAAATAGGAGAGTTTTAGTGTTGGCCTCCTTTTAGTGAAAAGGAGAGTTTCTATGGGTCATGCTCTACTATATGAGCCATACCCAAAAGATTATATTTATATATAACTAATAAAATCATTTAGGCCCTTTAATTCATTTCCAACAAATGTTAATATATTTTTTTATTACTTACTAATTTCTTTGCACGCGCTTTCACACATACGAGAGACTTTTTTTTATTATAAAATTTTAAATTTATTTTAGAATTAAAAAAGATAATGGGTTGTTGTGTTTTATAAAAATAGGATCCATTATCTAATTTTTTTTTCTTTTAATTTTTTTAATATGAAAAAGTGTGCATTTATCATATTATCTTCATTTAATTTATCATTTCAATTCTTAATGTTTGCATTAACCAATAACATTTTCTGGTATTTTGAATATTTCAGAATTTTCTATATTTTGCTTTATATATATATATATATATAGATAGATAGATAAAGAGTTACATTATGAATTTTTTATTTATAACTAGAATCACAGGCGGAGCTAGAAGTTTATATTTGGGAGGGCCAAAACGTCAAACACAAAGTTTAGATATATGTATAACAACAAGAGGAAACCGCCTTCTTCCCACCCCACCCCAAACCAGAACCGCCCCAAACCCACACCAATCCGCCCCACTCGACCACTCTAGTCACACACCCACCGCACCCCACACACAACACCCCACCATCAAACTCAAACCTTATACACTGCTTCAACTTGTCTGAGTCCTAAATTCAGTTTTAGGGTGGTGGGTTTTGAATGTTTTTTTTTCTTCCCTAAATTCATTCTGTGAACATGCTCTGGAGAGGGAATTTGTTTTTTTCACTTTTGGGGCGGTGCGGTGGGTACCGCCGTTCCAATCACCCAAGTTTGGTGGTTCCAAATAATCTGAGAAATTACAAGCAATTACAGGCGGTTATCACTCATGGCCACATCCACTTTCAGGGAGTAGTTTTTCTTTTTTGGTTTTCCTTTTTCCAAGTGTTTTATGCTTTCTGAATTTATTTTTCTTTCTGTTTTTGCTTGAGATTCTAGTTTGTTTTCTTCATTTTTGTTTGTGGTTATAATTACTTCATATACTTGTTCTTGACTCTCTTATAGTGCATGTCATTTTATTTTCTGCTTGTTTGTTTTAATAGAGATGGTGATAAATCTGCACACAATCAGGCACTCCAATATCTGTGATTTACTTTCCCTTTATTGTGATATTGTAATTCCATGTAATTATAGGTAATTGTACCCAAATAGGAATGTACTTGGAGACCAAGTACTCACCACTTGTATAAATACTCTAGTTCTATTTGAATACAAATCATCGAATTTCAAACCAAAAGTGAATCTCTGACATGGTATTAGAGCTATAAACCCTAGTCTAGCTTCCTTGCGTTTTCTCTCTGTGTTTTTTTTTCTCTGCCCACATATGCCTTCTTCTGCTGAACCCTCTCCTACAAATACTCCTCCTTCATCCCCTCATTCTTCTCCAATGGTTTCCTCCTTGTCTGCGACACCTCTTGGTTCTTCTATGGTCTCTCTTCCTAATATCTCCTATGTTGTTTCTATCAAATTGGATCGTACGAACTACATCATTTGGAAAGCTCAGTTCTTGCCCTTGTTGAAGAGTATTGGTTTAATCGGATATGTTGATCAAACAAATTCGTGTCCTTCTCAGTTCACCTCTGATGGCGTCACCCCCAATCCTGCTTATGCAGACTGGCATAAACTTGATCAACAACTGCTCAGTTGGATTAATTTCTACCCTCACTCCTGGCGTGCTCTCTCAAGTTTCTCGTTGTCTTACAGCTCGTGATGCCTGGATCTCTTTGGAGAAACGTTTCAATTCTCAGTCCCGTTCTCGTATTCTTCAGTTGAAGCACCAGCTGCAAACCACCAAACGCGGTACCTCCTCCATCACTGATTTTGTCGATCAAATGACTGCTGTTGCTGATAGTTTGGCTCTTGCTGGCAAACCCGTGGATGATGATGATCTTATTGACCTTATTCTCAATAGTCTCGGACCGGCGTATGAGAGCGTCGTCAACTCTATTCAGTCTCGTGACCCTCTTATGGCTGTTGATGATGTTATTACCTTTTTATTAACTGCTGAGACTCGTATGGCTGAATACATCCCTTCCATGATGTCTGATTCTACCACTCAAGTGTTTTATGCTAATCGTGGCCATGACTTTTCAAATCGTGGGTCCTCCTTTTCCCGTGGTGGTCGTCGTGGCGGCTTCTCTGGCTTCCGTGGTGATTTTTCTGGCCCCGGTTCTTCTCCTGGTTGAGGCATCCTTCCTCTCCCCTCTCAGGCTCCCCTTTCCATGCCCGTTGCTCCTAGCCGTGGTGGTTTCTCCTCTCCGTCTTATGGTTTATCTCCTGGTTTTAACGGTCGTTATAACTGTGGTGAATATGGTCATATGGCTCGTTGCTGTCCTCGCCCTCCTGTTGCTCCTCAAGCCATGTTTGCCTCTCATACTCCTACTCCATCATCCACCTGGTTTATTGATAGTGGTGCCTCCGCTCACATAACAAATGACCTTGCTCATCTCCAGCTCTCTCAAACTTACGGTGGTTCGGATCAAGTTTCTGTGGTTAACGGTCAAGGTTTGCATATATCTAATATTGGTTCTGGTTCCATCTCTCAATTCCATTTAAATAAAGTTCTTCATTGTCCTTCCGCATCTCATAATTTACTTAGTGTTCATCAATTTACTCTTGATAATTCTGTCTATTTTATTTTCACCCCTTCTGATTTCTATGTGAAGGATCTCGTCTCGGGGAAGACGCTTTTCCACGGCAAGAGTGAAAATGGTCTCTACCCGTTCCGGTCTCCTTTGTCCTCCTCCTCATTTCCTACCACCGCTGTGGCCCTCCTTGGTATCCGTACATCTTCTCCCGTATGGCATCAACGCTTTGGTCATCCATCTCCTGCTGTCTTTCAGAAGCTTTCAACTCACCTTCCCCTTCGTGGTTCTCCTCGGAGTTCTTTTTGTTCTCATTGTCCTCTAGGCAAAAGTAGTCGTTTACCATTTCAGTTATCTTCTTCTGTTTCTACTGTTCCGTTACAACTCATTCATTGTGATATTTGGACATCTGCCGTTTTATCTAATAAAGGTTCTAAGTATTTTATATTATTTGTTGATGATTACTCTCGTTATACATGGGTTTTTCAATGCGTTTTAAGTCTGAAGCTTTTGATTATTTTCATAAATTTAGGATATTGGTGGAAAATTTGTTGTCTGTTGATCGTGTATGCACAATCAAATCTCTTCAAACAGATTGGGGGGGAAGGGAGGGCGGCTGAATTCCTTAGTCACCAATTCCAGCATTACTTACGTACTCATGGGATTTTTCACCGTGTTTCCAATCCTCACACACCTGAACAAAACGGAGCCGCCGAACGCAAACAACGACACCTCATAGACATGGTTCTTACTCTCCTTGCCACCGCCCATATGCCCCCTTCCTTTTGGGTTGAAGCTTGTAATACTTCTACCTATTTAATCAACCATTTGCCCACCCATCAATTAAATTATTTGTCTCCCTATGAATCTTTGTTTGGTCGTCGTCCTGACTATTCTATTTTTCGTGTTTTTGGATATGCATGTTTTCCTTACCTGCGTCCTTATAATAAACATAAACTTCAATTTCATTCTAAACAATGTGTTTTCATAGGTTATTCTCTCAATTACCAAGGTTATCGGTGTTATGATCCTTCAACTAGTCGTGTTTATCTCTCTCGTCATGTTGTTTTTGATGAATCTACCTTTCCGTTTCAGGCGCTCTCTGACACTTCCTCCGTTCCTCCATCCCCAGTGCCTCCCTCTCCACCTTTAGTCGTGTCTTCCTCTCCTGTTGTTTCTCCACCACTGCCATCTCCTTCCCCACAGCCTCCTCATTCTCCTCCTCCTTTGCCCATGGTCACTCATGTTGATGTCCTCGCTTCTCCAGTTGAGTCATCCCCGCCCCCCCTCCCTTCCCACTACCCACACCATGGTCACTCATTTGAGATATGGGATTAGAAAACCGAATCCCAAATATGCAAATCTTGTTTTTTCGTAGGTATCTGAGATCGAACCTACCTCGTTTCGAGAAGCAAACAAATCGGATCACTGGCGCCAGGCTATGCTCACAGAGGTCCAAGCCCTTCATCACAATCATACTTGGGATCTTGTTCCTCCCTACCCTCACCGCCATGCCTTGCCTTGCAAATGGGTGTTCCGTATCAAACGCCGCTCCGATGGTTCCATTGAAAGGTATAAGGCCCGTCTTGTGGCTAATGGGTTTCATCAACAATATGGCATTGACTACTTGGAAACTTTCAGTCCTGTTGTTAAGCATGTTACTGTTCGCATTATTCTTTCTCTTGCTTTTTCTCGGCAATGGCCCATTCGTCAGCTTGATGTCACTAATGCTTTTCTTCATGGTTACTTGTCTGAAGAGGTTTACATGCGTCAACCCCGCGGTTTTGAAGACCCTAAATTTCCGCATCATGTATGTCGCCTTCGGAAATCTCTCTATGGTCTCAAGCAATCTCCCCGTGCTTGGTTCTCCCGTTTCTCTGAGTTTCTTATTCACTCAGGTTTCACGGCTTCCAAGGTGGATCCTTCCTTATTCATTTTTCATAAAGATGACAATTTTCTCTTCCTTTTGATTTACGTGGACGATATTATTGTTACTGGTAATGCTTTGTCACAGGTTAACGCCCTTCTTCAGTCTCTTAATCGTCAGTTTGCGATGAAAGATTTGGGGGATCTTCATTATTTTTTGGGCATTGAGGTCCAGCGTACTCCGGATATGTTGTGTTTGAATCAAGCCAAATATGTGGTTGATCTTCTAAAAAGGGCCACCTTACATAAGGCTAATCCTTGTCTCACTCCGGTTGCCACTGGTTCTCAACTTAGCTCTCTTCATGGCTCTCCTCTCTCGGATCCCACCGAGTATCGCAGTCTTGTTGGCGCACTTCAGTATCTCACCATCACCCATCCAGACATTTCCTTTGCCGTCAACCAAGTTTGTTAATTCATGCATCAACCTACTGATATTCATTGGAAAGCCTTCAAGCGTATTCTACGTTATGTTCTTGGCACTTCTCATGATGGCCTTGTTTTTCGTCCTGGTGACTCTTCTGTGATTGCTTTCTCTGATGCCGACTATGCTGGTAATCCCGATGATTGTCGCTCTACAAGGGGATATTGTATTTTCTTTGGCTCCAACCTTGTCTCATGGAGCTCCAAGAAGCAGCCCACCGTTTCCCACTCTAGTACCGAATCTGAGTATCGTCAATTGGCTCTCAATGCTATGGAACTCTCATGGATTCAACAACTCTTACAAGAATTACATGTCTCTTTGCCCTCACCTCCTTTGCTTTGGTGTGACAACACAAGCTCTATTGCTCTTGCTTCTAATCCGATCTTTCATGCACGCACCAAACACATTGCTGTGGATTATCATTATGTCTGTGAACTTGTCCTTGTTGGCTCCTTGCATGTTCGTTATGTCTCCACCCATACTCAGCTGGCTGACATTTTTACCAAGGGTCTCCCGCTTCCTCGGTTTGCCTTTCTCAAATCCAAGCTGTTGCGCTCTTCGCACATCAGCTTGCAGGGGGATAATAGAGATGGTGATAAATCTGCACACAATCAGGCACTCCAATATCTGTGATTTACTTTCCCTTTATTGTGATATTGTAATTCCATGTAATTATAGGTAATTGTACCCAAATAGGAATGCACTTGGAGACCAAGTACTCACCACTTGTATAAATACTCTAGTTCTATTTGAATACAAATCATCGAATTTCAAACCAAAAGTGAATCTCTGACATGTTTTGCTTTTTTTTTTTTTTTTTTTTTTTAATTTTCTCTCTAATAGTTTTCATTTTGTTTAGCATACTAACGAAATCTTCTTTTGTTTGTGGTGTTGGTTGCGAGGATCATTCATTTGTTCGTTAATCTTGAAGAACCATAATGGCCACCTTTTGTAGATAGTGTGGCAGTTACAAGCCATTTTTAAAGCAGTTACCAATTGGTTGTGACATTGTAGTTGGTGCTCTTTCAATTTATCCCAATCGCTGCAGTTGGTCTTGCGACTCGTTCATTGTTTATTGGCCCAAGTTTTGCCTGTTGGTTGTTGTTGATGAGCAAGCTTCACCGTGGTACTTTTTTTCCTTGACTAGATTTTCCTCAATTTGGGGATTTTTTGAGGCAATGTTTTAACGAGGCCACTATTGCTCTATCATTGGGCTCCACTGATGTATTGTTTTGGGTAGTACTCTTCTTTTTTCTTTTTCTTTATTTCCTTGTGATTAGTTCAGGAAGCGAATCTTTTTAAGATTGCGCTCTTGTTCCTAGCTTTCACGTTGGTTTTCTTATGTTCTCATCCTCTCCACTGTACTCTTATGGAGTTCTAATAAAACATCTTTCCCAACAACAACAAAACAACTTTTTTTGGACTATATTGAGTAAACTATTACCTACAAAAGTACTAAATTGAAATGAGTGGTTTTCTTTCATAAATGTAGTATGATTTTACTACTATATTCATGTTGGAATACAATTTTGATAAGAATAATGCTACTCTTACCACATTCTCATACCACCTTATGTGACAGATGAGGTAGACAGCCACATCAATTAAAATTAATTTAACTTTTTTATTATTATTTATAGACACTTTTTAGTTGATGTGGTTGTCTACTTCATCTACCATATAAGGTGATATGAGAATGTGGTATACAAATATGGTAAGAGTAGCACAAAGGTATTGATTTGTGGTGAGGGGGCCATAGGCTTAAGTATAGCCATTTTTCTTTGTATTTGTTACCACACCCAATATATATATATATAGGCTTATTTGTTGAAATGTCCCCTGTGATTTTCAAATAGTCTCAATTTGTCCCATGACGTTTTAAATGACTCAATCTCCCTCGTGAACTTCCATTATGTGACCAAGGTTGCCCCATTCGGTTAGTTTTCAGATAAAAATCGTTAAATCAGCCGAAGTGGTATGTATTTTGGTAAATTTAACTATAAAAAATAAAAAATAAAAAATAAAAAATTGCTTGAAATTATTTAAAATGTTTAAAAATATATAAAATAAAAATAAAATAAGAATAACTTTTGAACAATACCCAACAGCTCCTCCCAACCCCCAAGTTCGACGGTACTGTCAAATCTCTCATCTTCTCTCTCTTCCCATCGACTCCCTCTCTCTCTCTCTCTCTCTCTCTCTCTCTCTCTCTCTCTCTCTCTCTCATCTCTCCATCCCCTCCCGTACTATGTCTCCCTCTCTTTCCCTGCAACTTAGATCTGGAGGAGAGAGTTACGCCAGAGAAATATCTCCCCCAAACTATACCATGTTCTTCCACATAACCGACACCAACCCAAAGTCCACTATTTCCAAAATTAACAAAACTCCCCAATAAATAACTCAATAAAATTAATTTGGGGGCCCAAGGCCACCCCTGGCCTTAACACAGCTTTGCCCCTGACTACAATATTTATATTCTCAAAAAGCTTACGGGACATGATAGCTTACATAATTTGCAACAATATATAAAATATTGTCCCCAATATAACCATTTGTAAAATCCAGCAAATGTGTGAGGTTTTATCACAAAAGTTAAGTATTATTAGTAGTGGAACCAATTATTATATGTTATATTTTATTTTATCAAGTTTCCAACCTATGACTTTACTCTTCAACCAAAACTCTATTTAAAAATGTTCCATTCTCTTGCCAAAAAGAATCTCTAATTGCCCTTTATATGCCATCTTAGGATTTTATTAAGGGTAACTATTTTCAAAATATATATTATTTTAATTAACTTATGCTTGTCGTAATTGTAGTTTTGTTTTTAAAGATTTGTTGTATCCTATATTGTACGATATCGCGTATTGCATATCTGTATCCGTACTTCATAGGAGCTAATTTTCACACAAGACACGAACATGCGAAAACTCACTATGTAGATCTAATTACAATACTAAAATACATTGTAAACTCAAGTGAGTGGTGAACTCTAATTATTCAAGTGTCGTTGGGGTTGTGCCGCGAAAAGGTACAATATAGATTCGAATTTTGCCATCGTCCAGAGAAAGGAAGCATTGGAGTTTGAATGAAGCTTAGCTCCAGCTTTTATTGCATTATGCTAACATTTTGCTTAGTAGTTCAGTTTGAATATCTTTGATATGATCTCACTTTGAATACAAGTGATACTCTAAATTATAAGAGGGAGGGGGTTTCTCACACACACTATTGGTGTCATGGAACTCGAACATGAGACCACTGATCTGCAAATCAAGACCATTTTCTACTAGGTTGACCCTGTTGGCGATATGATCTCACTTTGAATTTAATAGAATTCATGTAACATACTGATGATATACTACAGGCTACCTCGAATGAAACAAATCATTAGAGAGTTATCTACACAGGTTACTTGAAGCTCAGGCATTCGAAGCTGCAAGCAAAGCATGGAATTGGATACCCAGCCCAACATCGTTTCACCTTTTCTTTTCTTTCCTTTTCTTTTTTATTTATTTATGTTGTGTTCACCTTCTTCTGCTTGCTGTTCTCTCCTTGCGCATTTTTCATAAATTTCATGCACAATTGTTGAAATTCAACAACTCCCTACACTGTAATGTTGTAATGGGCTGCCATTGTCTCTGTAGCAAAACTGTTTCTTCCTGTAATTGAGACAAGAATAATTAGTTCAACTTCTTCCCCTTCCAAACTCATACCAATTAAACATTAATTGTTTATGTTCTAACAATTAAAGTTGGATTCTTTAAGGGCATGCTTTTGGTCTTTACCTATGTATAAGTCAAAAGAAGACAGGGATATAGTCATATCTAAAGGTGGTGGAGATGGAGATGGAGATGGCGATGTTGCCTCAAGTTCAGGAAAGACCAAAATTCTTCATCCACCCATTGAAAGCCATTGGCATCTCCCTCCTCAAGACAAACACAGGCCTTCATCTTCAATGTCAAACTTAGGCCTCAAGACAATGATCAAGTTCCGTGACTCGTTCAAGAAGCTTGGAGGGAGTAGCAGCAGCATCAGCAGCAATAAGAGCTTGAAAACGGTTCTCGGAGGAGTTCGTGATCCAAAGGATGAAAACGTTGTAGTGTGTTTCAGAGAACTGCTTTTCCTTGAGGGCCAGCTTCCTCCACAGCACAATGATTATCATACCCTTTTAAGGTAAGTTGATGGGAACATTATTTGACATCAAGTGTTTCCAAATTTTCTATTTCATTGATAATGCCTTTTTTCTTTCTTTCTGAGATTTCATTTTATAGGTTTCTTAGAATGAGGGACTTTGATTTTACAAAAGCAAAAGATGCCTTCTTGAGTTATCTTAAGTGGCGCGAGGATTATATGGTTGATGCAATTCCAAAGGTGAAAGATTTCGAACTATATTTTCCAACAGATACAGAGGATAATGATATATTTCATATTGGTTTTACAGCATGACTTATTTCAGAAGCTTTAATTTTGGTGTGCTTATAGCACAGAAATGCAGGGATATCATGTTATGTAAACATTACAGTTATAGAAGCTTGAAGCACAAGTTAATCTAAAGGCTTGTTTTAAGATAAATTTGAAGACAGCAAACATGGGCTTAGCCAAGTTGGCAAGAGCGGATGTGCTCTCCACTATGCACCCGAGTTTGAATCCCCCTCCCTATAGTTTAAATTAATTTAAAGTAGAATATCGCTTGTATCAAAAAACATAAACCACCAAGTCTATATTAGTTACTCTAAAAGCCTGTTTTAGTTCTAGCTTTCATGAGATTAAATATAAAGTTTCAACTAAAAAAAATGGAACAATTTTAACCCATAAAATTTGACTGCAGGCCATATATAGATTGTACCATTATCATTCTACATCAACTAGTCTCACTACAGCAGGGCACATCACTACAAGATTTTCTTTCCCTGTTTTTGGCTAATCCAATAGTAGATGTTCTGATATTGCAGGAGTTTAAGTTTGAGGAGTATGAAGCAGTAAAGAAATGCTATCCTCATGGATATCATGGGGTAGACCGGTACGGTAGACCGTTGTACATCGAAAGAATCGGGATGGTAGACCTTAACAAGCTTCTGCAAGTAACTACCCTTGAAAGATTTGTCAAGTATCATGTGTCGGAACAAGAGAAAACATTAAATTGGAGATACCCTGCATGTTCAATTGCAGCCAAGAGGCATGTAGCATCTACAACAAGTATTTTAGATGTGCATGGAGTGGTGAGCATCTTTTTTTCATGTTTGATCTAGAGCAAACTTTCATACAAAGTTGTTCATCCCATATGTTATTTCATGAAGATTTGATTTTTCTGGCTAAGAAAAATAAAACAGCCTCATCAAATGTGTTATTTGAATTGCAACAGTGAGTTCTAACATACTTGAAATTTGTGTTTGATTAGGGATTGGCTAATTTCTCAAAGCCTGCTAGATATCTCTTCATGGAAATTCAGAAGATTGATAGCAATTACTACCCAGAGGTACGTGGGTTGTCATTGTCTCTGCAGGGATGCTATGTGAACAACAAGATGGTTAGAATGGTTGATTGGTGAGTCAGGAGAGTAGTAATCTAGATTCCAAACAAAAAATTAGCAAAATTAGTGATGAAGATGTCGATAACCTTACCATTAAGTCCATAGGATTAGATTAGATTGGAGATAAGTCACTATATTCAAGGTATGTTGAAGGATGAAACGAGACCCAACTTCCAAATTTTTGTCCAAATTGAAGTTGATGGACTAGTGATGAAGGAAATATATCCCTTCAAAACCCCACAAGATAGTAGGATATTAACACCTTATAACTTATCGATTCTAATTCCCGCAATATTAAAAATCATTCACCTCACTTTCATTTCTTATTTCAATACACATTGAATCTAGTGAGTTATCCAATTCAATCCAGTCCCAAACACCAAATCTGCTGTAAGCTATCATAGTCAACTTAATTATCGGGTATTAGAAGGCGGGATATTTTCATCGGATTAAAAGGAATGCCAAGTCCCTTCCTACTGAAAATTGATGAATTACACTTCATTTTTTTGAAATGAAATGAATGACACTTCATTTTTAGAGATACTAACATAAGTGTAGTGTATGTGCTCTTATTTATCTGTCAATGACTTTAGAGCTGTTGATATTTTTCAGACTCTAAATCGCCTGTTTATTGTGAATGCTGGATCTGGGTTTAAAATGCTTTGGAAAGCAGTGAAGGCTTTCCTTGATACACGCACATTAGCAAAGATTCAGGTGAGGGTTCTTTTCTCTAGGGCAGATTAATTTCTAGCCAGAAAGTTTTTCTCCTTAATCCCAGTGGACTAATTTTTTTTGAGTCTTCGAGATTATTATTTCAGGTGCTGGGATACAATTACCAAAGTAACCTGCTTGATGTTGTTGATCAAAGGTAAGCATTTCAATCCCAAGTTGGTACAAATTTGCACAGATATTTGTATAAATAAATTAGAAATGAGAGAAAAAAGGGTTCTTTTTCTGATTTATTCTTCATAATTAAGAATAAAGAAATTCAATTCTCTGCAGCAATTTGCCAACTTTTCTGGGTGGAGGCTGCACCTGTTCTGATTATGGAGGCTGCCTTTTAAGTGACAAAGGACCCTGGAACAATCCAGATATTACAGAAATGCTTCAAGTGATCAACTTTTTTCCTTCCCAAGTGTTTTACTTCAAACTTTGTTGCATTGCAATTTAAACTTTTTAACCATGTGCAGTTAATACAGTAGAGGTTAAATAATACTTCATCTATATTTTCAGGCAATTACTGCAGACGATAATGGGGTCAACAATTATGAAGAAAATGGTCATTTGGATTCAGATGAGGGGCTTTTACGAAATATAGTAAGCACACCAAATATAACCAATGCCTTCCTTGCATACTTCTGCTCTCTGCATAATTCAGATATATCTGTTTCTTGTTAGTTTTGTTTGATGTACTTATTTCAGTTGCAGCACCATTGTTGTTTTTCTTTTTAAAGAAATTTGTTTATGCGTTTCTTCGTCTCCGTTTCTCGAATTTATAATGCTCTTTCGGATTTACTGAGAAGAGAATTAAAGAAAAAAATTTCATTCTGATATAATGCTGTTTTGTGTGGAATTGCACCAAAAGAAAATCAAGGCCTTGGAAGCAGAATTTAGAGAGGCCAACAAAGTGAGTTCTAAAAATAATTGTACCTCTCATTTCCTACAATTCAATCCACAAACACATGTTAACTGTTGTTGTGTTGCAGAAAATTCAAGCATTAGAAGCTGCACTTGAGGAAGCCAAGATAGTGAGTCCTAAAACATAAAAAAATTCTTCATATTGGTACCAGCCTTAAACATCTTTAGTGAGTCTTTCATTATTTTCTCCTCACAGGTCTTGAAAGAACTTGGCCAGCAGGTTGAAGAGTTGAGATCAACTCCTTGGGAAGGATAGCCCAGCTCATCAAATTATCAAATAAATGTGTATCTTTCTAGGGGAGCGCTATTAGTGCTCCTACGGTCTATATATAATTTAACCTCTCTCGTACTCCTGCGGATACATTCTCGTAGAAATGCAGAGAAGTTAATATAAAGGAGCACGAATAACGCTCTCCCTTTTCACAAACTAAACAATATTTTCAAGGACCTTTATTCGCTCTTGTTTCTGTCAATAAACCAAGTATTGTCATTAGAGACGGTACAATTTAAGTTTATTCATAAATCATTGTTTGGCTGGCTGGCTTTGGCTGGCTTTGTACCAGCCCAACTGCTGTGTATTGATGGTTCAACATTGACTAGCCTAACCTTGGGCCCAGACAGGAAATAATAATAATCAGTGTGTATTGATGGTCCTAGTTCTGAGTGTAGAGAGAGCCATCCCTTTTTAATAAAGAATTATTTGGTATAACAGTCAAATAGTCATGTGATGTTATAATTTGAATATATTATAACACGTGGTTAGTTATTAATATGTTGACTCTAGAAGTTGTCCCGTAATTAGAATCACATCTTATAACTCAAATCATTTTATTCTCTAATATATCTTTCATCGATGTTATAACACGTGTAATGATTTTGCAGTCACTCCCAAGGTTTTCCTATTTTTTATGAGTTTTAATTCAATGTTTGTGAGTTGGATCAATATGAACTCCCACTCAAGCATAGTTTCATGGACAAAGACGTTTCCCAAAATGATAAAGTTTTGCCCAACATTTTTGGAGTCAACGTCATCCCGACATATAGGACAAACTGACTTTTAAAAAAGAAGCCAATGATACGATTGAACTTTGGTAATGAACTACATTGTCATTTCATCTACCATTTAGCAAGCACAATTTGGGCCCCGTCCCAAAGAAATGTGGCTGATAATAGTTGCAATAATTCAAGGAGGCTCAAAATCAAATCAAATCCTTGGAGGAGCTTTGTTGAGTGCCATATCTCAAAGACACTTGCAATGCGAGTAGAATTTGAGATGAGAAATTCTTCAATCATTGATTATAGATAGAAAACACACATGATCCCCATGACCACTTAAGAAAAGAGAATAATCATCTTGTTGTTCGTCGACACCCAAAAGGTCACATCTCCCTTTGATGTCTTTATTTTTTTTATTTAATTTTAATACAAGTGATAGTTTAAACTACAAGTGAATGGGGGAGAAACTCACATACACTACCAACCAAGGTGTCATCGGGGTTTGAACCTGAGACTACTATAGTTTACAAGTTAAAACCATTTTTTACTAGGTTAGACTCTGTTGGCATCTCTCTTTGAAGTTTGATAGAGAAAATTTGGTCATATCCCACATATTCCAATGAACATGCTCCATTTAGCTTATAGAGTCAAAGACTTGAGTCCCTTTCCATTGTGCTAGACCCCGTTGGCATAAATTTTGAATTCTCACTCATCGCTAAAACAACATAAATTTTGGACTGCTAGATGGCCAAAATGGCCCATGGTCCCTAGTTCCTCCGCACTAGAACAACATAAATTTTGAACGGCTAGATGGCCAAAATGGTGGATAGCCCTTTACCCCACCCCTAGACATGCTCTTAGGTAGTTTTGTTTATCTATTTATTTGATAGGGAATGAATTGCCATATGAGCTTGAGACTGATGTTGAGGTTGTGTTTCCCTCTTTTCGACTGGGTAGGCCGATTGAAGGAGTTTTTGGTCCTTCTTTAATTGAGTGCGGGGCGTGCCACCACTAAGCCACGAATTATGCTTGAATGTAATGTAAGTAGATGATGTGTCCGAAATCTGACTTTAATCAAACGATTGTTCGGCCGAGTAAGGAACCTACTCACGGCCTAGGTTCTTTCACTACCTCGGAGTCAAGGCTTTATATGAGCAACCAAATGATGTGGAGTGAGTGGAGATGAAGATTGAAAGTGGAATGTAATGAAATGAAGAACACATGCGTAAAGTAAAAGGTGCTTGAATTTAAATATAATTTAAAAACAAGTACGGAAAGTAAAGTGCGTAAAATAAATAATTTAAAGACGAATATGCGTAATTTAAAGTGCGTAAAATAAAGAATGTAAAGACAAGTGCGTAATGTAAATTGCATAAATTAAAGAATATAAAGACAAGTGCGTAATGTAAATTGCATAAATTAAATAATTGAAATGCGAGTGCGTAAAGTAAAGGGCGGAAAGTAAGCTAGATTATGAAGAACAGTAAAGATAATGTGAATTGAAATTATTGTAATTAAAATAGAATCCAAAAACAAGAACGAGAATGTAAAGGCATAATTGAAATCTATGGAAACTAGAGCGGAAAAAATAAGAACTAGGCTATGGCTACATTATGCTACTCCTAGGATAGAAATTAAAGAGAATGTAAAATGACAAGTTGTATGTTCTGTCGGGGGTCCTTCCTCTCTTCCATAAGTTTGGTATTTATAGGGGCTTTGGTGCGTCTCAATTTGGTCGGTCGTCACCAGAATATCTTCAATCTCTTGTCTCATGCGTGTGATTTAATGTGAATAATAATATTTGATTTGATTTTCCTTCCATCTCAAGTTCTCCCAACAATAACATCAGTTGACCATCAAGCTGGCATAATTCCTTCCATATTTGAATTGTAACCTATGAGAAAATCCTTCTACAGATTATCTCTCTCCTTAATTAAGCATTGACTGATTTTATGCTCTCAGCCGCATATAGGCTTTCGACCGTATCTACACTTTCGACTGCATACAGGCTTTCGACCACTTTTATGCTCTCGGCCATATTGCGGTGTTCAGCCAGATTGGTGTATTCCACCACATGTAGATATTCTGCTATATTTATGATTTTGGGCTTTTATCCAGCCTTATTGATTAGGCCCACCGAAATATAGCTTGGGCTCACTATTAGTTTAATTGTCGGATCTCGGGCCTGACCCCATCAAATTTCAACCAGGCCCAAACAGGTTGCGTGTTTTCAAGGATTGGAAGGGCATTTTAGTCTCTTTAAATTAAAAGTTGGTTTTTTTGTTGTTGAAGAAATTAAGATTGCATTCATAATTCAACCAAAAAAATCACTAGTCACAAATGGTCATTACAATAACGGAGCGATCTAATATCAAAATTTAGACAATCTAGGACTCTTCCACTAATAATCACACATGATCGAAGAAATTCTGGTATAAGTATCCCAACTAAGAGAGCAAACTCAGAATAACCAAAAATAGATAAAGCTTGAAAAAAACCAAGTCATAACAATACAAATAAAACTCTCATAAATGCGAGGTGGAAACCTCTCACAAAGAATAGGTGGAAACCTCTTACAAATGAGAGGTGAAAAACTCTCACAAAAGGATATGTGAAAACTACACATAAAATCCAAAGAGTCTCTACAACTTATTTCAAACATAAAGAAACTGCAAAAAGGATAGTGGTAGAGATCCAACACCGAACGCAGGTGGAGATCCGATGCCGAGACGCATCCGCCTGTAATGAGTAGAGGATCATTACAAAACGAAGACAAGTAGAGAAAACCTTATGTCTCTGAAAATTGGGGAAAGTAGGAGAAGGGAGAAAGGGAGGAGGGGAGATGGGAGGAAGAACAGTGACTTCCTCCCCCCTCAAAGTGAAAACAGCTCTAGAGTCTTTTTTTGAAAGAGAGAGGGCTAGGGGTTTCGATTTGGCAGATCGCCACCACCACGAATTAAAAGTTGGTTTAACGTTTGATTTCTTAGAAAGGTACTATTTTAAAAAGATTAGTATAGGAGAAGAGGTTTAAAATACCATCTAAGAATGATCTCTTGTTACCAAAAATTAATCTACAAATAAGTTACAGGTATGAAGGTATGAGTATGGGACAAATTACTCTAAAAAATTAATCTAATCCATAGTTTTTAAGTTATTGGATTACACTATACAATCTATATATTTTTTAATTCTATTTTTAAAAAATAATTTTTATTTTTATATGTGTTAGTAACCGCACCAAGAGTATGAAATTAGAATAATTTTTAATATTCATTCTATATAAATAAATATGCCATTAGTAATCAAGAATATTTATTCCTACATCCATAGTCCATGTTGGATTTTGATGTGTCCAATATCGCTTGAATAAAAAATAAAGTATTTAGTCCGACTTAAAAAGAAACTAAAAAGCAAATTAGGAAAAATGAAAATAAAAAGAAATTGATAGAGTATATATCCTTCTATGATATGCCAAAATAAGGGATCGAGGAAGAGAGAGTAGAGCTGTTATAAACGCACATTCATTCATATTAAAATTCATAATTAGTAACTACTCATTTACTCTCTCATAAATCATCAAAAGTCAAAAAAAACAAAATATTTCTTTCAGAAACAGAAAAAAAGAAAAAAGAAAAAGAAAAAACACTTCCCCTCTCATAAATTCACAATCAAATTCATTTTCTTCCAATTTCCCAACAACCTACCTCTCTCTCTCTCTCTCGATCTCTCCGCCTATCTCTGTTTTTGATTTAAATTCAATTTAAATTCCACCTTTTTCCACAGCAAACCCAAACCAAAGCGATCAAGCAATCAATCCAATGAGCACGGGCGAGCTTCTCAGCATCGAGCCTCTGGAGCTCAAGTTCCCCTGTTAGTAAAATTTTCGTAACGCTCTCTTCGTTTCGATCTGTTTGCGTTTTGTAGACTTTGTTTTTTCATGTTTGCGGTATTTGTTTCTGTTTTCATTTGTTGTTTTTTTGTTTTTTTTTTTCTCTCTTCAGTCGAATTGAAGAAGCAGATCTCTTGTTCGCTTCTGCTCTCGAATAAGACCGATAACTATGTCGCTTTCAAGGTGCTCCTCTTTTGTTTTTGTGTTTGTTTTGTGTTTGTGCTTTCAAATTTTTTTTTTTTTTTTTTTTTTTTTTTTTTTTTTTTTTTTTTTTGCTGCTTCTTATTTTTTTCATTTGGTTGTTTGGAAAATGTGAGGAAAGAAAACGAAAAATAAAACAAACGGAGAATTGAGAATGTGGATATTCTATAATTTGATTTTCTTTTTTTGGAACCTGAAAAGTTACTGCTTCCACTCGATTAACATGAATTGTTGTTATCTTTGATAAATAAATATCAGATTGCTGGTAGATATGAAACTTATATTTGTGAAGTTTGTAGATTTGGTTTGGATGTTTGATATTGATTCGATTATGTTCAGGTCAAAACTACGAATCCCAAGAAGTATTGTGTTCGTCCGAACACGGGAATTGTCTCGCCTCGATCCACATGTGATGTTATAGGTGCATATTAATTATTTTGTTCGACTGTATGTATAGTTTATATAGAATATGGGATTTGAAATTTTCGATGATTAATTCAATTTTTTTTTTTTTGTTGATTTAGTTACAATGCAAGCACAAAAAGAGGCTCCTCCAGACATGCAATGCAAGGACAAGTTTCTCCTCCAGAGTGTAAAAACCAATGATGGTGCAACTCCAAAGGATATTACTCCAGAAGTGGTAGTTATATAATGATATTATACAATGGTGTGAATACTGGTGTTTTTGTGTACTCTATGCCGAATGTTATTCATTCGTGGAATTGATGTTGTGTAGTTCAATAAAGAGGCGGGAAATGTGGTTGAGGAGTGCAAATTGAGAGTGGTATATGTTTCTCCACCTCAACCCCCTTCTCCGGTTCCAGAAGGGTCTGAAGAAGGGTCTTCACCAAGGGGTTCTGTTATGGAGAATGGAAATGTGAATGGTGCTGAGTTTTCCAATGTGAGTACTTGAGGTAGACTTTATGATGATTTCTTATCCTCAGTCAGCAGAGAGATATTGATTGGCATGCCATTTATTGGTGATTACAGGCTGCAAAAGCATTTAGTGAGCAGCTTGAACCTCAGGAGAGATCTGCAGAGGTAAATGCCTACTCAGACAACATATCTGTTTATGTGTGTGCACTTGTGTCTTATACCCTATCCAGTTTCTGAGTTTTTCTTGTTTGTGTTTCAGAAATCTGTTATGACTTCTGTATGTTCTTAGGTCAGATGTATGTTACTATTTTCCATTGTGCTATGAGTATCCTTACGACCAAGAACCATGTAAATATTTACTAGAAAAAATTGAAATTAGTTGTTGGACTAGTTAGTGTGACAAAAAGCTTCATATGGGGATTAACATCTTATGTGTCTATTTGATAGTTGGGTTGAGCTTTTGTGACGCTAATGCAACTTGTCTAGCGTGATATTTATTGCACATACATGCATGCTCTTACGAGCATGCATACAATGGTGAACCTTTTTCTATATGGGCTTTATTGTACTACAATTATATCTTAAGATCAGTCCTTTTAGAATGTGAAGAAAGCTGTTCACGATTCGTAAGACGGAAGAAGATTTATTGATTGGAATTAGTCATTAGAGAAATGACTTTAAATATCTTGGTTTTTCTTTCCTCGTTCTGTCACCGGCTAGAGTTTATCCTTACCTGAGTTTGGGGCTTGTTAGGAAATAATGGAAATTTTGGACTCCATCTTTTGGTTTATTGTGATTGTTCCTTGGTGCTTTTAATTGGACTAGAAATCATACCTTTTTTTTTTGGCAAACAGATAGTGGATTTAATCTTTTTTTGTTAGAGACTTTCTTTTGCCTTTTCTCTTCTTCCTACTGATAGTTTCGTTTGTACCAATATGGCAATTCATAATCTACACAGGTTTGTAATGTGACCTGCATTCACGTGTGCTGCTGCCTTAATTAGTAGGTTGTCTACCATATAACTAGTGGTGCTTGCGATGGTAGTTCTTATACTTCTTTTTTATAATTGCAGGCAAGATCACTTTTATTGAAACTGACAGAGGAAAAGAATAAAGCAAATCAACAAAGTAATAGGCTTCGCCAGGAGCTGGTGAGAGCTTAACATGCAGCTTCTGTAAAATTTGTCCTCTTCTTTACCCATTATTTATTTATTTATTTATTTATTTATTTGGGAGAGGGGATAGGGGATAGGGGTTCCTATCCTCAGGCAAGAGTATGCTTTGTGTGCTTAAACATGATTACCTTACATGTTTTCAGTTATCATTACGTGTCTGTTTGCACTTTGTACATGTGTAAGGGATAGTGCAACATTGAAGAATAAAAAACTTCTTCTTTACTGTGTTGAGTTTTTCTTATTCAACTCTTTTGAAGTTTCTCTTCTGAAGGTAGGCCCTTGTTGAGGGATGTTGTAGTGATTTTCCCATCCTGTGATAGTAATATAGTTTTGCGAATTGCATTCCATTTGAAGTATGGATTTTTTCATATGAAGCTTATGGATGAGAGTGCGGTACTTAGTATTGTTACTTTCTTGGAGATGTTTGAGGTTGATTTCTGAGTAAATGTCGAGACAGTAACTATTTCTTGGACTTTTTGTCTTTTCTTCTGCTACCTTAATCACTCTCTTTTATCGACAATAAAAAGGCTTTATACTATTTTCTTCCATGGATTTCACTATATTGCATTGTTAAGTCTCTTGCTTCCCAAATTTTTTTGTGCTTTTCTTATTGTGTACTTGTGTAGGAACTCTTGAAGCGTCAAGGGAGCAAAAGTCGTGGTGGTGTTTCGATCCTTTTCGTCATTATTGTTGGCTTGATTGGCTTACTTTTGGGCTATCTCATGAAGAAGTCGTAAGCACTCGGTTACAAATCTTGTGTCGAGCTGTTTTCTTCCGAGTCATTGAAGAATGATGGTGGAAGGAAAAACTGAGGGTGGCTCATTTTTAGTTAGCTTTGCGAAAGTTTCCAAACTTGTTTAGGTGGGGTTGTGGATCTTAGGTGCTGGAATTATAGATTAGTGCGTGGTAAACTTACATTCTTTTGTAACTTAAGAGGATGATTTTCACTTTGTTTCATTTGTGTTTCAACTTTGAGAGATTTTGGTTAACTGTATCTCTGATGGTTGTTAATAATTTTATACATCTCAGTGTGATGTAAAACATGTCTTCATTTCTTCTATATTATTTTTCTTTGTTTCAAGTTTGTCGGTAATTATCTTAATGAATCCCACTCTCTCATTTTTTGTTTATTTAATTTTTGTTTATTTATCATTTTTTGGGTATGTTTGGGGGTTTGCATCTAAACTAAAGGTCTTTGACTTAATCTGCAGAGTAAAACAGTGGGTTTAAATGGGAAAGGAATAACAAATGTGGGTTAGGTCAGTTGACCAAGATAGTATGCCCTTTCTATTGCACCCAAGTTTGAACGCCTCCCTGTACATTAGAGTTGTTTAGAATATTGCTTGTGAAAAAAAAAATAGGGAATGAATAATTTTGCGGACTTTGTCATCAAACAACTAAAATAGGTAGCCTCATGAAATCAAATGAAACCAGGAATTCTAACCAACAACTTTGTGATTTTATGGTATGCCTTTTGATATTTATAATGTTTCTTTTTCTTTTGTGTTTTCCTTTCTTTTCCGTCTCTCTTCTCCTCTTTTTTTTTTTCCTTTCTTTTCCTTCTTCTTTCTCCCCTCTCTCTTTTTTTGTTCTCTTTTCCTTTCCTCTTCTCTCCTTTTTTTTTCTTTCTTTTCCTTCTCTTTAGTTTTCTATCATCTCTCTTTTTTCTTTCTTTCCTTCAATCTTCTCTTCTCTCCTCTCTCTCTCTCTCTCTCTGTTTTTTTTTAATTTAAATTTTTTCAGTTGTGAGTTTCGTAACATGCATGTTATTATTTACGAACCCGTTACACAACTTGAAACCCGCACGACAAAAGACGACCCGAACCCGACACGACACGTTTATTAAATGGGTTGGGTTCGGGTTGAGCATTCTTGACACGTTTATTATCCCAACATAACACAAACCCGACACTACACAACCCATTGCCAGCCCTACTTGTAGGCTTGACAATGAGAATGATACATTTCTGAAGTACAAAATTTGGAAGAATAGTGTTTGTCTAGTCTGAATTTACCGTGGTCTGACGTGGCTTTAAATTGTATAATGAACAAAGTACAATGATTAACAAGATATAACATTTTCTATTGTTGAGGCAGACAATGCCAGTCATGCTGGTTTTGGCGGTTTTGAATAGGGATGCAAAAATCCTCGTGGGGGTGGGTCCCCGTCGAGTCCCCAACCCTAACAGGGGTAGATTTCGGGATAAACAGGTATCGGATATGGGGATCCCCGAACTTGAAAAATCCCCTACGCGTATGGGGAGGGAATGGTATTGGTGTCCCCATCCCCAAATCAGACCTGAAAATATATATGTTTATACTAATAAATAAATATATAATTATAATATTTATCTTTAACCATAAGTTAACCTCTATCTCCTAATTCTTCCTAATCTTCTATGGAACTTCATATTGATATGATTTTGAATAGTTGAGTTCAGCTTTATAGTTAATTTAGATGTGTTGAATGATAATTTAATATGAAACTTAATGTTAAAATGTATAATAAATATTTTTTTTATGCAAAAAAGTAATCAGGGATTCGGGGCGGGTATGGGGGATAGTCCCCCGATGGGAACGGGGACGGGGATTCCCCGAAACCTATTAAACGGGGATGGGTTCGGAGACGGTGGCGGGAATGGAGAGCGGGGACGGGGATGGTATTGTCATACCCGACCCGTTGCCATCCCTAGTTTTGAACAGGAAAGTAGCCGAAGTTTGTAGATTTGTACTCCCATGTGAAAACATGTGATTGCATAACAAAGTGCACTAATATGAAAACATGAAACAAAATAAAATAAAGAGGATATAATTATAAATTTGCGAGAAAGAGATCGAATGCGCCCTCCCCATTTACTAACTAGCATTCGGTCTACTCATATATCTTTTTCAATATAAAAAGAGATTTTAAATTTGAATCCTCAAAAGATAAAAATAAAAGATATTTATTTTAAAAATTATTTTTGCATGACATATTATACAATAACTTATATAGAACCTATATATATACAGAGAGAGAGAGAGAGAGAGAGAGAGAGAGGAGAGAGAGAGAGAGAGAGAGAGAGAGAGAGAGAGAGAGAGAAACCCAAAACTAGCCACTTGTAATTTTCTAATTGATTCTTATTGTGTTAAAATTTTATAAAAACCAATTAGAAAATAAAATGTGGCTAATTTTGAATTTTTTGCTCCAAATAAATATAAGGACTTTTGTATATTAGGTCATGCTAAAATAATAGTAATACCCTTAAACACCTTAGACCCACATAAATAATATGAATTTTCCTCAGTACCTATTCTAAACTAAAAATATTTAAGTACTGTTTTAATATTAAGGACTAGCCCAAATTTTATATTTTAGTAAACAGTTTCAATTTGTAATATATGCTTATACTATTTTTTTTTTAAAAAGTAAATCTATGTTTTTTCTTTTGAAAAAAACCAAAGCTTTTTCAAAAAAGACAGAAAAACCTCTCAACTTTCAAATCAAAGACATACAAATGTAAAGGATTCCTTAGGAAATCCAAAAATAAATAAGGGCAATTTTGTCCATTTTGGCTTCTTTTACAAAATTTCTCTCCTTTGTGTTTTTCCAAAGCCTCCCTTTTAAAAAAATTATTTTATTTTATTTTTATTCCAAGCGGTATTGAAGAAATCCAGAGCATTGTCGAATGCAAAACATCCAAATTCAAGACATTTTTTTATTTCGGGTTTTGCATTCATAACTCGTAAATCTAAAAAAATTTAAAGTATCCGATCAAACTGTTTGTTTCTAGAACCTTCACCAGTATCCCTGTATGCTCTGGAACTTTCTCCAAGCCTCTTTCTCCTTTCCCCTTCTCCAAGCCTCCCCTGTCAACATCCCATATGTGTCTGCTCTATATAAAACCCTGTGCCTTCAAAACCTCGTCAACACCCAACACGTACAAAGTCCAATCTCCATTCACAAACTGATCAAACCAAAAACCCAACACAGTAGAAAAAATTCACTTCAGTCTCTTTTCTAGCAAGCACAAATGGCTTCTTCAGTTTCGATCCTTCTCAGAAGGGCCTCAGCCCCAACCCTCTTCTCCAAGCTCTCCAGCCCCATTCGCTCTGCTTCAGTTTCTCCCCTTGTCTCTCGCTCCTTCAACTCCAACGCCCAGGTCACAAGCTACGATCAAGATGATCGTAGTATCCCTGTTGATCGCAGCACCACCGACAGGTCTCCCTCTCGCCGCCGTGACTTTGGCCCCACTTTCTTCTCAGGTACTGGTCATCTGGGCACGTTTATATTTTTTTTGCATGCATGCATGAATAATTATCTCAACTGTGGTTTTTTTGTTTTTTTTTTTTTTTTTTTTTTTTTTTTTTTTTCTTCTTGTCAGATGTTTCGAAGTCCCAACTGGGTTTTTCGTTTTAGTCAAATATCTCAATTGGGTTTTTGTGTTTTTGGGAATTGCAGATGTGTTTGATCCATTTTCACCAACAAGGAGTCTGAGCCAGGTTCTGAACATGATGGACCAGTTCATGGAGAACCCATATCTTGCAGGGTCCAGAAGAGGCTGGGACGTGAAGGAAAACGGGGAAGCTCTGTTTCTGCGGATGGACATGCCAGGCTTAGACAAAGAGGATGTGAAGATCTCGGTGGAGCAGAACACGCTGGTTGTGAAAGGTGAAGATAAAGACTCGGAGGATGAAGAAGGTGGAGGCAGGAGGTTCTCTAGCAGATTGGATCTGCCTCCCAATCTTTACAAGCTCGATTCAATTAGGGCTGAGATGAAGAACGGGGTTCTGAAGCTGGCGATTCCTAAGGTGAAAGAGGACGAGAGGAAGGACGTCTTTGAGGTTAAGGTCGAGTGAGAGTGTCTTAGACAGACTGATCTGTTTTGTCTTCGTTTTGGAGTGTGTACATTTTCTTTCGGTGATGTAGTTTTGTTTAGACCCAGTTCAACATGAATAAAATAGATGTCATGGTTCATGCTCAATCTCACTAAATAAGTCTAATCAGTCCAATTCTTAGCAGAAAAAGAGATTACTTTAAAATCATTTTTCATCTTACTTGTACGGGCTTTGTATATACAAGTGTGTGTTGGTTTTTCTTAAACACATTCTTGGGGCCATGGGTCTATTCTCTTTTTCATCTTACTCATTTTAACCTAGGAAAATGAGATTACAGATACTGCAATTACCCCAACTAGCACTTATATACGAAGTGAAATAGACAACAGATTAGCGACTTGCAGGGTATCAATCCACTATATGTAATATCATTGTACCATAGAAACAACCATAACATCCTTCGATGCATCACGAATCCAAAACGTTAAACACCAAAACTATACAGACTACAACTACAACTTGAATCAGATAATTCAAAGTTCTGGTTAATTAAGAACACTCCGTAAACTCACCTCCTAGAAAACCTTCTATCCTTCAAAGCAGCTCCATCTTTTCGGGTCTTGTTCAGAATCAGTGCGCGTTCCCTTTCTTTCTCTCGCTTCTCCCTTTCTAATCGTTCTTCCCGCAATTCTTCCAACGTCTTCTTCCCACTCTTGTTCATCTCCCCCTTAGCCCCTCTGGACGATTCATCACCGTCACCACTGTCATCATTTGCATCTGCACTCCGCCTTTCAAGGTACCATGGCAGCTTAACTCCTTTACCAGCAACTCCATAACCCAACCTATACTTCTCATCTTCTGCAGTCACAACCCTGGGTTTCTCCTCCTTCTTCATCTTCTTATTCTTCTTAAACCCATCTTTACCATCACCTCCCTCATTCTCTAATCCTTTAATAGGGTCAAAAATCTTAATCCCTTCAAACAGATTAATATGACCCGGCTTTGATTCCACTGCAGCAGGCTTCTCCCCTTGGCTCACCGGAGCCAAGCCACGGGCAGTCCGGAGCTGCTCAAGACGGAACTCAGCATCCCGCTTTCGCGACTGTTCTCGCTTGAGCTGCTCTTCTTTGGCGGCAGCTTCTTCGTCCTGTCGCACCTTCTCTCTATTATCAAAGTTGTACACATTCCACCGCTTCTGAGGCAGTATATTCAGACCACCATGACCACCCATGACTACTTCTAATTCCAAATTACAATTTCACCTGCACATAATACGTAAAAACGATCAATTGGGATTTCGCCAGGAACGAACAAAACTAGGGTTTCAGACTCAGAAAGAGATACAACGGAATGAAATCTAGGGTTTCCGATGCTATATAATTGGCTGCATAAAATTGGGGTCTTTCAAATCAAAAATATGCTACGCGGAAGAAATACAATTTCAAGGTAATAGCATGAATTCGCATGCGGAATTCGAAAATCCAAATTAAATTGAATTTTTGCACAGATATATGTTAGGGTTTTGGCAACCAAAAAAATTGGTGAAATTCAGAAGAGCTGCAAATAGCTTACTAGAATGGGAAAAGAGTTTCTCGTATCGATGCAATATGAATATGAGAAGCAAACATAAATCGTAAGAACAAGCAAATCAAAACCAAAAACGAAGACGAGAAAAGAACTTACAGCTTCAACTTCAAAGAGAGGACCAAAGCGAAAGCGCCAAGCTTCTCAACCGCCAAAGAAGGGAACGTCTGTCGTTTAATCACATTCGTTGGGTTTACCTTTTCTTTTTGGGAAACTCTATTGGAACCTAATTTTTTGCTCTTTGGACCCAACAACTATAAAGGTTTTACGAAATTTCCTATTGTACCCTGATCATCAAATTAAAATTTACCCCTTTTCTTTCTTTTTTTCCTCTTTTGTTGCCATTGTTTTGTAAATTTTCTTTGTTCCGTCATAATTTTTAGATTTTTTTAAATAAAAAAATTTGGGCTAAAATTATATAAGTTCGTTTTCTCTATGAAAATTCTAATATTTCCAGTTGAGTTATTAATGAATAATTACATGCTATTTAACTATTAAGATCTTAAATATTCTTATAAGATAGATTTGAATGACTATAATTTGAAAACAACTATAGAAAGATGAAGAGTGGTGGGGTGTGTGTATATATGTACTAGAGTTAAGTATTAAGTTGGATGACCTTTTTTGTCTTTTTACACAATAATAAAACTTAAGAGCTTAATGATTTAAGTATTTGGATGAACAAAGAAAAATATAGAGTTTAAATAGAAAAACTCTATATATAAAAATAAATAATAAAAAAAGAGATTAGTATTTTAAAATTCCATAAACCACCCTATAAATTCTTTAATTTTTTATAATTAACATTGACGATCTCGCCCCCAACCTTATAATTGTACAAAATAAATTAACGCCTATACTATTGTTGAGATGTATAACCTTTACATTTATACGTTTTCATCAAATTACATCACCAAAAAGAAAAGAATAAGTTCGAGAATAAACAGTGTACAACGTACGTGTTTCTGTTCTGACTCGGTTTTGTCGTCCTTTCCGTCATGTTCGCTGTCTCATAGATGTACTGACTGCGCCGTTATAATTTACCGAAAACCCATTACGATGTTAACTTTCTCTATACAGCAGCCCTTCCTGCTATGCAGCTCCAATTTAATTTTTACAGGAATTACTAGGAGTATACAAAGAGGCACCACTATGAGTCTATGATCAACCAAAGTATGGTCTTTCTCGTGACCCCTTTAGAAAATGAAGTCACTGAGCTGAACACGCTTGTGTTTCTGGGAACTCTTACTGATGATATATGCACTTTCTTCCACATTAGCATTCATACAGTTCATCCTATGCCTGTAGCATTAACAAGTCACCAAAAAGATCAATAACCCGATGTCGAAGGCGTACGGTAAAGGCCAGAAGGTAACAGTACAGATATGCTTACCAAGCAAAGTGATCTTCGCAGCAAATAGAACCCGATATGATTGAAAGCCCTGTGCCTTTCCTGCAACATACGTGCATATTTAATTTATTGTACACTAATGGATCACTTTGTTTATAGGACAATGAAAAGAAATATACGCATCACAATCTCTTAGGATCATTTTGGATCGTTTTGTTGATCATTTTATGTTTGTATATCTATTCCATCTTCTCACTCAAGACTCATCTTTTTATTTTGTTTTGTTTTGTTTACAGAAATTCAATCACTAGATTTCAGTGGGTAAGATGTCAATTCAAAGATCATATGAGGTATGACCCCCACAGACATACCACTTAAGAATTAACAGACTAAACTAAACCTAAGTTCCAACAAATTAAAAGGTACAGCAGTCCCCAATCCTTCTGAGTGAAGGCCAAACTAAAGGTAGCAAAATCTATAATCAGAAAAATAAGTGGAGAAATAAGAATTAATTTCTAGCATACTAATTCCATACCAAGTTGCAGTATACATGTCATAGAACTTATCAAAAGCTTTATCGAAACAGTAATGGCATGTCAAAAGATCCTTGATGTCAGTCACTTTGCATGTTGATTTACAGCATTTCACCTACACCAATCAATTATAAATGATTAAGCATAATACAAAAGAGCCACTTAATGATTGGAGTCATAGGTCCCAATATATTATGATTTTAAATTATGGTTGCAATCTTGAGTCACATAGCAGCTTTATTTTATTTACATGGAAGCAAAATTCAATACATGAGAGAGACCAGATGCCATCGTCAAAGGTTCTAAGGGGAAGATTTTAAAGAAGCAGAAGGAAGAGCTTTACTAGAATTTCTAGATCCTAAAATAACCAGTATATTAACTTTTGTCTCCTAAGCTGAGTCAAAGAAGTTCATGTTTATTCATGTTCTATGTCAGTACTAGTGTAAAATAATACAACAAGATGCTACACAAATTGGACCTCAACTATACCACAGGTCATTGCTGGTACAGCATCTTTTTCTTCTCTAAAAAACTCTTAGGTAACAGTGAACCAAAGTTAGTACCCACCAGACGAGAGATCTTATGAGAATAATATTGTCGATGAGATGGATTTGCCTGTATATGCTCATTCAAATGACCTGCACTGGAAATTAGGATTATCAGTCTACCAATGCTCTGGTGCCAGAGCAAGGAATTTAAACATGAACTAAGATGTTCAGAGAAAAATATCTAGATTAATCTGCACGCCAAGGATCAACAATTTCCAAGCCCTTTTGACTCCCTTTTTGACTAGTTGATGGGATGCTCTTTTTTCCAAGCATGATAACTGAACTTCTAACTTCAGGATTTAAGCCTCATCATTATGTTCAAGTGTTCAATAAAAGAAACAAACAAAGATAACGGAAAAGAAACCCATGAATGGCAGTGTAGCAACAACAGAATCTAATGAATCAAGTCAGAGAAGCATAAAAATATAATAAGTGGTCGAAGTATTTTCTGAGGAAGAGCATTTCAACTTCAAAACTGTTTTGAAATGCAAAGCAAAGCAAGCAAAATAACCTGATGGGCATAATCATGAAAATAAGTTACAAATTCTGCCTTAAAAGTTCCAAAAGAAAAACAAAATTCAAATACTATGTGTGCTCATCAATGCAATTTCCCTTGAGAAAAGTTTTATCTACTAATATACTGACACACCATACACATTGCAACATTAATCAGTCCAGTAAACAAGAAAGTGAGATAAAAATTGCACAAGGGAAACAAAAAATTTGCTAGATGTCAAGAAATGCATAAATGTTCAACAGTACAACCTTATGTTATAACATAAGTACTCTTAATCAATCCACAAAATAGAACTATAATGCTTACTTGTCACAGAGAGGAATGCTACAATGAAGGCATGTGGCTAAATTTAGTGAGCTATAGCATTCATTGCACTTTGCAGCTGACATGTTTTTGTCTATCTGGTGGCATCTGCAAACACAAAAAGGCCACAAAAGGGATCCTGAGTCCACTTTGATTACGTGATCAATAGAGCAAATAAATAAATTATGTTCTCCAGCCAAGTATAAGCTTATGTGAAGACATAATCTAAAAGACACACCACAGGTAGCTTAATTAAATGAACTATAATGCAATAGTGGTCAGCAGAACAAATTCAATACAACTGGATAACATTCTGACTTTAAGTAAATAAACCACTACTCATTTTGCTCAATGAGAGCCGAAAATCTATTCATTTCAGGAAATCTTGAACTGGTGGAGATATCCGATGTCAAAAAGCATTTACCTAACCATCTTAGCAATCCATTTAGACTATATAATATATATTCCTACAAATATTCTTTTTCAATGTTAGATGAAAATGAAGTTGCTGATGAGATATGATCATATAACTGCTTGCTGATGAGGTAATATGACTCCTTAGCTCAATACAACTACAATGGATAACATGAGCTACAGTCAGTACTTTTAATTTCTATGGCAATGAGCACTTGAAATTTTCTCCTGCATAACAGCTTTCAGTAAATTCAACAACACTAGAAGGTCAGGCTAAATGCAATAAACAAGAAGAAGGAGGATCCCTAAACTTTAAAAATTCATTTCCATATTTTGGCAATATAATAATATCAGTGCTAGGCATCATTACCTACATAAGACAAGTCAAAATTCCAAAGCACAAAAACAAAAAAAAGATAAATTAGGAAAAATACTTAAAAAGAAATTCCAAACCTTCTGTACAATGCAAGAAGGTCAGCAGGTATTGAATTGGGTTTGCCTTGGCCCAATGTCACCTGGATGAAACATAGACTTTAATGAGTTATACCATCTATTTTCCCCCTTTTCTCCATTCATTACAAAGGCCAATCATGGAAGTGGTAAGGTGCATGTTTACTATTAATATAACCAAAAGAATTAATAGTAAACCTGGTTACTTGTCATCACCAAACAATCTTCAGCAAGGTGTCCAGGCCTTCTACATTTCCAACTACACATACAAGTTCACAATCACAGGTGAATAAAGAGCTAAAATGATCAGAACATGTATTTTAATTTTATACTGGAATAAGTGAAATTATGCAAACAAATAAAATTGCAACGAAAAATATAACAGTGGCCTCTCTCTGGTGCATGGACTCTATTTTACTGCCATTTTTTACACTTGAGAAACTTAGACGATAAATAAACAAGATGTCTAAGGAAATAAATACCATTCATAAGTAGAAAGACTGGAAATCTTCTTGGACCAGCGATGCCGCTCATAATCCCAAGTGTCCTCACCAAAATCAGGCATTGGTAAGGTAAATTTGGGTCCAGATGAGGAGACATCTTGTCTTTGATTGCTCGAGGGCTCCTGAGAAAATAATTTATCGGAGGACTTCAGACAAATGGAAGCAATAAATAAAACACTACAACAAACTTGTCATGCTAAGTACCTTCACAACTTTAAGAGCTTCCAATAGATCAGCTTTGCACTCCATGCTGCAGATGTCGTCATTGGTCTATTAAAACAGACAAACACCAGTTAGAGTATAGTACCATGCAAGTGCTGGGGTGCAAAGAGACTCCATGAGTAGAAGTTTATAGATTTATAAATGCAGTTCACATAATATCATAACCCACCTCGTTGCATATATATTCTCCATATTTACCACATATTACACAAACAGGTTCTCCTGGATGAGGGAAACGCTGTTCACTTCTGCTCTTTACTCGATCAGATTCATTTATGTGACCTGAAAGAAGCATGCCAAGAGAAAGTAGCGTTAACAAGGACAAATTAATGAATTTCTTGGCAATTAGCCACCTCAAGTTAGAAAGAAACAAATTTATTAGGAAAAACTATCGATGAATCCATATCTCTATTTGAGCTGATTCACCCAACCCAATCAGATTATCGCACTCTATAGTAAGGGAAATTATCAGCAAAATTGAGTATCTTTACATATTTCTTTATACAAGAATAACTAACCAGAACTTGGAGAATCCTGCTTCAACTCACATTCCGAAGTACTGTCATCACCTATATTTTTCACATTACCATGTTTATCAATTGGCTGAAAACTATCAAAATTGTGGCACTTGACTAGCTCCTACTAGTGACAAACAACCATCGTTGACTAATATCAGAGAATGAAGAGGAAATAGAAAAAGAGAAAGCTTACTGTCATATTGTACCAACTTTAGGCACGAAGTTCCCGGCTTTCCCTGCCAAAACAAGAAACCAAACCTCACAATGTGACCTTAATCAATCACAAACTTACAATGCAAACAAATTAACAGCAGCAATTTCAATTACCAAAACATCAGCAGTCAATTCCTCATACGCCTGCGATGCACTAACTTCTTTTCTGCTCATGCATTTCACAAACTAATATAATAAGCAATTTATTTTTTTATTTCTTTTATTTTTTTATTTTTTTATTTTTTTAAAAAAAGCAACAGCTGAGATTCATTAACTACGGAATTTGATAATTGAAACTAAAAATCAGCTCTTGCCTTCTTTTATCTATGTAATCCTGGTGAGACATAGGCCCATCGTTCTCTTCGATTTCACGGTTCTGAGTCTGACGACGAGGCGGCGGTGGCAGTTCCGGATTACGCTGGCGTTTACGACATGCCGTTTTGCCATCAGCAGCTGGTGGCCGTTCTTCAATCGGAGGAGCATTTCCAGTGGCGATGTTGTAAGCTGAAAACAGAGGAAATTGAGTTAATTCATATTAGAGGCTTGTTGGGTCGATGCGGAGAAAAAGAAAGGACAAGAGAATGTTAGCTACCTTTCAGGTTCTGAAGAACGGAGGAGAGACTGAGGTCCTTCTTGTAAGCAATGGAAGGGTTCTTGTAGAAATTTGTCCTCGTCCCCATTTTGTAGCTCTCTGCATATCGAAGAGGTGTAGTATGATGAAGAAGAAGAAGAAGAAGAAGAAATGGGTGTTGGGTTAGAAAGCTATGGGCCCTGCAGATGGGCTCACCAGGGCAGCTGACATGGAAGCAGATTTCAACATGAAGTTGTCAAGCCCATACTTAACGCAATGCTCTTGTCGACAACAGAAAGAGAGTTTTCTTGTATTCATAATTCGCAATTGCAACATAATTAGCATTTTACTAGGGTTGGCAGCTATAATAAAAAGTTATACAAAGAAAATAGTTTATCATTTTTTGTTGTTTTAACAGGTAAAGTAGGGACGTTTTGAAAGAATTATTAATTCTTTGATTTGTGTTCGTGTTTGAATTTTCTTCGCACTCTATTTAACGAATTGTTTCGTGTCAATCTACTAACTTAACGCATCATATTAAATTCAAACCGAAAATGGAAAAATAAACTACCTTCTAGATCAATCAATAAGAGTGTAGGTGATAGAAAGTGAAGTTTGCGAATTAGCCCCATGTTCAAAATCAATTGTGTATAGTGTAATAAGGACATAATTAATTTTTCTCACACCTTCTCTTGTATAGTGTAACAAAGCATAGATAATAATATAAATATGTTAAGAAACTTGTTGAAACATATTTCTATGCTTTTTGTACTTGATGAAATGTGATGAAAACAAAAGAATCAAAGTTAGACAACGCATATGCTAGACTGCCTTAGAATACAACATTACCCAATAACTATACCCAAGCTTGAATTATACATAGTTTCCAATATTTTATCCAAGTGTCTCCTACCCATTAGGGCTCCTCATAGAGTGCTGGATCCGATAACCTTGGAGTGGGGATGGCAACCAAAAGCACCTCCTTCTTCATAGCAAGCCCAAACTTCTCTGAAAGATCCAGCTCTTCCCCTTGTGGCAATCTCCAGTCAAAAGAATGCAAAAGCGTAGCAAGCAAATGCATCACCATCCTCTCAGCCATAGCGATCCCGACACATATTCTTTTCCCAGACCCAAACGGCAAATAGGTGAAGTCCCTTCCACTGTAATCCCATTTACTATCCAAGAACCTGTTTGGATCAAACTCCAATGGGTTCTCCCAGTTACAAGGGTCTCTGTGTATGGCCCAGACGTTGACGAAAACCCGAGACCCTTTCGGGATGGTGTAGCCTCCGACGGTGCAAGTTTCGGTTGGGGAGTGAGGGATTAAGAGTGGCACGACTGGATGCAAGCGAAGGGTTTCTTTCATGACGGCTTGTAAGTAGGGTAGTTTATGAATGTGGGATTCTTCTACAATGTTGTGCTTGCCAACTACGGCGTCTAGTTCTTGCTGGGTTTTTTGCATCACCTCCGGTTTGTTCATGACTTCGGCCATGGCAAACTCTACTGTGTTGGAGGATGTGTCGGTTCCAGCCGTCACCATATCCTGTCCACAATATTGAACACCAAGGTCATATTTCATTCACACTATCCTTACAATTTTAAAAATAAGACATGTTTCAAATGTGGGTTAGGCCAGTTAATCAGTGCAATGAGCTTACTCCGTTGCACTCAAGTTCGAATTCACTTTTCTTAGATTAGATTAGATTAATTTAGAGTAATTTAAATTGTCGCTTGTATTTAAAAAAAATGTTTTAAAATTTAAATTTTATAAATAAGTAATCAAATATCATATTATCTAGTTAATGACGCATCAAAACTTGCCCTTCATATCCTCTCTGATTACCCCAATTAACCTTTTTTTTTTTCTTTTTTTCTTTTTTTGCCAAAGTTAAGAAGGGGGAGAGGGCTTTTCTCATACACACTGTCAATGTATCATGGAAGTTCAAACCAGAAAGTACTAATATGCAAATCAATGCTATTTTTCATTGGGCTAGACTTTGTCGACATTGCCCCAATTAACTTAGTAACATAATATTTGGTTACTTCAATTTAAAGGGGATTTTTCATTTGGTTAACTATGTTGTTTTTTTAATTGAGCCACTTGAGTTGTAAGGATGATGAGTTTCAAAGTATTACTCCATTAATTAATATTCAGATTGAACCCCAAGCTCTTAAGCTTCAAAGAACTTCATCATGCATAGACAAATTTCTTGACAGCTAAGGATAGACAATGGGTAGCTATAGGTACCCACATTAGGCCTCGTCAATGGGTCAGTCCAGACTTTAAAGAGGAGAGGGAAAATAACGGGTTGAGTCGAATTGGGCTTATTTAGAAAACTCAAAACCCAAATTTGGCCCATGATTTGGGCTTGAGAAAGCTCATTGAGCCGGGATGTGCTGAGTCAAAATGGACCTACTTTATTTTGTCTTCTTTTTTTATTATGGATTTTTTTTTTGGGTCAAATTTTTTTTTCTTCTATGTTTCCCTTTTTTTTTTCGTAGTTCTCTTTTTACATTTGTCCATATGTTTATGTCTCCATTTTTTTTCTTTGTTCATAACTTCATTGTTCTTTTTTCCATAAATATGAAGATATAGTTATACAACCACAATATTAACAAAATTATATTTTATGCCCTACTTCATTTTTTTAGTTCTTACAATGTTAATAGATAATGATTCCATCTTTCATTTCGTTTGAGTTTTTTTTATATTTATTTATATGTTTGTGGGCCCGCAAGCTGGGCTTTTATGGGCGGACAGGGTCAGACGACTTTCTTAGAGTTAAACGAGCCCTTTAGACACCCAAGCTCAAACCCAACCCACTCAACAATGGGTCGGACCGACCCATGGCCCATAACAAGCTGAGTCAAGCTTTTTCTCAATGGGCCAGACGAGCCCCCATCGACCCATGAGCTAACGAGCCTAATAATGACCCCTAACCCTAAGGATGGCAAAAATCCCTATGAGGGCGGGTCCCCGACCCTAACGGGGAGAACTTTCGGGGCCAAACGATTATCGAGTACGGGAATCCTCAACGAGTATGGAGAGGGGATGGTATTGGCGTCCCCATCCTTGAACCTTACCCGAAAATATATATGTTTATATTTAAATAAATAAATATATAATTATAATATTTATGTTTAACCCTAAGTTAACCTCCCTCTCATAATTCTTCCTAATCTTCTCTGGAATTTCATATTGATGTGATTTTGAATAGTTGAGTTGAACTTTATAGTTAATTTGGATGTGTTGAATGATAATTTAATATGAAACTTATGTTAAAATGTATGATAAATAGTTACGCAAAAAAAATTGGGGATTCGAGGTGGTTATGGGGGATAGTCCTCCCACGAGAACGGGGAAGGGGACAGGAATTCCCCGAAACCTATTAAACGGGGACGGGGGCAGGGATGGAAAGCAAGGACGTAGATGGTATTATCATACTCGACCCCTACCCGATCAGTTACCATCCCTACCTAACCCACACCATCCCCAACAATCACACCTCTAACTTATAATGGATTCCCATATCACATTATCTAAAATACAACCCAAAGACTAATATATTTTTTCTTTATATATACTAGCCTCTTCGCACGAGCTTTCATACCTAAGAGAGGCCTTTTTTAAAAAAATTTAAATTTATTTTAGAATTAAAAAAGATAATAAATAGTTGTGTTCCATAAAAATAGGATTAATTATCTGATTTTTCTTTTAATTTTAATTTTTTTAATATGAAAAAGTGTGAATTTACCATATTATCCTCATTTAATTAATAATTTTAATTCTTAATGTTTGCATTAACCAATGACATTTTCTGATATTTTGAATGTTTCACCATTCTCTACCTTTTGTTTTATATATATAAATGATCATCTAAATTACTTTAAATTAACTTAATTTTGAGGAAAAAATATATTTGAGCGCAACATAACGGGCACAATATGCTGATCAACTTACTTAAAACAATATATACTGACACTCCATATTTGATAAATACAAAAAAATTTAAAAATAACCTAAAATATGCAAATATATAAAAATGAATTGTCAAGAATTGCCTACCTACCACATACAATAAATTTAAATAAATTAGAAAAGAGAAGAACATACCACAAGCAGGGCTTTGACGTGGTTCATGGTGAGAGGCATCTTAGAATCCACCTCATCTTTCAAACCCAACAAAAAAGCCAAAAAATCCTTGCTCTCTTTGCCGCCATCCTTCTCAATCCTCAGCCGTCGATCAATCATCTCCTCAAATATCTCATCCAACCTCCGGACCAGCCTCTTCACCCGCTTCCTTATCCCTTGCAAATTGAACCGGCCCAAACCCGGATAAAAGTTCGAAACGTTCGGCTTCCCAATAAGCTTCGTTATACCCGACACCACTTCCTGAAACTCCGCCCCCTGCTCCGAGACCCGCCCTCTCGTCTCCCTCTCCTATCCCGCCCCACAACATGTTCATCACGACGTTGAACGCCGTCAAGAACGCCTGCTCGCCCACGTTGATGGGCGACCCGACCCGGGCGTACAAGTACCCGACGGTCTTCCGGATCTGTCTTCGCCGGAGTTCGTACACCGAGTCCATGGTCGTGTTGTTGAGCATCTTGAGCACGCAGCTCTTCTCAGCATCCGCCACTCGAGTCCGTACAGGGTCCAAGCGATATCCGACCCGCGTCGGGGACGTCGCGGTTGGCGAAGGTGACGTCATGGTCTTTGAGGATGTTGCGGGTGAAGGAAGGAGAGGAGACGACGATGCAAGTCTTGGTGCCGAGGCGGAGCCTAAAGATTGGGCTGTGGGCTTGGGCTAGGCCCATAAAGTAAGAGTGAAGCTGTGGGCGCAGAGTGCTTCTATAGTGAGTGGAAAGTTATAATGGGTGTTTTTGAGGGGTATCTAAGAGCTGTCGGATAAAATCCAATGGTGAGTTTTCAATGTTGTCTTTTTGGTAAAACCGGGTTGAAATTACCCATACCAAAAGAGGCAATCCGAAAGTGCAGAACACGCTCTTTCATCGTTAACCCTCCTTCCTCGCCAGCCACCCACTCTGTAATATGTTATTCTCTCTCTCTCTCTCTTGCCATCTCTGGTTTGTGGTTATCAAAGAACCAAAATCCGTTCAGTAAATATCTTGCAACCAACACAGACACAATGGAGGGTTTTGAGTCTTCTTTTATTATTGACACTTTATCACCTCAAAAATTCATTTTCTGACGCCCAAGTTCTCCTAATTCCTCTCCTCTCTCGCACTCTCCCAAATCTTGCCTCAGCTTCAGCTCGCCAGCCATCTCGCTACTGTCCAATCCCGTTCTCCACCCATCCATCGTCATAACCTAGCTCTCCTCAAATTCGGAACCCTAGTTTGACCCTAACCAAGCCACCGCAACTCACGACCTCCGTCGTCGACCTCCACCGTGAAGCCACAGTCGCGATTCCATCGTCGTTCTCCACAGTGGTGAGTTCTGATATTGGTTTTGTACTCTCTGTCTGTTATAAATTCGTTGATCCCCCTTTCTTTATTATTGCAACAGTAGGGGCATTCATGGCGCCGCTCCAGCCTCATCATGAACCACCTACTTCTCTGGTTCTCTTCATCTTCATGTCATTCAATTTCAATTTTTTTTTTTCCTTTCTAAATTCTACTTTTGGGGTTTAGGAATTAGGGATTCAGTTGGGCATTTAGAACTTAGGGATTAATTTTCAAAATTCTAATTTAGGGATTCATTCAATGCCTAATTTATGAGCTTTGGCTTTATGAATTATGAAGTAGACTACTTGTTTTTAATTGATAATTGGTAATGGTATTATTGTAGTTTTTAATTGATCTTTGCATATTTCAGATTTTAGCCTTACAATTTTAGTGGCTGGGCAGCTTGCAATTTTGTGTAGACAGGTTATTAAATTCTTTTAGTATTAATGGAAGTTGTGTTACTAAATTACCAGTACCTACGCTCTTGGTTGACATGGTTGTTATGAATTGTAAGATTAGCTTACAATTCGATGGACCCACTTGCTGATATTAGGAAATGGAGTTATTAATTGAAATGAATGGGAATCTGCTTGTTTCTTATGCTATTAGATTTTGTGTGAGTGTGATGCTAATCGGCCATTGAAATACACATATTTTGGTGTTAATATTTGAAGTATTGGAACATGGGAAAGTTGAAAACAGGCATCTTCATGAGATGCTTGAGCAAGATTTGAAGTATTGCAAGAGCATTAAGTAGACCTCCTTTGATATGGCTTGCTGTAGAATGTAACATATGGATATGAATTCCTTGTTCTGAAGGTGCCCCTGTAGATTATTTGTTTCAAGTCATGATTCTCTTACACCTATATAGAAACATAGGATTGGTTTGTTTTTATTTTATCTGGAATTGTTTGTTTTTTAGAAAATGGAGAATATTGGACTGCTTCAGAAAATTGTGGTTGTTTTGTTCACTATTGCCTTCTTTAGGAAGCTTATATAAAGTACATGTGGAGCTTCTTAAGTCAGACAATTCCATATTGGCCCATTTTTTGCCAAACCATCTGCTGATTTTTTAATGGTTCTTGTTGTTCCTAATCATGTTCCCGTAATATCACTTTTTGCAGGGCCTTCATTGTGTCTGGAAGGTTGGTTCCAGCTAATGATGTTCTAGCTACACTGTATTCTCTACCAGATAAAGTGGTAGATACTGTCGTATTACGTCATTGCCATCTGAAGATTCTATATTTGAAAGGCGAAGGAAATTGGACTTCCTTCATATGCAGGAAGAACTGATGAAGGTTGGAATATTTTTTCTTTTATCTTGATAGCTTTATAGATATCTATTGGTGCTTTAGGAAGCTGCAGAACTAAACTTGCTAATCTGTATTTCATCAGGAGGAAAATATGTGTGTATTTTGTTAAGCCAGTTTTGATGCATTTGTTTTGGACTTGGCTGAAATTCGAAATCCAAAAAATAAAAATAAAAAAAGGATGAGCAATCAAATAATAATGTTGAAAACAAAACTCCTGAAATCAATATTATGACTATCATCCAAAGATTCTAAATTATTATATTGCAGAAGGAGGAAGAGAGAGAAAGAAGAGCAAGCCAAGATGAAGGAAATTAAAGCCAGTGAAGAGGATTTGGCATTGAAAGAGATGATTATTCCAACAGCAAAAGAAGCACGAGAACAAGCAAGGGCAAGGACACTAGAAAAGGAAGAGAAGATCTGCGAAATAAGTTGTGCATTGGCTGTTTTGGCTTCTGCATCTGTAAGGACTGGACTTAATAACTCTCAATGATTATGATTGTTGATTTTTCATTTTTCATTTTCCAAATTTTCAAGCACTATCATCTACACTATGGCTTAACAGTTTTTAATTTTTTCTGTTATTGACTCATTATTTCAGTCAGTTAGTAGGGAGCGTGAAGCGTTCCTGAGACTTGTCAATTTGGAGGTAATTTAAAACCCTTAATTACTCCTAGTTTATATTAGGTATCTATTAAGATGGAAGCATTTATCGTTGGTACCCTTACCATAGGTATGCATGGCATGCTAGTCTTCTCATGCTCGATATATGCAGACGCATTGGAGGTTTAACTGCTTACAGTTTATCAGGAGGACCGTACATCACAAATATTGTCTGCAGTTCTGATTTCCATGTTTCTGCGATGTATTGGAAGAATTTGGATGTTGATGTCCACTATGCTTTGGCCCCTTTTAGTTTGAAGGATGTGTAGATTGACGACTTTTTAATTTTAATGTGATTTACTTATGAGCTGTCTTCTACACATTATGTGAATGCATGCAACTCTGTCTTCAGTGTCATGTTCAAGTCAGAAGAATACTTCTGTATGTTCTTGTTTGAGTCCAAATGCATTGTCTTTGGGAATATTTTGCTTAAGTTGATTCTTTTGATCTTTCCAGATTGAACTTTACAATGGCATGGTGGAGAAAGAGGGTACATATGGTGAAAAGGATGCCTTGAAGGCATATAAAGTTGCTCATGATGAAAGTGACAGTACTTCTGTTGAGGCTGAAGGTGACGAGGTTTCATCAGCGCTTATAGACAAGGTTATATATTAAATTCTGAATTATCTACTTTTAACTTGCTTACCCCGTGTTCACTTGATGGATTATCGTATCTTCTATGTATCAGGTGGATGCAATGCTTCAAAACCTTGAGACGGAAATTGATTATATATGCGCATATTGGTGATCTCTGGCAATTACTTGACTGGTGAACTCGTCTTGTTTCGTCTTTGGTTTTCTTTTCCTATGAGTTCTGTTAGAAATCATACTTCCTACTGAATGGAAGCAATCCTTCTTTTCTTGTCTTTCAATCTGTAGTCGGTTTGAGTTGTTATTAAACTCATTTTGAGGGATACTAGTAATGTTAAACTTTGATGGATGGTACTGCATTGGAATTTTGTCCATGTAATTAAAGGTATGAGGTTTACAATATGTGTGCATGGATTTTGATGGGAAAGTAACTCCTGATGAGGTTGCAGTTGCTGCGAACTACTTGAATTATACTTTAGGCAAGGAGGGCATCCAAGAACTCATAGGCAACCTTTCCAAAGATAAAGGTGAGTGAATTTTGTTTACACCGTATATGTATAGGAATCTAAATCTAATATGATGATGATGATTTTTCCTTGAAGTTAATTTGATTGATTGATTCATGAAGATGATGATGATGATGAATGTTGTTATCTTTGTGTGTGACAGATGGGAAAATTCGTGTGGAAGATATTGTGAAATTGGGCAGCTGGACAGAAGATGCAAACCAAGCTGAAGATGAGGGATTAGGGAATAATATATATATGAGTCACTGACTGACTTTATTCATGATATATATATCTGAGACTTTGAAATGGTTGTGGAGTGGATTTGGTTAAATCCACTCTCTAGGTTTTGTTTTTCAATATACACGCAATGCAACAAACCAAAATTATTTACCTACTTGCATGCAACACTAGTTAATGTTCTTCTTTTCTTAGGTCCAAAGACCCATCTTCCTCATCCACACAATTAGCCACCGCAAGCACCACCAATGAGTTTGCAAATTCAATTTGTAATATTTGTTCTTGAAATAGGTGGATTGGCATTGGCTTTAAATTTTTGTTTGAAACAGAAACATTTATTTATCTAAAACCCAACAAAAACTTTCCAAGACAGACTTTGAACAAAAGTGAAATGACAATGAAAAAACTTATAAATTTCAGATTTATTGCATGTATATTGCTTGTTTATTGCAATAAACATGCTCAACAAGATAACTCTAATACAATCTCTCTCCTATCGTGTACATTGCTTGTTTTTTGCGAGTGTATTGCTTGTTTATTGTGTGTATATTGCATGTTTATTACGTGTATATTGCATGTTTATTGCATGTGTATTGCCTGTTTATTGCTTGTTTATTTCGGTGTATTTTTTGGATTTTTAATTTATCTATTATGAATTTTAGAAGTGAAATACAAGAAAAACAATATTAAATTATAGAGAATCACACGTGGCAGACGCTAAAAGGAGAGCCTTCATTGTTTTTAACAGGTGGCGTCCTAGGATTCCGCCACATGCCATTTTGTTTACTTTTTCCCAATTTATCTTTAAAAATTATTTTAAAAAATTAATTAAAAATCAGAAAAATACACCAAAAATTGCTACAAACTCCTTACATTTTCTTTGACTATAAAGTCCTAAATTATTATTCTATTACTTTTTATCCTAAATTGTTATTATATTATTATTTACCCTAAAATATTATTATATTACTTTTACCTTGAATTATTATTATATTGTTATCAATCCTAAATTATTATTATATTTAGTATTTATCCTGAATTATTATTATATTACTTTGTACCCTAAATTGTTATTATATTGTTATTAACCCTAAAAAATTATTATATTATCATTTACCCTAAATTATTATTCCATAATTTACCCTAAAAAGTGCGTGTCTTTTTTGGCGCACTCTTCTAATTTTTTATTATTTTTTAATGAATTTTTTAAGATAAATAATAAAAATATAAGAGAAATTACACGTGTCGCTGTGATCGAAGATGTGGAATCATGAACTAAAAAACACGAACTCAAAATGTGGAACCATGGTTTTTAGACCTTTATAATCGAAGATAATGTCACATGGAGTTTGTAACAATTTTTGGTGTATTTTTTTTTAAAAATTATTTATTTACGAATTTTTAAACAAAAACAACAACAAAAAGGATCAAAATAGACAATGGTGCAATCACTGGAGGACAGCCATTAGACACACTGACCGCGCCCATTCCGCTTCTGCCATGTGTCGCTCTACACCATTTAATAATAATTTTCTAGGATTTAACTTACAAAATTCATAATAAATGAAATAAAAATCCAAAAAATTCACCGAAAATTGGTATGAACTCCTTGTGACATTCTCAATGCCCTAAAGCTCCAAAAATATAATTTTGACTCATAAAAATTGAAATTGATAACAAAAACTCAACTTTGTTTGAAAATAAACCAAAACACGAAATTATGTTCTATAACATTATGATCTTGTTCTTTGATTTAACGCTTAACATGAACTTAAGTATGTAGAATCACGATTTTACACCTTTATAGTTGAAGATAATGTTATAAGGACTTTGTAGCAATTTTCGGTGTATTTTTTTATATTTAATTAATTGTTTATGAATTTTTAAACATAATTTGAGAAAAGTATCAAAACTAACACGTGTCGCAATGACAGGAGGACAAGCATCAGACACACTGACTGCGCCCCATTCAGCTTCTGCCATGTGTCGCCCCATACGATTTAATATTATTTTTCTAGGATTTAACTTTTAAAATTGATAATAAATTAAATATAAATCCAAACAATACACCGAAAATTGGTACGAACTTCTTGTCACATTCTCTACTCCCTCAAACTCCAAATATATAATTTTGACTTATAAAATTTGAAAATGATAACAAAAACTCAACTTTGTTTCAAAACAAACTAAAACACTAAATTATGTTCTATAACATAACACTCGCATTCTTTGATTAGAAAGCAGCGTGTAAATAAGACATTGCAGCTAATCACATTTCGAACGGTTGGAGAATATTAAAGGGTACACTAACATTTGAACTACTCATAATTCCACACACAAAAGAAAATTTGATTGCAAAGCATTTTATGTGCTCCCTCTTAGCAATACCACGATCTCCCCAACCAACCGAACAACAGTAGCCACAATCACTCGGTCGTATTGGTCAGCTTCTTCTTAGTAGGTCTCACATGCTTATGGCCACTCATGTCCCCAGTGATATAGACGAAATAAATATTCAGCAATATTTGGAATTTTATTATATATAAATAAACCATAAACCATTCACTAAACAATGTATAGCACATGGTATGTTACTTATGACTCACGTGTCAGTTTTTTGAGAAAAAGTACGCCAGCTCGTTAATGTGAACGGACATGATAATGGGGCTTTACTGATTCCTAACTCGCTGTGATATTGATTGCTTATTGAATAATATTTCAATATTTGTGAAATATAATGTTAGATAGAAGGAACACATGATGACTTGCAATACATAGTCCCAATAATTATATATGAAGCAAATGAAACTGATATTTGTCTTATTTTAAATTAGATAATGACATTAAAGGAATATACTTCTAATTTGTGCAATACCACGATCACCCCCAACCAACTGAACAACAGTAGCCGCAATCACTTAGTTGTATTGGTCGGCTTCTTCTGAGCAGCTTTGACGTGCTTATGCTCATTCATGTCACCACCATCGTCTAGTATCTCTCTCACAGCATCAAGAGACACATAGTCCCAATTATAACTTATATGAGTAGTTGCCGCAAATGCTCGGAATTTTTCGAATCCTTCGTTGAATGTCAGCTCCAGTTCACTGTGGTGCTCTTCGCATCGCATATAGTTCATCAAACAACCTTTAATTTCATCATTCATTAATGTATCCAACTCCTCAGCTTTCAGCTTCCTTTTATGACTCAACTTCAAGTACTTGTTCTTTTGGGAGAATGCTTTGTTCACTCTAATGTTAAGATCAGCCAAAATGGCCTCGTCTTCAACACATTTCTCGTGCCATGAATTGATCAGTCTGGAATTATAATTCAGCTTGCTATTGACTGCATGTATTGCCTCTAATGGATCATCGGAGTCCCCCTCACTCCCAAATGATGTTGAAAATGGAAGGGGTCGGTGAGTACAACGTGGAAATGGAACCTGTGACTCCAATTTTTCATCTTCGATTGTGTTGTTGGCGCCTGAAGAGGTTGACATGCTTGAATAATCCTATTTGTTTTAGAGGATGAGGATTGCACATGCAATTTCGTTTGAGAAAGGGAACATAGCTTTATAGACCAACATACCAAAGCTTGTGTGTAGTCAACATATGTACTTTATTTAAATTTTAAAAAAAGAGGTGCCAGGTTTAGCTTTTCAAGCATGTCAACCTCACAGTCTCCTTACACCACTGTTAGTGGTTGAAAGAAACTCAATGGAAGTGACATCGAGTTAGTGAACCCAACCAAACTAACCAAACTAGTTAGGATTAAACTTAGATTGTATCAGACCAAAAATTAATTTATACATTGTCAACCAAATATTTTTTGGCGGGAACCCTTTTATTGGTATTACTATCACCCCTTTCATAGAAATTCTCCCTCCAAAAAAACTCACTCCTCCACCGAAATTTGTCTCCATCTACTGAAACTCTCTCCTCCACAGAAACTCTCTCCCCCCATAGAATGGATTTACCAACCAAGTTTGATGTGAGCATAATAAACACCCCTCCAAACAATGTTATGGCATTATTTTGTACCAGTTATATATATATATATATATTTTTTGTATTGTTTCATCTCCTACTATTGCTTTCTTTCTTTATATTATATGTTTGTGGAATCCCTCTCAAAGTTAACATATACTGCAAAAAAAAATGCAGAGTGAATATATAATCACTCATATAGACTAGGACAAATATTCACTAATATTTTAAAATTGCTTGATTGGTGTGAGTTTTTTCATAAAAAGTATGGCATTATTTTATGTGATTGGACATGACAAAAATATATTACTGATTCCCAATGCGGTGTCATATGGACAACTTATTGAATACCTCTGACGTAATATGGACAACTTATTAAATACCTCTGACGTGTTCAAAGCTCTAGGCGCAATTGCAATGATAGCTTTAAAGCAGTGTGCAATTATTATATATATGTACATTATTACAACAAAACAGATAATTTTACATCCTTATATATGAAAGCAAACCAATTCTTATATTATTACAAGTTATATAACGAATATTAAGGAAATATACTTGTTAAAGTGAACAAACATATATACTTAGGGTTAAGAGGAAAATGAGTTATGTGAAATAATTTGGATTTTTTCATTGCGAAACGGATGATTTATAGGTTCCCCTAGTTTCATAACGTCACAAGGAGGCCGGAGTAATTTTCGGGGAATTTTTAGGATTTTCCTACTATTTATTACCTTTTTTCAAAGATTTTTGCTCTAAAAAAGCCAAAATAATTGCAAGAGGACACTTGGCGCGATCTCAGCCCATCACCTTTCACCACTTGCACAAGTGTACGTCAGTCAACATAGCCACATCCTTGCCTTTTACCATAAATTATTATTTTATTACTTTTTCTTAGAAAATTCATAACTAAATACACAAAAATTAGAAAAATGATCCGAAAATTGCTACGAACTCATTGAGACTCCATCTCCCTTGCTAAATTCCCTGATTCATGGTTACGCATTTTACAAAACAATTCCAAACATTAACGGGAGATGCTTGTTG